TACACGCTAGGTTAAAATCCAGCCACAGAAACTTGTTCAAACAGAGACTGATATCTATTTGCTACTATATCAGCAGCTCTCTTATCAAACATCACATAGTCCTCTATACTGCAGCCCTGTGTGACTCAGGTATGTAAGCCTCTGCAAGATAACGCATTCATTCTAATCCGAGAAAAACTGTATCCTTGTGTCAAACCAGCAAGAAACTCTGCAGATTTACTTTAATATTATTTGGAAATTTTTTTACCATAATAACCCTTCCTCGTAGATTGCAAGCTCATTTAAACAAGGACTTCTTCACAACATTACTTATGTCAAATTACATGTTAAATTAACCCAATGTATAATTGTAAATCAATGCTGTAATTCTGACACTATATAAATGTTGATAATAATAAAGATATAGAAAGCCATTGGTATAGACATAATTGCCAGGAAACTAGTGACATGTAGGGGAGGAATCATACCTGTAAATGGGTTTTGCATCTAATATAAATAAATGAAAGCAATAGCCCAATTCACAACTAGAACATAAAAGAACACGTGTTCCTGACCTTATAGTGTTAAAACCACCATTTAGGTGGCTTGCTTGCCACCCCTAACGCCTTTAGAAGGGTTTAAAACGTACCTTATTTCCAGGGCCGTGCGGGTCCACTCGCGCTAGCCCCACCGCAGCCTCCGATCCGTTTCCTTGGTGATGTCATCAGAATTTAACATTTTTAGCCAACCCAATGCTTTGACCAAACGCTGGCTTGACCAATCAATGTATCTCTATGAAGAAAGTTCAGTGTCTGCCTGCAGAGGTTAGAGACACTGAATGGCAGTCACAGTGTGCAGCACTGACCCAGGAAGCATCTCTAACCATCTGAGGAAGGGCCAGTGGAGTGATCATTAGGCTGTAATGTAAACACTGCATTTTCTTTGAAACAAACAGTATTTACAGCAAAAAGCCTGAAGGGCATGATTCTACTCACCAGAAAAAATGCAATACGCTGTAGCTGTTCTAGTGACTATAGTGTCCCAGTCGTATTTAGTGTAGCGTTTTGTTTTGTTTTTTCTAAATGTGTCAAAACATACTGAAATGTTATTTGTTTGTCTTTTTAACTTTTAGATAATTAGCGTAATTAGTGCCAACTGGAAGTATTGGTGGTGAGAGAAAAATTAGACACCATTATTACAATTTAAAACTATTACATCAAATGGGCCATTAACAACCATTTTCTTCTAGACAGAATATTTGTGTGTTTTATAGTACATTTAACAAACACAGGAATTTTTTGCCCAGAGCTCGCTAATAAATATGATTGAGGATATCCGAGTTACTCCAATGGAAATCAAGTCGATTTGGAAAAAGTAAAAACTTTACTGCAATAATAAAAAAATCTATACGAATGAAGAGAATCCCCGGCTATCAGCAGGCATGCTTAGCGTGAGTCTCAGTAGCTTTATTCTGATTGAAAAACATTTATTGAATTTCATTCATACAATATTAGAGTATTACACTATGACTGTACTTTCATTGCTTGTGATATACGGTGTATCTAATAAAAGACAGATAAGGTTTAGTATTACCAACAAGGCAGGATATCTGATCTGATCAAAAGAGTCCAATCTCCCCCCTCTGTCCAAAAAAATTGATATTCCCTGAGCCAGGACGTGGGTTCTGGTACACGGTAGTGAAAGCTTAGTACTACTTTAGTACATCAGTGTTTTATATTGCACCATTTTCGTTTTCTTTTTTCACAACTATACCCATTTTATGAGTAAAATACAGTGAGTTTGTGTTCTATATTGAGTTGCACTTAAAGGAGAAAACATGTATTCCTGACACTATAGTGGTAAAATCACTATTTAGGTTACCAGCCCCTCCTGCCACCCTTTAAAAAGGCATTTTACTCACCTTTTTCCAGCACCGCGCCGGTTTCGCAGTGGCTGGCTGAGCCTTCCTCCATACTGATCTCTGCCATTCCATTGCTTTCTCACAGAATCAATGCATCTCTATGAGGAAAGTTTAGTGTCTCCATGCAGAGGGTGGAGACACTGAATGTCAGTCACACTGTGCAGCACTGCCCCAGGAAGCACCTCTAGCAGCCATCTGAGGAGTGGCCAGTGGAGGTATCCCTAGGCTGTTATGTAAACACTGCATTTCTCTCTGAAACAAATAGTGTTTACTGCAAAACACCTGAAGAGAATAATTCTACTCACTAAATGCAATAAGTAGTTATTCTGGTGACTATAGTGTCATTTTAAGGTCAAAATAAAAAAATTCTCTAAATCAGCTATGCTCTTAGTTTGACTACTCTGGCCATCAATTTAAAATTCACTTTGAAATCGCCTTGAATTCTCAGTTTAGTAAATAACCCTTTTAGTATTTATTATAGTGAAGGATAGGGTGTCTACATTAGCAGTGGCTGAGTCCTGTCTCATAATGGGCGTGAAGTGCAGTTAAATAAAGAAGGATTAAGATCTTAAGGGGCCCTAAGCAGGTTATCTGTCTGGGGCCCCTTCATTCTCCACATAGTAATGGTGAAAGGGGTACCTGTCTAACCCAGCTTCCGAGGCGGGAACCTGAGCTCCTCTAATGATTAAACCAGCTCTGGAGTAAATACGGGTTGGAGCTGACATGCTGACGGTTTTGATAGTTGAATTGGCCACTGTTTGTGTTTAGCACTCCTGGACTGCCGTGAGGTTAAACCTTCTAACTCTGCATCACAGATCAGGTCCCATCTTGCTTACATTCCTGACTGTGCACCGTCCTCTAAATGTCACCTTTCATCAATGAAGTCTGTTTTAGGATAAACGAGTTAGTCCAACAAGTTGTCCGAGGACATTTTAAACGTTAAATAAGTATCATTGATTAACCTTTTACAGACCACTGGATAGGAAAATCCCTTTACATCATGATATGGTGACATGTTACTGGTATTTTAATATATATTCAGTATATACATTCTATTCACACATTACTGTGTACCGTGAGTGTCTGTCCCAACATTGAAAACTGATTTCATATTATATTAGAGAATTTTATTGAGAGACAATTTAATGTGAATCCATTCACTGCTCTCAGTCGAATTCTGAACTCCAATTTTTATTTTCAATCCAAATGCACATATGGAGTAGGAACAACTGCGCCAGATGGTTAACTAGGGCAGCGACGACCATTTTTTATATCTAAGCAGATCCCAGACAAAGGCAGGAAACTCATTTAATTGTTCCTGCAAGGAGACTGAGAGAGAGAGAGAGAGAAACATAGCGGAAAATGAGAGAGGAAAATGAGTGGGAAATAGAGAGGATAGAAATAACGATACTTGAAGAGAGAGAGAAAGATGTTTTATGTCAGTTTGAGGATTAGCGTGACAAGTATTGTAAAGTAATTGGGTCTATACCACTTTAATATTATTAAGAGTAGAAATCCTAATTATTTGGGATTTTTTTCTGATGCCTCCTGGTTAGAGGTTCTAGTTGTATCAATATTATAATTATTTTATCTTGCGAACATTCTTTCTGAAGCCTCTGGAAAGGCTTGGTAGCTGGATCAGTGAGGATAGGCCTGGATGGAGAACCCGCTAATGTCAGTGTTTGAGTCCAAACAGGTCCACATTGTCTATCAGCATACCCCAGCAAGCTCTCATTGCCTGTCCAGGACTGCTTAACTGGGGGATTCAATGAGTCCCTTTCTTGCAGTCCATCCCTCGGCCTTGTCCATTACTATAATACAAGCTGCATCCTAAAATGAGGTCTTTTTTATATTAACTTTTTATTAAAGGATCACTACATGGTCAGGAACAATCTAGCTCCCCCTGGGCCCCTCATGCCTCCATAAATATAGCAAAATCTTACTGTATTCAAGCCTGAAGCTGTAACTCTGCATGCTGTTAGACTCAGAAAAACAAGCAGTCTGCTGACATCATCAGAAGTGGTAGCCTGGTCCAATCACAATGATTCCCCATGGAATTGGCTGAGACTGACAAAGAGGCAGTTCGGTGGCAGACCCAGCACAATTCAAACACAGCCCTGGCCAATCAGTATCTCCTCATAGAGATGAATTGAATCAATGAATCTCTATGAGGAAAGTTCAGTGTCTGCATGCAGAGGGAGGAGATACTGAATGTTTGGATGCATTTTAGGCAGTCATGACCCAGGAAGGATCCCTAACAGCCATCTTAGGAATGGCCAGTGAAGTTATCACTAGGCTGTAATGTAGCCGGAAGGTAATGATTATACTCACCAGAACAAATGAAATAGGCTGTAGTTGTTCTGGTGACTATAGTGTCCCTTTAAGAGTCAAAATACATTACAAAGTATCACAAATCAGGAATCATATGGAGTAACAGTAGGGCAGAGACACAGATTAGTATATGAACAGGTACAAACAGTAACAAGTCCTGAGCCAAAGAATCATTGTAAGAACACACAGCAATGCCATTAACACAAATAGAGAATTATAATTAATTAAGAAACAATAAAATAATACAATAAACATTGCTCTCTCCTTGTAATTTAAGTTAAATAATGTGTTTTATGTTTAGTTTAATTGTTTATTTACTGTCTCTTTTCTTTCATTTTTTTATGATGAGACATTTTTGACAGCTGTCTAGTTTCCAGTAGTTACCATGCCCCTCTCTCACAATGTTACAGTTACAACACGATTACAACACGATTAGGTAGGTAAATTGGGTCTTAACCGGAGGATCATACCACAAGTGGATTGACTGCTGGTAACTCATACTTCCCAACCGCTCACAGAACCCTTAGCACCGAGAAACTAGAAGATCATAACCACGTAGAATGCTAAATTGGGTTTATCCTAACAGAATTTGAAACCTAGCACCAAATCCAAGCTTTTTGTTCAGTTATTAATATCAAATAAGATTTACTTCTTTCAGATCAGCCAACAGCTGGCAAATCTCGAGGTCGCACTTGGCAAATCCTACCGATGTCTTTGTAGTATCTTATCATTGGAGAGGTGTCTTCCAGACCAGAGACGATTCATATAACACATATCACTGCCTAAAGAAAGTAGCAACAAGAGAACTGGATCGGCCTTAACAAGACAAAAACAGAGAAATGGAATCTGCTCATATCAAATCCGATACTATCCAACAAACATTAAGGCCGCCATTTTGATTTATTCCTGTTGGCTTTAGTGAACCTTTCCTAAGCGGTAACTAGAATGCTTTCTGCATTAAACCTCTTCTAGAGAGGTAATGAACGTCTTTTTACATCCCACATAGAATGATGAAAATAATCTGGAACAATCCGAAGGGATGATTTGTAGACAACTATCCATCTCGAAATGTAGCAAGAAAGTCCCAGAACACAGGCCGGACATCTACTAATGTGGGAATTCAAGGTGAATTCCAGATTTAGGGTAAAAATAGTCAAAATGGAACAATTCTCTAAAGCCTGCTTTCAGTTCGGCTGCTCTGGCCTTGAATTTGAATTCTCACTATAGTAAATGACGCTATGCAGTGCGGAATCGATAATTGTTTCGTTCAAGTCTTTGTTTAAGATTGACACTTGTAAAGGGTGGATTGTAGCAAATGAGATGGGCATATATGGTGTTGATTAAACATTTCCCTGAATTTGCCCTTAGTAAATATCCAAATTAAAAGGAATCCATTAAATAATATGAATGTTTTCTAATCCAGTGTCCAGGGAATAACCCAAAAGTTAATTTTTTTGTTACTCTTGCATGAAAACATAAAAAATTCATCATTAGCCAGGTTAAAATAGGAATTGAATCTATCACCATGTTTTTGGGATACATTTTATTTCTCGGTAATGTTTGGCCGTGCAGGTGATGTATAACCTGGCAGTATTCAGAATTTGTCCACAGTAGTTGAATTGGTTAATTAATCCCAATTTCAGTAATTTATTTGAGTAATTCATATTTTAGAGAACAAGCTAAAACATTTCCCAGGGCAGCATTTTTCATGTAATGTCCATCAGTACGTAGAGGTGATATATGTCTCAGCCTGCAATCTACTCAGGATAAACTATGGCAAAGGTAGGTGATCTTCAGCACTCCAGATGTTGTGGACTTCATGTTCCTTGAACCTTTGCCAGCATTACGTCTGCAACTGCACTGTGTGAGATGTAGTCCACAAGTGCTGAAGGTAGTCTATTTTTTGTTTTTTTTAAACACCTTAGACACACCCGGGTAATGCCTAAATCCTGGACTGTTAGATGTGCCTTGAGGAGAGGGTTGAGGAGCACTGCTCTACAGTACTTATAATAAATAATATATGTTTCTATACAGAACAAGTCCATATGGCTTCCCCCAGGAATACAGGGATTCAAAGAAAGTATATAGAGCTAACATTGCAATTGTTTTGCAGCATAACAGAGCAAGGACATTTAACCCTTTATTACAATCAGGGGCGTACCTAGAGCATATGGCACCCGGGGCGGGTCCCAGTTTTGGCACCCTTCCCCCCCACTTTAAAATGTAAAAAAACACACAATTTTTTTTTTAATGTATGTAGCATTGAGCAGTGCTTGCGTGTTTCAATGTAAGCATGTTTTTGTATGGATTAAGTGTGAGTGAATGTAGGGGTGTGTTTGTATGTAGTGTTGGCATTTTAACGCAGGCATGCATTTGTGTGTAGTGTTGGCGAGATGCAGTGGTGTGGTTATATATAATGGTAATGTTTTAGTACAGAGGTGTGTTTGTGTGTAGTGTTGGCAAGATGCTGAGATGTATGCAGATATATCCACACACTGACACACATGCAGATACAGACACAAACAGATACAGAGACACACATTTACACACATGCAACTACACAGACACACATACAGATACACAATGGCATCCTCCTGTTTCGTACCTGCTGCCTGAGGAGGTTGGGAGTTGGGCTCTAGTTCTCTCCCAATCAGTGCCGCCCTCCATCCTGCGTGTCTCAGTGTTAGCTGGGAGAAAGTGACTGAATTTCACTTCCCCCAGGGCTGCCATTATATTATTACAGAAGCCTGGTCGCACTATTAAAGCACCACAACGCACAACCGGCCCCTGAAGCAGTGGTGACTCTATGAACAATATATAGGGGAGGTACATAAACAGTGGGGGCTGGGAGCATTAATAATTTTCATTAGGTAATGGGGTAACGTGCTGCCATTGGCTGTCTGACGACAGCATGTTGTGCATGCTGGCATCAGACAACACATTTGCATAGAATTCACATTAGCCACCCAGATTTCTGGCATCAGACAACACATTTGCATAGAATTCACATTAGCCACCCAGATTTCTGGGATGGCTGACACCTCTTAACTTTGATATTTGTTTAGCGGATAACTCCCCTGTTTGTTATCCTTATGTGGGATTGCCATATTTAAGGACACCAAATAAGAGAGCTATCTGCTAAACAGCACCCTACTTTGGTATTTTTACTAATGGAATCTCACATAAGGGCACCAATTTAGGGAATTCTCTACCAAACAGCTAAAAGATCAAAATTTAAAAAGCCTTTTTCTTAATTTTAATCTTAAGGTTGTTTAGTAGATAACTCACGTATTTGTTATCCTTATGTGGGATTGACATATTTAAGGACACACAATTAGGGAGCTATCTACTAAACACATACACAACCACAGATATACACACACGCATTTAGTTATTAAGAGGTCCAACCAACCTCCCTACCTTCTGGGAGTGACTAGCGGTTGCTGCTGGGCTGGGATCTCTGTGCTCTTCCTTCACAGCTCACTTGCACGACCAGTAGTGATGCCGATGCCAGGATGACGTCATACCCTGGCTGCCGGCTTACTGCAGGGCGCACACAAACTCCTATATGGTCCATAAAAAATGTTTAATCTCACTGCCTCCCAGTATATATCTGTCCTATCTGTCTGGAGGAATGTGACAACGTGGATGTATATGTAAGTGGGTGAGTATTACTAGCAGGAGAAAGGTATATGGCAGGGTGGGACAGTGTGGTGGATACTATGACAGTGTGTGCCATTGCACACAGTGGATTGAAAGAGGTAACTACAGGTGAGGTGGTGAGTATATGGTGTTTTAGGTCATGGGTGGGAACAATGGGATTGGGTGTTATATGGAAGAGAGGATATTATGTCAAGGCAGGGGTGTATGGCAGGGTGTGTATTATGATAAGGTGGAGGTATATAGCAGGGAGGGTATTATGGCAGTGTGGGTATTATATGATGTCAAAGGGGTATATGCCAGGGTGGGAATTATGACCAGGTAGTGGGTTTATAGCAGGGAGGGTATTATGACAAGGCGGGGGTGTATATGGCAGGGAGGGTATTATGACAAGGCAGGGGTATATATGGCAGGATGTGTACTATGATAAGGTAGGGGTGTATATGGCAGGGTGTGTACTATGATAAGGTGGGGGTGTATATGGCAGGGAGGGTATTATGATAAGGTGGGGGTGTATATGGCAGGGAGGGTATTATGATAAGGTGGGGGTGTATATGGCAGGGTGTGTATTATGATAAGGTGGGGGTGTTTAAATTTAAAAAAACTACTTGTCCAGGGACTATAATGTTTGCTCAATCTACTCATAGGCGTGCGCACGGGGTGTGCCGGGTGTGCCTGGGCACACCCTAATCCCCGCGGCACGCCTATGTATATTGAGACCGGCAGGGGAGATCTCAGGATCTCCCCTGTCGGCTCATGCAGAGCCAGCGCTATCCGAGCGCCGGCTCTGCTCTCAGCCTCCCTCCCCATTGACCCACATGCAGGAAGGGAGGCAGGAGAGGACCGGCGGAGCTATTGCCGGCAGCTCCGCCGGGTTCCTCTCGCGAGATATGAGCGTTGCCTCGGCAACGCTCAAATCTCGCGAGAGTGAACTCTAGCCCCACAGGGGCTAGAGTTCACTCTCCACTGGACCACCAGGGAAAGCAGCAGCACTATCCCCCCTCCCTACAAAAGGTAAGAAGGGAGGGGGGATAGCAAGTAATCCACCTCCACCCCCACAATCACCCACCCACATACAGCACACACACCCACACATACAGCACACATACAGCACCCACACACATACAGCACCCACAGACATATACAGCACCCACAGACATATACAGCACCCACAGACATACACAGCACCCACAGACATACACAGCACCCACAGACATACACAGCACACACAGACATACAGCACCCACAGACATACACAGCACACACAGACATACACAGCACCCAAACACATTCAGCACCCAAACACATTCAGCACCCAAACACATTCAGCACCCACAGACATACACAGCACCCACACACATACAGCACCCATACACAGCACCCACAGACATACACAGCACCCACAGACATACAGCACCCACAGACATACAGCACCCAGACACATACAGCACCCACAGACATACACAGCACCAACACACATACAGCACCCACACACACATACAGCACCCTCACAAACACACACAGCACACAAACAGCACCCACACACACATACAGCACCCTCACAAACACACACAGCACACAAACAGCACCCTCACACACACACAGCACACTACACAGTACCCTCACAAACACAAACAGGACCCTCACACACAGTACATTAACAGCACCCTCACAAGCACACACACACACAAACAGCACCCTCACACACAGTACATTAACAGCATCCTCACAAGCACGCACACACAAACACCCTCACCCACATAGCACAGTACCAGCACCGTCACACACACATCACACTAACAGCACCCTCACACAGCACACACACACACACAGCAGTGTGTGTATGTGTGTATATATGTGTATATATATATATATATATATATATATATATATATATATATATACACACATATATATATATATACATACATACATATATATATGCGGCGTGTGCTTGTGCTTTAGGGTGCACACCCTAATGCAATAGGCTGTACACGCCTATGAATCTACTTGTCTGCTGTGACAATCAACTTGTCCTGATACAAATCTTTATTGATAGTAATTTAGGAGACAGACCTGGTGTAGGGAACATAGTGTGGGGTGGTATAGGGATGTAGTATGGGTAAGACACATAGTGTGGGGTGGGATAGGGATGTAGTATTTGTCAGACACATAGTGTGGGGTGGGATAGGGATGTAGTATGGGTAAGACACATAGTGTGGGGTGGGATAGGGATGTAGTATGGGTAAGACACATAGTGTGGGGTGATAGGGATGTAGTATGGGTAAGACACATAGTGTGGAGTGGGATAGGGATGTAGTATGGGTAAGACACATAGTGGAAATGTTATGGGGAGCTGGAGATGTTATGGGAAGCTGGAGATGTTACGGGAAGCTGGAGATGTTATGGGAAGCTGGAGATGTTGTAGGGAGTTGGAGATGTTATGGGACGCTGGAGATGTTGTAGGGAGTTGGAGATGTTATGGGAAGCTGGAGATGTTATGAGAAGCTGGATATGTCTTGGGGGATGGAGATGTTATGGGAAACTGGAGATGTTATGAGAAGCTGGATATGTCTTGGGGGATGGAGATGTTATGGGAAGCTGGAGATGTTATGAGAAGCTGGATATGTCATGGGGGATGGAGATGTTATGGGAAGCTGGAGATGTTTTAGGAAGATGGAGATCTTATAAGAAGATGGAGATGTTGTAGGGAGTTTGAGATGTCATGGGGATGGAGATGTTATGGGGAGATGGAGATGTTATTGGGAGCTAGAGATGTTATGGGAAGCCGGAGATGTCATGGGGGATGGAGATGTTATGGGAAGCTGGAGATGTTATGGAAAGCTGGGGATGTTATGAGAAGCTGGATATGTCATGGGGGATGGAGATCTTATAAGAAGATGGAGATGTTATAGGGAGTTTGAGATGTCATGGGGATGGAGATGTTATGGGAAGCTGGAGATGTTATAGGGAGTTGGAGATGTCATGGGGATGGAGATGTTATGGGAAGCTAAGTTGGAGATGTTATGGGAAGATGGAGATGTCATGGGGGATGGAGATGTTATGGAAAGCTGGAGATGTTATGAGAAGCTGGATATGTCTTGGGGGATGGAGATGTTATGGGAAGCTGGAGAAGTTATGGGAAGCTGGAGATGTTACGGGAAGCTGGAGATGTAATGGGAAGCTGGAGATGTTATGGGAAGCTGGAGATGTTACGGGAAGCTGGAGATGTAGGGAGTTGGATATGTTATGGGAAGCTGGAGATGTTATGAGAAGCTGGATATGTCATGGGGGGTGGAGATGTCATGGGAAGCTAGAGATGTTATGGGAAGCTGGAGATGTTACGGGAAGCTGGAGATGTTATGGGAAGCTGGAGATGTTACGGGAAGCTGGAGATGTTACGGGAAGCTGGAGATGTTGTAGGGAGTTGGAGATGTTATGGGAAGCTGGAGATGTTATGAGAAGCTGGATATGTCATGGGGGTGGAGATGTCATGGGAAGCTAGAGATGTTATGGGAAGCTGGAGATGTTATGGGAAGCTGGAGATGTTGTAGGGAGTTGGAGATGTTATGGGAAGATGGAGATGTTATGAGAAGCTGGATATGTCATGGGGGAGGGAGATGTTATGGGAAGCTGGAGATGTTATGAGAAGCTGGATATGTCTTGGGGGATGGAGATGTTATGAGAAGCTGGATATGTCTTGGGGGATGGAGATGTTATGGGAAGCTGGAGATGTTTTAGGAAGATGGAGATCTTATAAGAAGATGGAGATGTTGTAGGGAGTTTGAGATGTCATGGGGATGGAGATGTTATGGGGAGATGGAGATGTTATTGGGAGCTAGAGATGTTATGGGAAGCCGGAGATGTCATAGGGGATGGAGATGTTATGGGAAGCTGGAGATGTTATGGAAAGCTGGAGATGTTATGAGAAGCTGGATATGTCATGGGGGATGGAGATCTTATAAGAAGATGGAGATGTTATAGGGAGTTTGAGATGTCATGGGGATGGAGATGTTATGGGAAGCTGGAGATGTTATAGGGACTTGGAGATGTTATGGGAAGATGGAGATGTCATGGGGGATGGAGATCTTATGGAAAGCTGGAGATGTTATGAGAAGCTGGATATGTCTTGGGGGATGGAGATGTTATGGGAAGCTGGATATGTCATGGGGGATGGAGATCTTATAAGAAGATGGAGATGTTATAGGGAGTTTGAGATGTCATGGGGATGGAGATGTTATGGGGAGATGGAGATGTTATTGGGAGCTAGAGTTGTTATGGGAAGCCGGATATATTATGGGGAGATGGAGATGTTATGGAGAGATGGAGATGTTATGGGAAGCTGGAGATCTTATTGGGAGCTAGAGATGTTATGGGAAGCTGGAGATCTTATTGGGAGCTGGAGATGTTATTGGGAGCTTGAGATGTTATGGGGAGCTAGGGATGTTATGGGGTATCTTGAGGATGACAAATCTTACACATTAAAGTTGTCTGTATAATTCTAGAGAAGTGTCATACTCAAAGAAAGTTAGACTCCCTCCATATCACGGAGTATAGATGCACTAGGGCCATCAAAGTGATATCAAACTAGGGACATGAAATGTGTAATTGAGACTCAACAGTTTTCATGTCTGCTGATACTGATTCTTATGATGAGAACTGTTTGTGTGTCAGTGTTTGTATCTGTATGTTTGTATCTGTGCATCTATGTGCGATTGTGTGTCTGTGTGTTTACATGTGTGTACCTGTGTGTCTGTTTGTATTTGTAAGTGTGTTTGTATCTGTGTATTTGTGTCAGTGTTTGTGTCTGTGTATATGCATGTGTGAGTATGTATCTGTGTGTGTGTAGCTGTGTGTCTGTGTATCTTCATGTGTGTCGGTGTGTGTCTGTGTATCTGTCAGTGTGCATCTGTATGTCTATATATCTGCAAGTGTATATGTATGTATGTATGTGCTACATCTCAGCATCTTGCCAAAACTACACACAAATACACCCCTGTATACAAACACATCTAAGTATTAGAACACCAACATTATATATAAACACACCACTGTATTTAAAAAAAACAAAAAACACTACACACAGATGCACGCCTGCATTCAAATTCTGTAATAAAACGTAACGTGTTTTCTGGATATGGTATATATTGCGCATTAAAACAATGTGTTTTCTGGATATTGTACATATTCTGTAATGAAACACAACACATTTTTCTGGATATGGTACATATTGGGTATTATAACAATGTATTTTCTGGTTATTGTGTGTGTATCCTGTAGCTGTCTTTGTTTTCACGTACTGTGTTCCAGATAAAAGTTAAGAGTTTCCATAAGCATCCATCTAAGGCTTTTTATTTCCAGACTCAGCTGCATGAAAAGTTCATTCGTGTGTAAAAAGTTATTAATAATTCACCTTTTGCATCTTGCTCGGACAGAAGTATTTTATTCATAGATAATAACCAATCTCACGTGCAATCAGCACCAGCTGACAAGACAATAGTGTATACTCAATGGACTGCATTTTATAATACATAGCTCACAATAGAAATATGTACATGTGCCAATCGTCTCCACGTGTGAACAATATGGATCATATATATATACCTGATGTTGGTAAAAGAGATGCATTCTTACCTTACATACATTTAATATAGATAAAATGGCTGGATATATGTGGCGTGCTTTCTCGTTTTCGCTTTGCATTTTTAATGATGTGTCTGGTGAGGTTACGTATTTGTGAAGCTATTGAACTGTGAAGATCAAACCAAGGGCATGCTGACTGCAACCATTAGATGGACCTCGGTACATGTAGGCATGTAGTATATTATGATAACTTTTACATTTCCCACATTACTATAACTACCAACAGCTGGACAGGTAAAGCTGGCCAACCCGGGCTGAAGGCCTGTCATAAAATGCTAAAGAAGGGACCTAGAGCAGCCCCCAAAACATGCATTTCTTAACAGTTTTGCTGCGGTAAAGAAAATTTACATTAAGGGAACAGTGTGCACACATGCAATAAATTAGTTCCAGATCTTGCATTAGTCCTTTGTTAAATGTGACCACAAAAAAACCCCAATTTGAGTAGATCGTCTTGAAGTGGTTTTTACAGTAAGTATTCTAGTTAGCACGTTTATCACCCATAAGATTAGTGTAGGACCCACCAACATCGGACTACTTTGTCAGTATTGTTTGACTTAAACATGACGTGGCCATACAGTGTGACCATATCCCGATATTCATTTGTTTAAGATAGATTATTTTATGTATCCTTGTAAGATTTGAAACTGTATTTTTGAGTGTGCTCTATTTGTGTTTTTATTTTATTTAATGGCAAACATTAGTGATGTCACGAACGGTTCGCCACGAACGGTTCGCCACGGACTCATCATTGAGTAAACTTTGACCCTGTACCTCACAGTCAGCAGACACATTCCAGCCAATCAGCAGCAGACCCTCCCTCTCAGACCCTCCCACCTCCTGGACAGCTCACTAAGAATGCAGCTTCAAAATGGATGCTATGGATGCTGTCCAGGAGGTGGGAGGGTCTGGGAGGGAGGGTCTGCTGCTGATTGGCTGGAATGTGTCTGCTGACTGTGAGGTACAGGGTCAAAGTTTACTCAATGATGAGTCCGTGGCGAACCGTTCGCGAACCGTTCGGCTAACCGTTCGGGACATCACTAGCAAACATGTCTAGCAAGTAGAAGGACTTAAGGAGTAGGTTGTCTTATGGTTGACTCTTCTGAGGTCCCAAACAATGCTGGATTCATACTGTCCCCCTTTTGCCTTCATGATGATTATCAACAGCCTTCAATAGCAGAGATTTCATTCCACTCTTCTACTGAACACCAAATCAGTTACATTTATTGCTATCTGGAAACAGGTTTCTTTGTATCTTGTCTACTCCCATTTTTTGGGGTCCAAACCTGTCATCTTGCGTGATGTACATTACTGTTTTTTGTTCTGTGTCTTGACATGTATTATGTTTGTATTTATGATTCTTCTTCTATAATATGAACAGAAATACAGTTTAATTGATCAGTTGTCTGTGTTGGTATTTTAAACCATTACTCAAACAAGGCAAAATGTCCTACAGCGAAGCACAGTTACAAAAATACGTCAATGATGACATTGAAAATTGGACGCCGAGAAAATGTTCTGGAAGTTTACAGATCACACAACTCAGCATAATTTATCTGTCATAAAGATAAATGTTAATTGAGTCAGAGATGGAACATGTAGGCTGTGACAATGATGGAACAATTACAATTGGTTGATGCATGGGGAGGGTCTCTCCTAATGGAAGTAACGGGGAACTATACAGGTGAGGGAATATATTGGGGAAAAAGGGGATTGACGAAAAAGGAATGTAACGGGGTGGGATAATGAAAGCAGAATGATTCAAGCAATAGATTGAGAGAAAATACAGAGGAGATAAATTCACTTTTATTTATCACTGAAGTATTAATATTTTGTAAATATGACAGAACGGCACGTATATATTGTATACTTAACATTATCTATACACTGTACTAGTTACTGAGCCGTCAGAATATTATTTCATCAGTGCTTTGCATTGAAATATTGCTATGACTGAGTACAGCAGATAATTAATACATTTGTCATCTGATTAAAGGATATTATCAGATCAAATAGCTGCTATAGCCTGCATTACTGAAGCTACAGTTGGAGGAACAAGTATGTGCATCCTTTGCAATTAACTTGATTATGGCATAAACTGGTTTTAAAATTGATGGGATCTCCAACAACAACTAATAACAACAACAGACAAATAACACATTCACAATGCAAGTTGGAAAACATAACTGAACCCTTGGATTTAATAGCTGTTATTAACCAGCAATAGCCTTACCAAAGCATTTCCAGTTGAGCAGATACGACCATCACAACTTGAGATACTCGAGAAACACCAAATGAACCAGCACCTACTGCAGTCTGTCCTTATATGGTTTGAGAGGACCTACAACAAAAGAGAATTGATGCTTAGATACATGGGATGGCTTGCAAGCCTCGTCAACTCACAACTCCCATCTGCACATTATATGACCATGTCTACAAGTGGGGTGTAGGCCACAAAGAAAAATGAGATCCATTGGTTTCAGCTGGTAATCATTCATGCAGATGGATAAAGGATAAGTAAAGGCCAATTAAAGTCCCAGGTCCCAGGTGCACTCTTTCACCACCATGTGTGTATCCCTCCATCAACCATTCTCCCCGGGCACCCTTTATGGTGACATTTCTATTCAAACTGACCATTAAACCATCTGTGCCTTCCCTCCCAAAATGACTTATACATTCCTATTATTTATGCCTGGCTTTAACTGTGTGACCCTGCAGATAAGCAATGCATTAATTTATGCAATGTTGGCATTGACGAGGTTAACGCAGAAAACCTTGTCCTTAATTTTAATATGATTTAGTGCTGATTCCTTTAACCTAATTTCCTGCAATCACTGCTGAGTCACTGTGAGCAGGCGGGCCGAGCGCTGCTACATCTTTTGAGCTAACTACATAGAGAATTTCTTCAACACAGAATTTTCTGAAAAAAACAAAAACAAACAAAAAACAAAATCTAAGTAAACTTATGTTAAACAGAAAATACTCATTTTGGCTATCAGTCAGAATTTTGTATGGATCTCATTCTAGATTTTTTTTAAATCTGGACCAATATTTTAAAAAGCTGAATCATTTAGATCTCTGACAGTGCAAATAGTTACAAAAAATCGTAGTGCTGTGCAATGGGTGGACTAACAAACAAGTGTCTATAACAAGACGAGCTGGACGCACAGGGACAGAGGGGGTTGATGGCCCTGGTCAAACGAGCTTACATTCCTGTCCTAGTGTGCTCTATACCCCACCTCCTATAGACTATAAGCACGTTTCAACCTATCGTTCCTGTAAGTTTTCTTGTAATTGTCCTATTTATAGTTAAATCCCCCCTCTCGTAATATTGTAAAGCGCTACGGAATCTGTTGGCGCTATATAACTGGCAATAATAATAATAATAATAGATGGAGTGGGGTAAAGTTACACAAGGGGTAAAGGATGGATGTATTTCATATACGGGAAAAGTAGGTTGTTAGAATAAAACAATATATAAAATAAAGTAGGTTACTGGAATAGTTTGCAGTGAGAGGATAGTTTTTGGATTTAATGCCTGAGTTTTCAAGGACTGGAGACTGAATGAGAGTCCAATGGAGCTGGGAAGGGAGTTCCATAGGAACCGTGCAACCCTTGAGAAGTCCTGAAGGTGGGTGTCAGAGGAGCGATTTGAGAAGACAAACCCCATGTGAATGAACTTTATAGACGATTTAGGCCCACATTGTGACAGTTTGAGAATGTTTCTAGGTTGCGAAATCCACTTGGAATTCTTGATAATTCCCACTGTAGTGAATAGTATGTGGATTATATGCGATATACTGATGTCAGTGTACTTTCTGCGTACTTTCTGCGTTAGCAAGGAATACACTAAAAGCAATAACAAGTAAAGGAGTATATTTGCATATTTAATATTTTGTATTCACTAACATAAATGTATCTCCCAGGGAAAATGGATGTAGCTGTTCTCAATCGGTACATTACAGCTGCTGCGGTCACCATGGTAACAGAAACCACGGCAACACTACATCAAGTAGGTAGTTTAACTCTTGCAGCTCCAGAAACACAGACAATGCAATATTCAAACAATGAAAAGTTTAAGACAGATGTATTTATAAATTCATTGATTTACCCAGGAAGAATGTGAAATTTTTATTGTAATGACATAGTTACAGTAGCTGAAAAGAGACTTGCATCCATCAAGTTCAGCCTTCCTCACATATGTTTTTTGCTGTTGATCCAAAAGAAGGCAAAAAACCCAGTCTGAAGCGCTTCCAATTTTGCCACAAACTAGGAAAAAATTCCCTTTTGACCCCAAAATAGCAGTCAGATGTCTCCTTGGATCAAGCAGCTATTACCCCACTAATTAGAAATTATATCCCTGTATGTTATGTTTTTGTAAATATTTATCCAATTGCAGTTTAAACATCTGTAATGACTCTGACAAAACCACAGAGAATTCCATATCCTTATTGCTCTTACTGTAAAAAAAAACCTTTTCTTTGCATTAGATGAAATCTCCTTTCTTCCAGCCTAAATGTGTGACCTCATGTCCTGGGTACAGCCCTGTTTATGAATAGATTTCCAGATAAAGGTTTGTACTGGCCCCGAATGTATTTGTATAAGATTATCATATCCCCTCTCATGTGTCCTTGGAATTCAGTACTGTTACAATGTTACAATAACACATTAAATAACTAGTGAAACTTTGTAATATTTTGTTAGAGGGTTGATTGTGGGTTCGATGTGACTGACAGATGATAAGGGATGTTAACGCTGCCTGTAAGATGCATTGTTGTTGTGCCATCAGCATAAAGATTCCGTGTCACACTCACCTCCCAGCGTCATGCTTTCTCCCACAAACCTCAGCCAACCTTAACTCTGCCTGTGCTGTGCATATCATGCATCTTGGGCGCAGTGTGGTGCAGTGTATGGGTATGCCGTCCCATGGCCCCAGTGCAATAATCACTGGTACACATACAATTGACATGCACTCACTGACTGTAATGCAGTATTTGCAAAAATACTTTCAATTACAGACACACGCTCTCACTTATATACATACACTGTCAGTGTGTGTCAATGAGTGTATGTCAGACACACAGTCATAAACACTGTTCACTGACAGACAAACACACTCTCAGATATAAATACACTGATGTGCACACACTGACAGACACACATACTCACTGACAGACAAACACACACACACACACACACACACACTTAATGATAGATACACTGATATACACACACTCTCACTGATTTGACACACACTGACATACACTTACTTACTGGCAGACAGAAACACTAACTTATTTGATACAAACTGACAGACACACACACTCACTGGCAGACACACACACACACTCACCAACAGACACATACTCATTGATAAGCACACTCACTGACAGACACACACACACTCTGAGATGCACATACACTGGCATACACACACCACCAGACAAACACTCACCGCCAGACACACTCAATTTTATTTAGTCTTTTTATTTTATTTTATTTTTTTGAGGCCCATCCAGCCTCCCTACCTTTGGGAGAGCTAGTTAGGCTGCTAGAGTAGGACCTGCCAAGAATGGGGTACATTGAAGTTGTGGCAGGCTTATGCAATATATGATCATATACTGTAACTAAATCCCATTATTTTTTTGCCTAAGTGAGGTGTTTTTAAATAAAACTATTACAATCTGTTAGACTTCAAAACATTGTTTAGTGAATAACCGAGTGCGCTGCATTCTGTATTTTGTGTATTTTGGCCCCAGCAGCACCCTATAATGTATGCATGTTCAGGTGAGTGCAGCCCTCTTGGTTTCATCTAAAAATATTGGTTGCCAGGAGGCAAAGGGGGCCCACCCACAACTATATGGCTATCATTTAATTTTTTTAAGAAATAAATACATTTTAAAACATACAAGTGGAAAAAGGTACCATTCAAATTTTTGTGAAAAAAAAATAAATTTTTTAGTTGTTACAGTGTACATATATTGTACATATTACTGGCAGTATACAGTAGATACTAAATGTAAGACAGATTGTTATAATTTAATTACATTTTTTATTTTAAATAAATGGTGCATATATTTAAATCTTCACAGCAAATCACAAAAATATAAAAGTACAATTGTCATTTCAAGCTTTTGAAACATAAATACCGAAGCATTCGAATATTATATTTGACTTTTTTACACAACGCATGGTCAAATCCTACTGTTGCTTTAACAAAAATACTGGAATTTCAATAAAATGGTACTTAATACATAAAAAATAGGCATATAAGTAATATATTGCACAAACGATGAACTGCAAATTACCTCTGTGATAACATATATCATGTCTGGATATATGGCATAAGTATCTACTACAGACTAAATGTGGTCCAAACTCCATAACTCAAATATAGAAAAACATAGTTAAGGAACTGTTGCAATGTCTATTAAACATAAACGTAAAAGCCCCCCCATCTTATTTTATTATTATTATTATTATACAAATCATTATACAGCAGCCCTGTCCAGGTATTTAGGAGCCCCAAGCCATTTAATTGTATTATTATTATGAAAATCTTCATACAGTACCCCCGATTACGCCCGATTCAGGTATACAGTCGGGGGGCACTGTATGATGATTTGTAGAACAATAATATATTTGTGTGGCTGGGGACCCTGCACAAATGACACAAATGACTGCAAAATTGAGGCTGAGCTGTGGCTTGTGGGGACAGCTGAAGTGAGAGAGAGACCTCCACCCTTACACCTTTCAAAGGAAAACTTTGTCGCAGTTTGTGACTGACCTGCACCGGCTGCACGGACCCCCATCGTTGCCCTTACAGTAAAGTTTTGAGTTAAATTAGTTTATCTGTGATAGCTGGAATGAAGGAGCAGTGAGTACATTGTATCAGATTTTGTCGTTATTTGAGGAATGTCATTGTTTGGGGAGCGTTCTAATTTCAGGAGCATGGGTGCTGGACAGTTACTGACTAGCAGAGACACTAATGTAACTGGCTACTGCCTAAAGGGGGGATTCAATGTGAATAGCTATGCCACCTAGAATATGACATTTACATTGAATTCTCTGTTTAGTGAATGGCCCTTACAGGATTCAAGGTAAATGTTAAACGTAAGGCCGGGTAGCCAAACTGGAAGGATAGTTTGACCATCGATATAAAACTCACATTGAATTCTCAGTCTGGGCTCTCTTCACGTGCAGATCCCGTATGTCAATCATGTTTTGTTAGAATTTAGTGTTTGTTTTTTTACCTATAGTACAGCGCTGCAGAATATGTTGGTGCTATATAAATAATTGTAATTACACATTATCTACTACAGTACTCATTTACTAAGCTTTAACCCCTACACATTGCACTGCATATTAACCCCTCCTTATGCCACCTTAGCGCATTACACTTTACTACACATTAACCTCTATACTACTACTTAATACTAACTCCTACATTAACCATTAACTCCTACACTGCATACCTACTAAACATTAACCCCTACATTACCGTATCTCTAGATATTAACCCTTACACTGCACGTCTACTAATCATTAACCCCTACATTACCCTATCTCTAGTAATTAACCCTTACAATGCACGTCTACTAAACATGAACCCCAACATTACTCTATCTCTAACCATTAACCCTTACAGTGCCCATCTACTAATCATTAACCCTTACATTACCCTATCTCTAACCATTAACTCCTACACTGCACGTCTACTAAACATTAACCCCTACATTATCCTATCTCTATCCATTAACCCTTACACTGCACGTCTACTAATCATTAACCCCTACATTACCATATCTCTAGATATTAACCCTTACACTGCATGTCTACTAATCATTAACCCCTACATTACCCTATCTCTAACCATTAACCCTTACAGTGCACGTTTACCAATCATTAACCCCTACATTACCCTATCTCTAACCATTAACCCATACACTGCACATCTACTAAACATTAACCCTAACATTACCCTATATCTAACCATTAACCCTTACACTGCACTTCTACTAAACATTAACCCTATATTACCCTATCTCTTACCATTAACTTCTACACTGCACGTCTCTTAAACATTAACCCTAACATTACCCTATATCTAACCATTAACTCCTACACTGCACTTCTACTAAACATTAACCCCCACATTACCCTAACTCTAACCATTAACCCTTACACTGCACATCTACTAATTATTAACCCCTACATTACCATAACCCTAACCATTAACTCCTACACTGCACTTCTACTAAACATTAACCCCCACATTACTCTAACTATTAACCCTTACACTGCACGTCTACTAAACATTAACCCTTCATGACCCTTACTCTAACAATAAACTCCTACACTGCACGTCTACTAAACATTAACCCCATACATTACCCTAACTCTAACCATTAACTCCTACACTGCACTTCAATTAAAAACATTAACCCCCACATTACCCTAACTCTAACCATTAACCCTTACATTACCCTAACTCTAACCAATAACTCCTATTAACACTGTTTTAATACAAGCCGAAACCTAAACGTATCATCTAATATAAACAATACATAAGTGCGTAATATGTAATAGTGGCAAATGATGCCTCTGAGGAGTTCTGAGCATGTTTTTAAACTTTTACAAATCGTTTATTATGATTTGTCTAGAACCCCTTGAAGGTATTTTTCTACAAAACATGGTTCACGTATCTGTATATCTCTCTGGATGTGCATTATATATCAAACATATACATTATAAACAATGTTTATCTTTATACCCTTCCACCCTCTTTTTTTTGTAGTTTCACAATTGTTATTAATTTAAGAATGTATTTATTGATTTTACTTGTGATGGTAAAGAGGGATTATGGCAAGTTACAAAGTAAAAAGATAAAATAATGTTTTTTCTTTATTTATATATATACATAACATATATGATTATGAGAATTTTTTTTTTCAATAAGTAACATCATATTATTTATATATAGATATTGCTTTACTGTTTTCCTAAAGTAATATCAATAGAGGCAGCTTTCTGTCCCTCTTACTTCCAAACACTTCTAGTGACAAATAAATATCCCACTTGATTTAAAATATTGCTTATTTTGTGGACGATCAGTATGTTACAAGCTATAAAATCAATCAAAAGGGAGGAAAAGAAAATCAATAATTGCGTGTAGCTCAGGCCAATAATAATATGTAATTACACCAATTTATGGCATTGTCTGACCTCTCCAGACCACAAAGTGTTAACATCCCCCCCACCCCTATTGATTTCTGACGCTGCGTGCTGACGAAAGTAAATGATCAGGCTGCCCTGCCAACAGCATCTCACCCCCCCCCCCCTCTAGCCCTCCTCATCTCCTCATCATCAGCATCTGTGGATACAGAGCAGAGTGGGTGGGATCACTTCCTGCAGAGATGCTTCCCTGTTGCCTCCTCATTGTGGCTGGCTGCTGTTGACAGGATTGCTAGGGAAACATCAGCTTCACAGAGGAGAGAGAGGGTGTGAAGGGACCGTTCTACGCTCGTCCTCTCCCAGCATCATGGCATAGGCTTGCTGCAAAGTCCCGGAGCTCGCCCCACCAAGGAGAGGTGTCTCAGCCTGCGGGTAACGTGCTGAGAGCTCTCCTTGTTTTTCTTTTTGTTTTTCAGACTCTATCTTTGCAGCACCGGGATCATCATACGACAGTAGTGGATGCCTTGCAGTTACATTACAGCGAGGGAAGGGGGAGCAGAAGGACAATCACGAAAAGGATCTGCAAAATGACTTCAAAAAACAATATAGCAGATCCCATGGAATTGTCCTCTGTCTAGTTTTATACCTCGTTTTCTTAACTGGACTTCAATAGAATCCAGCACTTTATTTTCTCTGGGATTAGTACAAGTCTTGTTTGTGTTTATCGAGTTTTGGTTGTGTATCACAGAAGGTGGAAGGGAGGAAGGGTGGGTTGGAGGGAACGTGAAACTTTCACCTCCTTGTTTATCACAGGACATCATGGCATGGCCCTGTATTACCAGAGCCTGCTGCATAGCACGCTTCTGGAACCAACTCGATAAGGGTGACATTGCAGTGCCTCTAGTTTTCAGCAAGTACTCAGAGGTTACAGACGGCATTCAACAGCATCAAACATACCTGCAACAACCTCAAGCTCGTCCAAGTTCAACTGCCATTGAAGTACAACTATCATTAGTAGAGGCAGATCATGGGGGACATGCTGGGTCCACAAGAGACTTACCCCAACAGCATGGGCCTTCTCATGTCAAGGAGCAGTCAGGCTCCATAATGCGCCAGGATTATAAACCCTGGAACATCAAGCCGGAGCCCAGCTGCAAACCCAAAAGTGAGTACCATCCTTCTGACACCCCCTTTGAGCAGGAGACTCAATACAAGAAGGATTTCAAACCTTGGCCCATCCCTCGTCGTGGAGACCATCCTTGGATCCATAAACCCTCGCCGGGCCTCACTGCCCCAACAGCTTCCAGTCAGGCCAAGAGGAAGAAGGAACCAGTCGCACAACCAGAGAAACGGCTAGCGGAGCCGACGAATGTGGAAGACACAGAAAAAACGGTGCACAAAGTCAAAGCGTCAGTGTCATTTAGCAAAGAAAAAGATAAAGTATCGAGCGCTAAAGATACCCCAGAAAAGAAGGTGAGAGAGAAGTCTCCCGCTGGAAAGCCTACTGTGGATGGAATGAGACATAGGGATGCATCGGACATATTCAACAGGCAGATTAAAGAAGACTTGGGAACCAGCTCTTCATACAGGTCAGAAAGAAACAAACTAACAATTGACCATATTCTCTAGAATTGTATGATCTGTTTGAAATGTTTATGGCTGCAAAAAAAAAACTACAATATAAATATCAAATATTATATAATCAGCGTGTTTAATAACACTTTATTACCCGTGTTTAATTAGTAATACACAGTGCCTAGATTCTGTGGTTATCCTTGATAAAACAAATATAATACCTGGTCATCTCATCTGTGTTTACACGGATAAACCCGGGACAGACAGTAGGCCTGCGTGGGGCCTGTCTGGAGTAAACTCCCCGATACAGCTATTAGCATTGGCCAGACTGAATCCAATGCTGACATAAAACACATCTGACGATATTGTAGAAATGGACAGTTTTCAGGTGTAGTGACATTGATGAGTCATGCAATAAGGATCCCTGTGGTTTTATCTGGTAAACAAGCTAGCTGTGGTATTGTATTGTCATTCTACGCGGTGGAGAAACTAGGAGTTTGCAATAATCTGAAAACATTATTGGACATAAGTTTCTGCTTTCATTAGTAATTTTAGACTTTTTATGTATGGGATAATAAAACCTACTGGATCTCTTTCACCCTCCCCCCCTATTTATGTCATGGTATTCGATATATGCAATACATGTGCGGTATATGGTGGGGGCAGGTGTGTGAATGCACAATATGTCTTTCTGAATTAGTTGTGAAACTTGCAGAGATGCAGCGGGTAGAACTTCCAGGAGTCCACAATTATAACGGGCCTCTGCTCTAGGCCGTGCAGGAAATCTTGTTAGGACACAATATCCCTTTACCAGACCCTCAGAATTCCTTGTTTTGATGCTTATAATGATCTTTTGTGTTAGATACTTTGTAACACATTTGTAGGGACACGCTATGTAAATTTCATGTTACAACCAACCTTGGACCTTCATCAGGACTATAGGCACAGTATGCACCAGGCATTGACATAAGCTCACATGAAAAATATTTGATTGTTGCGTGCACTGGTTTAACTTTCATGATTTGCAGTTTCCCTGTTGTTTTTTACACCCGATATCTGCTCTTGGATAAGCTCCTAATCTTGTGAAGTCCTCAGATAGATGTCAGAATGTTGTTGATGTCAGATTAAGAAAGGATTGTTAGTAAATCTATAACTGCCTGAACCAAATCATAATACATAGCACTGAGATACAAAGCAGATTGCCTGATACCGTACTGTGTCATTTTTTAATAAAATATAGATTGTAGCCTAATTTCTCTAATTTGACTATATCCGCATATCATGATTGTGCAAAATTATATTGAACATTGTACGTGACACGTCCACTGGGAATAAGTGGTTTCAAAATAAATCTCTAATTTGCTAACACACTTTGAAATGAAAAATCACAACCTAGATTTCTGTTGTTTATAACCCATTGAGTTATCTCTTGTCACTGGTTAAAATGCTTTCTTTATACCAAGCTGTGATAGCATGCTTCGTAATGATCCTTAGTCCTTTATACGGCAGCTCAGTTACCGGTGATTTGACAGATATAGTGAATATCTAGTGCTTTCATGCAGTATGCAAGATGTGGTGCATCCAGTGAATGAATCAGCTTTTCTAAGAGAAAATGTACATATGGTTTTTTATTTATTTTATTTTTAATTATGACTATGGCCACTAGGAGTAGAGAAATGTCACTCCTTTGCAGTTAGAGACTAGGCAAGCCATTGGTTCTCTGAGTCGGAGCTTCCTCTGCGTGGATACGGTGGGTTAAACTGAACACCCACCCTTCCCCCTTTGATTTTTATTACATTTTAGGTACTGCATAGTAGTGATCTCTTGCCAGCATTAAATCCTCCTCCCCTAACACACTCCTCTTCTCCTCCTTGGCATCTGGGGATGCAGAGAGCAGGTGGGTGGGGTCCGGTCCTTCCAGAAATGCTTTACATTGCCCTTCAGATGAAGGCTGGATGCTGGTGGCCACATTATTAACAGAAATTTGCATTTATATAGAAGATACGAGGCATGGGAAGACAGATGTAATCAGACCGAGCATCACATTTCAGCTACTTGTGGAATCCACTGATGCTGCTGGAAAATCGATCACAAGAGAGAATACGATACACCTTGTGAATGTAAGGAGGCTGCAAACCTCTCTGCTGAAACGAGACTAGCGTTTTTTCAAAGATTGGGAATCAGAGATTTCTGCACTCATTAAGTCCGTCTTTCAGAAAGGTGGGTATACCGATTCCTTTCATCCTTCTCAAGAAACCCAGACACAACATTACGGCTGGAGAAAATGGCTTGGCCTTGTGTTACAAGAGCATGTTGTATCGCCCGATTTGGGAATCAGCTAGATAAGAGTGATATTTCTGTCCCTTTGATGTACACAAAATTTTCAGAGGCAACAGATGGGGCACAGATGAGCCAGCAGCAACATGCACATCAGCAGCCACCACGCCCTGGGTCTGCTACCATAGAAACACAACCATCGCTGGTGAATGGATATTATGGAGGCCAGCCAAGGTTGACCAGGGAAGGCTCAGTCATGCAACAGGATTACAAGCGCTGGAAGTACACCCCTGAACCTAGCTGCAAGCCAAAAATTGAGTACCAACCTTCAGAGGCACCGCTGGAAAGAGAGACGCAGTACAAGAAAGATTACAGGTCTTGGCCAATTCCTCGCCAAGGTGACCACCCATGGATCCCAAAGCCCATCCCTGGACCATCAGTTCCAACTCATTCCAGTGAAGATAAAAAGAAGGATGTGACTGGAATCAACTTACCTCCACCTGAGAAGAAGACAAGTAAAGCCGAGCCTACTGACAGCTTAGAGCCAAAAGCAATAAAAGAAAAAGCCTCCGTTGCATTCAATGTGGCCCCCGAAATCCTAATATCTGTTGTAGATGAGAAAAAAGCGACGCAGAAGGATGAAACATTAATGGTCACACAGCATCCCAAGAAAGCTTTAAAGGCTAAGGAGACCGTTAGTTCTCTTCAACATCAAGTCAATGGAGGAAAACCAGCCGGTTCTTCATACAGGTCAGATAAGGGGTTAAATCATGTTAATAACAAGGATTTGGGGTTATATTATTAAACAGCAAATTGGAAACTGTATTTCAGGAACATGCTGAGTAGGAGAATCTCTGCATTTTAATTCTTCCTGCAAAAATGTGGAAAAGTCAATTCATAAATGTTTGCTCTAAATTCAAAATGCACTTATGTTTACTGAAATGTTTTATGTGTGAAGGGTGTGTCTTCTTTTTTATTTTACAAACAGTGCAGATTTTTAAAAACATTGGCACTTTTACAATTTATCCTTGGTACATCCCCATGGCTGTCAATCAGACAACTGCTCCATTTACTTCCTGGTTTGGTTAGCTCAGTGAAGATAAACTCAAGAGACAGCAATTGGCCAGAGCAGCTGCCTTTCAAAGACTTCTTATTGAGCTGCATTGGGAAGTCTGTGATTGGACAGCTACAGAAATTGTGGGCGGGGTTAGGAAAGTAGAGGTTATACAAGCTTCAGACAAGAGATCTGCAACTTTTGCAAGCTGTTTCCATGTATATATATATACCCTCGATGAAAAAAAAGCACAATTAAATACATGCATGTGTTTATGATATATATATATATATATATATATATATATATATATATATATATATATTTATTTTTTTGGAATTAGACTGTCCACTTAATTCCTCCTCTATTTATCTTTCAGTAAATAAAAACTTTTTATATATGGAATTTATTTTTTGGGTGAATGGCTGGAATTATGAGCCGGGGTGGGCAGAACTATTCCAAAATATTTTAGGTGAGGGACACTTGGGAGGAGTATTGCCGCTACTCTAAACATTTTTAAAAAAAATTCCAAGTCTTTCTTTTTCAAATCTTTGTTTTGCAAAGCTCTAAAGAAAAATGTCCATAATCCTGAGAATAGTTTGACAACTGGAGAATTTTTCTGTTAATGTGTTAAACCTTGGGTGATTAGACCCCAATCATAGAGTAATGTGCCAATATTTCTCAAAATCTTAAAATCAAATATTTAAACATTTTGCAAGTTGGGAAGAAAAGAAAGGCTTAATCATGTGACTAAAAGTCTCATTTACAAATAGATTATTTTTCAATATTCATTTTTATATGGCTTTGCATGTTGGCATCACAAAACTGTTAAACAAGGGGAGCTTTTTAATATTTCGATGCTACAATATATTCCTTACAACTGTAAATGACATTTTACTCATTGATACTGGTTTTGTCTTGTGTTTGAAGAAGGAACACCCATCTCTTTATACATGACCTTTAACCTGTTGGACCAATTGCGTCGTATGCCACTAATGTTGAACATTTGTCCTCAATGTTTCTGAAGACTTACCGAGCATTGTGGGAAATATAATTGAGACACATTAGACTTGCCAAGGTGAACCAAGACTGGTCCATGTCTTCTTTACAATCTGGTCCTTCAAAAATAGCCATTGGACATGGAAAGTCACTTGTCATGTTTCTCTGGCACAGGCGCTTGTGGGACTCAATCCAACGTCTCCACCTTCAGTCTATCATGATGACAGCTGATCACTCAACAGTTATATCACACTTTCCCATGACACCCTGCTCCATGCTGGAAACAAATATCCTGTGAATTATTTACTGTTGCCTACATGCAACTGTTTACACATATTCTTTTGTTAAAAAATTAAAATAAAAAAGACTCATACCTAAGTAGCTGAATTTCAATGGGCAGATTACGTTTTTTTATATAACCATACATCAGTCTCCACGTTGTGCACGGGCACCTGAGCTCAGTACACTGTCTAAGATTAGTGGGAGTTACAGTCCAGGGCACCAGCTGCTGTTTGCAGTTACTGCTTTTAATTTGGCATCCATGGTATGCTGGGAGAGGAGCTGAGGAGACATAGGTGATGAGATGCTGTCTCTCTTGGTTCTCTCCAGACGCGCCACTTCTGAAACAGGGGGCTGGATTAAGCACAGAAGCCGCAAATAATAGCTGCTGTTTAGGTATAAAACGGTAGATAGCATCAAGTATATACTGCTCTATTGTCAGACGAAATATTACGTAATGCTGGAACACGTGCTTGGGAAAATAATGTCTGCTTGGAGTTCTTTAGACATTTATCAACCCCTAAGTACAATACAGTTCAGTTATCTATGCAACCATTGTAAATACATGTGTGCATTATGTGTCCCCACCTCCACACTTGTTTATCTCTTCCTACCCCAGTTTTTCTGCCTCTTTGTTCACTATTTCTATTTGACCTCCCCAGTTATCTTTACCTCTGCCCCCCCGCTATCTCGCTCATTCCCAGGTAACATATAGCTCCAATTACCTCTCCATAGCTGTTCTCCATAGCTGTTTGCAGGTAAAGTATTCTGGCCCCCTAAGTTCATACAGACATCTGATTTCCTGATTCCTGGCTTTGTAATATGTTTTGGAGGTTAAATTTATGTGTACTGGTGACAGACTAGTGGCTTCATGTTTAATTGGCTTTCTGTATGCTAAAAGGATGAATTCAAAACCATTCAAAGACCTTCTTAGAAAGCAAGATGACCTGGCGGACTTTGTCAGTTTTGTAGATGTTAGAACAAGGAAGAAAACTAAAATACATGAAGGCCTTTAACGCACCTTGGTCCCGAGTTTAACTGATTCTCCACTCGCTGAAGAACCTGGATCCAATATGGATGGTTTACCTGTTGCGCCATGGATGCATGGCTGTAATTTACAATATCTGTCTCCAGAGCAACAAGACGCTTTATTGACTCAGAGTTTGCCCATGATAATAACAAATTATTACGTATTCATTCTGTCCCTTTGGCTTCAGAGACAACTGATGATGATGGGTCTTTGCCCCCAGGCACAATACCAAAGAAAGACACAATAAATAACCGTTTTTGTAGAAAAAAAAGATTAACATTTCCACTCAGCTTCCTGTCCTGTATTGGTTACGGCATATTATATTTATCCACACACCCTCGTTGTCCACCTTGTCCACACATACTCGTGTCTTATGAGGGAATTGCAGACATGTCTGACAAAATACTACCACTCCACGTAGCCAATATTGGTCCCATTGTACTGCCACCCAGAGCCATGCTACATGACCAGGGTATTCTGCATGGATGTCCTCACACCCTGCGTCAGTTAAATTGAGGCAATGCTTTTCTATGGGTAAGGGTCTAATGCGCTTGCAGCGCACGCCACGCATGCGCATTAGGTCTCCCCGTCCGATGACATCGGAGGAGGCACAGTGCCGACCTAGCGCCAAGGGACATTGGTGCTGGAATCAGGTAAGTAAATAATAGGTTGTTAACCCTTTATATACCATGGTGGGTCACAAGGGAGGGGTCGTCCAGAGGGCACTATAGTGTTAGGAATACAGATTTGTAGAATTCCTTTAATTTAAACCATTGTGGAGATTGAAAGGATGAAGTCTAGAAGCCAGGTGTTGTTTTGTGCATCTGAAGGGGTTAAATTGTTTTTGTGCCCGCCAAACATGTCTTGAGGTCTCACACAGTGGAGCTGTCATTATCAATACGGCATTTTAACAAATATCTACCCTCCCCCCATTCAGGTCTCCATTTAATGAGCACGGCAGATAACCAGATTTAATTTATGGCAGAAGCTGTGTGTTTAAACGAGGAGGGGCTTCGAGAACAAAGGACGAGGAGACATAAAGCAGCAGGGAAGGGTGGTAGGCTGATGGAGATACAACAATGTAGGATCTCACGCTGTTTGACAGACACCATGTCCTACTGATACCTCCATGGGGCAGGTGTGTCAGGGGGTTTGGTAATGGCGTTTCTGTGTCTGGAGAGAAAGGCTTTGGCTAATCTGAGCGAAGCTGAGAGCCGGCAGCTCCAAGCCTTGCTGAGAAGCCTATTTCCCACCAGAGACTAATGCTGCGGCATTGCGGCTCCGAGGGACTGTTTGGCCAGTCACCCTTCTGTGTTTATAGAGTGACACACGGGGTTAGTAAATAATCTCCCAATTGCAGTGAATTGAAATCCATACAAAATATTGTTTAAAATTGCTGTGTTCAGTCGTAACTACAACCTAGCTGGGAATTTTTTCCAAATCATTGACTTTTCATTGAATAAACCCCTATGTGTAGGAATAATGCCGTCAGCTTCTCTTTATATGACAACCTCAGGCAGTTGCATTAGCAACCATTCAAGTCGTCTTCAAGAGAACTGGCACCCCACAACCTAGAGAACTTAAGCGGTCATAGGAATAAATCCTAGCCCTCGTGGATAGTAGATATATCATGGACTGTAACTCTCATCACTCATGATGGCTAAGATTGATGGAAGTTACAGTACCAAGCATCTTGCGTTAAGGTAACCCTTAAGGCCAGGTGCACCCCAACCTTTCATAGTCCCACTTAAAGAGAAACGTACTTACTGTATTTTAGCATAACCTAATAACTATAAGTAAGCCAATGGATGTGCTATTTTCTTTTTTAATTCTTTATAGTTTAGTTTATTTTAAATTACAAACTCCAGCAAACCTGAGATGCAAAACAGAGTCCTTCATATGTGTTTGGTCTCAAGTTCCTATGATTCAAAGTCTAACAGGGAATTTTGCGAGCTGTGGTCATGGGAAAAAGAGAAGGATGATAATTTAACTAGTTTTAAACCTTAAAAAACAAACAAACATGATAACGTGCAATCCAACAGAGAACCTGCACGTTTCAGATTGTGCTAGAGACACACACTAGATATTGCAGTTGTAAGCAGTTTAATGACACATACAAAGTATCTCTGCTCTATATATAGCAAGACCATTTATTAAAACGCAATGAACAGCTAAAATAAAGAGAATGTAGCATGACCACGCCGGATAGATATATGAGATTGCCCCAATTCACTAACGTGAGAAATGTCAGATATTCCAAGTGAATTTTAAATTCAAGGCCAAACGTAGCAGGTAGCAAAGCTGACCTGAAGAATTTTTTTAAGCTCTGCAATTTTGGCCTCAAACATGAAAATCACTTGGTATTCCCCAAAAATTTAACTTTAGAGATTAACCTTGCTACGTTACCTGCTGATTAACAGGGAGCACGGCAATGTGTCATTGGAAATGTCATTGTAACCACATCACATCCTGTGATATTGTGTCTCCTGGCATCACCTGCACATGGGTACACATGTAGGCCTCTCAACCTCCACGATTTTGTCAGAACAGACCCTGTTTTAGGATACATCCTCCCAACTTTGTTTCTTGGTGTCCCGTTTTTGGGGACACAAGGGAACTGTCCACAGAAAGCATACCATAAGCACATTATTAGTCAGCTTCGTGATATGCTAAGGGCTAAGGGCTAAGGGCTGAAACTTCATTCCCTGCATGGTCTGCCCTCCGTGTGCATGGATAATTGGCAGTAAGTCCGGGTAATTCACTCCAGGTTGATCTGCCACAGTTTGCCACTTCACGGGATGCCAATGTGGGGATATGCACATACATCATAGGTAAGAACAGATTCCACGTACAACCTTCCTGCATGTGCGAGGTGCCATGTCTGCTGATCAGTTCCATGCAATCATTGTCTGGCTTGGTAATACCAGGACCGGGCAAACAGCAGATCAGTAGATATTGTAGAACGTCAGGTGCCTTGATGCTTTGTGAGCCTTTTGAATTGTAAAGCATAGTGGAAGTTGCACTATCCACAGTTTTGCCAGTTTAGTTATAGACTATCCTTATATCTAATTCCCTGGTTCAGCGTTGTGTTTGTTTTCCCCATTCTGGTATCCTTGACCCTTGGTTTGATTGTAATTAATGCTATTTATCTATTTAGGGGAATTTCTCTCTACCTGGAGGTATTCTCTGTTAAAGGACCACTATAGTGCGAGGAAAACAAACTCGGTCTTTGGGTGCCCCTCACCCTCTAGGTCCCCCTCTATAGTATTAAGAATAAAGCTATGCATTCCTGACATATAGTGTTCCTTTAAGGTAAGACGGGGGACATCATAACAACTTAATTGAAATGACGTTGTTGTGGTGCCGAAGGCTGTGCCATTGTTACATACATGTTGACACAGTCTACAGCGATTCGTGCTGCAGGGTCAGTGCCATTTGGCACAATCTCGGCTTACTGCATACCAATGTTCTCCCTCAGGTTAGGTGTTTTTAATTGTCAGTATGGGTGATTAGGGAAATACCTTTTTAAGTAACAGTATATTGTAATTTGCAGTAATATAAACACTATCTAATACTATTCATTATTGTAAAAAGTCTTGTAAATCATGGGTGTGGTGTCTGCGACAGTCTCATGTCCTATAAACACCAATCAGCAATAATTGAAAGTCTCGTCCTTGACACTAGCTGCAGTCCAATGATATATAAAATTCAATCTCTGATTATACTCCCATCTATGGCGTTTATTGGTTATCATTGGATGGTACTGGTTACCGAGTGGGTGGCCACCTTCTCCATTACAGTAAGTTTTTAAATTCCTAGTTTTGCTGCTGTTAATGCTGTTTGTAAAAGAGAGTGTTTGTGTTTCTCTCTGTGTGTGTGTACATGAACGCATTGTTGCAAGGCACACATCTTCTTAACGACATGCACTGATGCACATTCTGCCCTTTGGGAGTTTGGAATCCATTGGGCTTTCTCAGTCTGTCAGGTATAATTAGCAGTGATATGACAGATGGTAGACCCCTATTAAACCCTCTGTGTGGGATTATCAACTGGAATCTCTGCCCGCGTTGAACACTTCACTTAGAAACCTCGCTGAGATGTAGACTGTGGGTAAAGGGGACATTTGATTGCAGGGCCCTTACTACCTCTTACTACCTTTTTTTGTTCAATTAACTTATTTGTATGTTTCGTATGCTCATTGTACAGAAATTATTAATAATAGTAATTAAAATATAAATATATATAACTATTAGAGAAGTACTGGAAAGCATGAAGACAATTAGATCTAGCAAAGAAAATGGTGCAAAATAATGTGAGGATTTGAAAGTGACGCAAAGGAAACTTAAAATGACCGGAAAGATGATTATAAAATGCAATTATTTAGTATTGGATGGAGAATTCTGAGCCATTCTGAATGTTTCTGCTTTGGTTTCATCCCAATAATCACTTGGAGATTTGTTTTGGTCCAAACTGCAATTCGTCCTTATTTGGGCCAATCAGGCGATCAGAAGAATTCCAAGTCGGAATATACCTGAATCACAGAACAGCCCAGTCACTCAATGGCCGAGCACACGTCCATTTACACTGACATGCTAAACTCTTCCAAAAAAAAACATTGATAGTTAGGAGACCAACACTAAATAGTGATTTTATTCACCGATCAAGTGAGAAGTGACCAATATAAGGAAAAAAGGAGGATCGCTAAATAAAAATCTCTATTTATGTCGAATTTAATAAATAGGTAAATATAAAAATATAGATTTTTTTTCTCACTTGATCTGTGAACTAAATGGCGTGAAAATGTTCTTATCAATATAATGAAAAATATACACATTATATTATATATATATATATATATATAGCAGTACTCTAATTGGTCCGTGTTCATGCCATTTTTGGTTCATCTGAATTGTGTCTAAATCAGGTTTTCGGTATTGAAATTCTGCAGATTCAAAACCGCCATATATCGGCCTATTTTCAGGAAAAATCGTAATACAAACCAAATATTCTTCCAAAAAACAAACATGTCATGGTGAGCTATCAATATGTCCAGTTATACAGTATGTTAATCTTGGAACATGTCACTGGTCTCTCAAGACAAGTAATAGTGATATTATTTTACGTGCCTGATAGTCCACCCATTGTACAGCGCTACGGAATTTGCTGGCGCTATATAAATAATAAAATAATAATAGTAAGAGAAGTAAATCTCTTCCAATGTTGCAATATTTGAAGAATGAAACCTCTATATCTGCATATTTAGAACAGCTCAGTGCACGGGGAGTTGGATGTGTTACAGGTGTACACCGGATACATTTAGTATCAGAGGAATTTTCAGACATGAAAGGTGAGCTGCATTCTGTGCAGAAAGGGAAAGTATTGTGCTAAATGTAAAGACACCGTTACTTGATAAGGCCAACGGATTACACCACCGAGCTTTCACCTGGAACCGATCCAGTCTATAAATATCAAAACCAAACATGTCAGAATAGCAATGATGCATAAAGTACAACATGTACAGAATTCATAATATAATATTACAACGATTCCAGATATGTCCTCAATCTACTGAGATATAAATAAGACAGCCATGTTTATTACAATGAAACCCAACACAGTGTTTTTCAAACGGGGATTTTACAACGAAAAGGAGATTACAGAGCTCATTAATACAGCGAGTTGTGAAGAGTTCAGAGTGGAACTTTTTTTTTTTTTATGACTTATTTTTTGGCTTCAAATTCTGTTGTGTTAAATCATGGGGTCTTTCTTTGTCACAACTATAGATTTTCAGGAGCATTGGAGGGCTCAACATTGAGAGCCATTTTGCATTTTTGCACAGGAATAACAATACAAAAGTGATGGGTCTCTACCTATTTAATGGTATTCATTCGATTTTCCATTTTTTTTTCTACCTCTTTGGTAAAAAAAGGAATATACAAACAAGTGACAGGGCAAAAATTGTGCAAATTTAAAGCACGTGATTAATAATGTGGAATTGACCATTTTATAAAAATATCAACACTATTTACTTCCATGCAGTGAGAACCACTATAGCATAAAGGAATACCACAGTGTTAGAAATGCAAATGTGTATTCCTAATGCTGTAGGACTCTAGTCCCCATTTAGGCGACCGGTCCCCTGTTGCCAGAGTTATAAAGGTGAGTTCACTTACCATTTCTCGCAGATCTACTCTGGGAAGCTCATCGAGATCCTTCCCATGGGAGAGCATTAGGAAACTAGGGTGCGTGCACTCTATGAGACCATCTGCTAGATGGAATGGAGTTTCACTCCACTATTTTGGCCATTGCACCTATAGTGCCTATCAGCGTGACAGCCAATAGGAGCAGGTTAACCCTGCAATGAAAACATTGCTGTTCCTGCTGAATGGCAGGGTTAAAACGAGAAGGTCTCCTAGAAATGATTGAAAAGATGGACAGAGAAATTTGGCGCCAAAATAGGGACTGTCCCTCCTAAATATGGACACTTGGTACATATGGCTCCCTTTCCCATGCACAATGAAAGCTTCCTCAAATAGAGTTGAATTTGTTAACAAATTTAACAAAGAGATACCATTTTGGTATCTCGTATTGCTCTTTCGAGGGGAGGAAGTTATATGTGAAACCATGTTGGGAGCAGAATTGTCGGACATTTTGAACGTAAGGGAACAAATAATTGAGCTCTGAAATAATTTAAGTATACGACTGAACTCCATCTAAGTGGAAGAGTATTGTTAAGAAAGCAGAATTCCTTGGCTACAAAGAGAAGGATACATTGGTAATACAACGTTTGTGGGACAGAATATAAGTGAGGACTAAGGGCCCGTTCACATTTACCAAGGACACGGAGAATGCAGGGAAAAAAATACGAAGAGGGAAGAGAAAATAGAAAGAGAAGAAGGAGAGGAGAGATTGGAAAATAAAGAGGAAAGATAACTTAAAAAAGAGTCTGATTGCAAAAATGAAGTTAAACTTAAAGGACCACTATAGTGCCAGGAAAACATACTGGTTTTCCTGGCACTATAGTGCCTTGAGGGTGCCCCCACCCTCAGGGTCCCCCTCCCGCCGGGCTGGATGGCGAGGAAAGGAGTTAAACTTACCTTTATTCCAGCACCGGGCGGGGAGCTCTCCGCCTCCTCTCCGCCTCCGATCCTCCTTCTCTCCTCCTCTTTGGCTGAATGCGCATGCGCGGCAGGAGCTGCGCGTGCATTCAGACGGTCTCATAGGAAAGCATTTACAATGCTTTCCTATGGACGCTTGCGTGTTCTCACTGTGATTTTCACAGTGAGAATCACGCAAGCGCCTCTAGTGGCTGTCTCTGAAACTGCTATGTTTTATAAAAAAAGGGGTTAATCCTAGAGGGTCCTGGCACCCAGACCACTTCATTAAGCTGAAGTGGTCTGGGTGCCTAGAGTGGTCCTTTAAGGGAAGCGTAATTATAATTACCATATTAAATATAGAAAAATAACCAATATTACCAACACGACTATCACTGGATCAATACACAAACAGCTATTTCCCCATAAGACGTGCTGCGTATTTCGGAGCAGGTCGTTGAAATAAGAAGTGTTTTTCCACCTGGAGATTCAATTAAAGCAGATACTGGGGTCTACTCTGGGGATTTGTTATCCGGGCGGACGGCTGAAGCTAGGGATTGATGATGTGAAATAATGTCCTGATCTCTGAATTTGCGTTACATCTAGCTGCTTTCAATGATGTGGTAATAGTGTATTTAGCAGTCCTATCCCTCAGCGTATGTGATGGAAGATGTTTGGGTCTTCACATTCTGTGTACGAGATCTACAATGAGCAGATGGGCATGGTTGATTGGAAGAAGCTCGGCAAACAGATATAGGTAAGTACACAAGTTGCCGGAGGACCAATTCCAGTTTGCCATAAAGCCATATATTGCCCCACCTGGATTGGCCCCCCCCAAATCAATAAGTTTAAGTTCATATGCCTCTAATTGGTCATCCATGTCTTGCAGTTTGTCCACTAGACTATTGTTCCTCATGTGTGAAGCTCTTTGAGTTAAGTTGGAGAATTGTGTGTCCAACATCCGCTGCTTGTATGGTGAATGGGGCATTCTCCTTATCTTTGTCTACTTCTGGCCTTGCGTACCACAATTCTTGCATTAGAAAAGAGACTTTATGAACCTTGCCAGCCTTTGTTTTTGTGACATCCACAACATATCAACGGCGATTAAAAAGAGAAAATCAGCTAAATGGGGGTTCATTCAGTCACAGTTAGGTCTGTATGGATTGGAGATCAGCAGCGTGTGTCCATCCAGCTCATCAGTCAGGCCATGTCCCCATGATGGTAATTTTTGGGAATTTCATAAACCTAAAATTTGGTCTAATAACCTGGGAAGCAATGTGGATTGTTTGCAAAGTGTTTGCGGATATCAATTATCACCGTTTTTGTTGTTGTAACCTTTCCTGTGCTAATTTTTGATTTTAATAATCAGCTGGCTGATATTCACTAGAAGATTCCGCAGTTCTTGTAGAGGGTTATAGGAGTTGGTATCTGCTCTGTAAGAAGGATTGGGGACAGGGCTCACTGTCAATTGTGCCACGTCTTCCTATTCCCAGCATTAGACAGTCTGACTCCTCACCAATTCCCCAGCCACTCTGAGTACATGGGTAGCACCTGCTCCTGAGCCATTAGTTCCGACTTTAAAGCAGTGACCCCTCCTGGGACAGGAGCCACGGCTCGCATATTTACATGTCTATCTATTTCTATCCAATAATTGCTCCTTCACTTTTCGTCTGTGATCATCTCTATCTCCACAATACTTTTGTCATTATTAAATGTTCATCTTTTACCGATGAATGCCAGGATTTGTCGTGTAGACTGGCATGAGCAGGGATGTATTTACCACAAGGCAAACAAGGCATTTGCCTAGGACGGCACTTTCAGGGGGCGCCAAAAAATGCCACCCCAAGCTCCCAGACAAATGCCTTGCGTTCTTGGGCTGTCCACCTTACTGTGAGTGAGTGAGTGAGTGTAGCTGTCAGTGTGTGTCTGTGAGTGAGTGAGAGTGTGTGTGTCTTTCAGTGAGAATGGGTGTGCCTGTGAGTGTATGTCTGTATGTGTATGTCATTTTATGTGTATCTGAGAGTGTGTGTCTGTCAGTGAATACACCACTAGGCGTGAGCAATTAGTGTTTGTGGATTATTGTCATAAAGTGTAAATCTTTTTGTATAATATACTGATGGCTCTGGGTCAGAACCATCAACTCTGAGAGAGTCCATTTAGCAAGGGAACCTAAGACATCTCACTTGTGAGATCATAAGGTTCTGTACACTCAGTAACTGCTGACACAGAGATAGATCTCACTTATATTCGATAAGATATCACATTCCAAATGTCGGTTTCACCATTTGCAAAGTTCAGGAAGTTTTCTAAATGTTATATGTTACTTTGAGTTGAATTAAATGTTTCTTATGGAATGAAATCACTGGAATAAAATAACTAAATGAGCCATAGATTGAATATAAATGGATGTATTGCGGTATTTCAGAGTACGGGGTCATTTAACTTGGCCTGAGTAGGGACAAGCTGAGATCACAAGTCACTGAGAGGAATCCTAGCAGTAAGACAACAGTTCCTAGTGGATGATATTCTTGGTCATTACCATAATGCTGAAATTGATATTCAGCGGATTAGCTTGTAATCCACTTTAAATCCATTCCATAGGACTATATTAACAGGGATCAATGTCACAATGAGAAATGTATCAGTTATTAATCCTACGCTTCCCGACGGCTCTCTGTGGATTACTTTGTAATTCTTCCATAACTATGTCAAAGTTACTGAGTAACTAATATAAAAGCACGGATGTGGAATTGATATCGCCTGAGACCTGGGACATGCAGTTCCGGGCGCTGGACAGGAAGTCGTCGTCTTATTATTATTTTAGCCCTGCTGTGGGCAAGGGCAGGGCTGCCTTGGGGGAAGTTGGTGCCAGGCAGGAGGTATACCTCCGGCAGCTGTACCGGGATGCCGTAACGTAGGCCAGGTGCAATGCTCAGGATTAACAGCCGAGGTGATTCGGCGTGATGTCGTATCCCGCAGGGCAGAGACAGCATAGAATAGGCTGCTGCTGGTTATTTGTGCTGTATGTGAGTGTCAGAGAATGGGTAGTTTGTTTGTGTGTGTGTGTGTGTGTGTGGGTCAGTGTGTGTGTCAATACCCCTATACATATATGTGCCATACCCCTACCCTGTTCCTCATCTCTCAATGCATAGTAGTATTTGTATTACTTGTATATACTTTATTTTATTTAATTTTGTTCTTATTATTATTTATTCTATTTTTGTTTACTAGCCAGCATACCATTATTATTTTCTCTATATTACTATGTATATATCCAGGAGATACTTCTGATCTCAGAGCCCTGTCCGCACTGAGAATAGCAGCATCTATTCTTTTTGTCTTTTGTATATTCTAGAAACTGGGGTTAAGCCCCTTGAGACCCCTGGAGTCTTTGCGGTACCTAAGACTTTGGGTTGAGCGCATGGGAGTGTACCCTTTGTCTTATCATCTCTGTTCTTTCTGTATGTCAATGTGCTCTGTGTTTGTGTATGGGTATGGGTCAGTGAGCAGTGTGTGAGTGTCAGAGAAGGTGAAGTTTGCATGTGTGTGGATCAGTGTGTATGTCAGTGTGCTGTGTGTTTGTGTATGGGTCAGTTTGTCAGTGTTTGTGTGTATCAATGTATCACAACCATATAATTACAAAATCATACACGAGCCCATTCAGATCACAAACCGCGAGAACACACATATAACATATAGACATTGCACAGACATCACATCCAGCCAGCACACACATCCCAAACAGTCACCACACAGACATCACATACACATCAAATACAGCCATCACACACATCACATACAGCCAGTGCACACATAAGATTCAACCAGGACAGCTGTCATGCAGTTAGCACACACCACACTTTCACCAAGCATTGCAAACAGCAAGCACACACTGCACACTCACATGGCATACAGCCAGCACTCACCGCACATACATGACACACAGCAAGCACACGCTATGAAAAAGGGGAAGACTCTGGGAGGGCAGAGGGTAAAACACTCAGGATAATTTGCAAGACAAAGTTTTGCTAAATTAATCCAAGTAGCAAAATTTAGGCAAAAAAAAGCCGTGTTATGACTGTAGCAGAGATAGAGAATCTTTCTTCATTCGCTGTTTTTTACTCCATTTCTCCTTTCAGATTTATTTTGTGAGTATTCCGAGTTCAGCAAATAGCCCTGTCCATGTCCATTGGTCTCGGAAGGGGCCCCACATGTTTTAATTGAATTTATTTTGCATCAGGACAAATAGATAATCCAAAAAGTCCAAATGTATATGCGAACAGCATGGCCAGTCAATGATCTATCGTTATGTGACCACTTAAAACAATACTGAATTGTTAAAGGAAAACGTAATGCGCCGTAGCATTGTACGCTGTACAATGGGTGGATTAACAGACACGTAATTGTAACAAGACAAGTTGGACACACAGGAACAGAGGGATTGAGGCCCTGCTCAGTGAGTTTACATGTTAGAGGGAGTGGGGTATAGTGACACAGTAACAGAGGGATTGAGGGCCCTGCTCAGTGAGTTTACATGTTAGAGGGAGTGGGGTATAGTGACACGGTAACAGAGGGATTGAGGGCCTGCTCAGTGAGTTTACATGCTAGAGGGAGTGGGGTATAGTGACAGTAACAGGGGGATTGAGGGCCTGCTCAGTGAGTTTACATGTTAGAGGGAGTGGGGTATAGTGACACAGTAACAGAGGGATTGAGAGCCCTGCTCAGTGAGTTTACATGCTAGAGGGAGTGGGGTATAGTGACACAGTAACAGAGGGATTGAGTGTCCTGCTCAGTGAGTTTACATGTTAGATGGAGTGGGGTATAGTGACACAGTAACAGAGGGATTGAGTGTCCTGCTCAGTGAGTTTACATGTTAGAGGGTGTGGGGTATAGTGACACAGTAACAGAGGGATTGAGGGCCCTGCTCAGTGAGTTTACATGTTAGAGGGAGTGGGGTATAGTGACACAGTAACAGAGGGATTGAGGGCCTGCTCAGTGAGTTTACATGTTAGAGGGAGGGGGGTATAGTGACACAGTAACAGAGGGATTGAGGGGCCTGCTCAGTGAGTTTACATGTTAGAGGGAGTGGGGTATAGTGACACAGTAACAGAGGGATTGAGGGCCCTGCTCAGTGAGTTTACATGTTAGAGGGAGTGGGGGGTAGTGACACAGTAACAGAGGGATTGAGGGCCCTGCTCAGTGAGTTTACATGCTAGAGGGAGCGGGGTATAGTGACACAGTAACAGAGGGATTGAGGGGCCCTGCTCAGTGAGTTTACATGTTAGAGGGAGTGGGGTATAGTGACACAGTAACAGAGGGATTGAGGGCCTACTCAGTGAGTTTACATGTTAGAGGGAGTGGGGTATAGTGACACAGTAACAGAGGGATTGAGGGCCCTGCTCAGTGAGTTTACATGTTAGAGGGAGTGGGGTATAGTGACACAGTAACAGAGTGATTGAGGGCCCTGCTCAGTGAGCTTACATGTTAGAGGGAGTGGGGTATAGTGACACAGTAACAGAGGGATTGAGGCCCTGCTCAGTGAGTTTACATGCTAGAGGGAGTGAGGTATAGTGACACAGTAACAGAGGGATTGAGGCCCTGCTCATTGAGTTTACATGTTAGAGGGAGTGGGGTATAGTGACACAGTAACAGAGGGATTGAGGGCCTGCTCAGTGAGCTTACATGTTAGAAGGAGTGGGGTATAGGTGACACAGTAACAGAGGGGTTGAGGGCCTGCTCACTGAGTTTACATGTTAGAGGGAGTGGGGTATAGTGACACAGTAACAGAGGGATTGAGGGCCTGCTCAGTGAGTTTACATGTTAGAGGGAGTGGGGTATAGTGACACACAGTAACAGAGGGATTGAGGGCCCTGCTCAGTGAGTTTACATGTTAGAGGGAGTGGGGTATAGTGACACACAGTAACAGAGGGATTGAGGGTCCTGCTCAGTGAGTTTACATGTTAGAGGGAGTGGGGGTATAGTGACACAATAACAGAGGGATTGAGGTCCTGCTCAGTGAGTTTACATGTTAGAGGGAGTGGGGTATAGTGACAGTAACAGAGGGGTTGAGGCCCTGCTCAGTGAGTTTACATGTTAGAGGGAGTGGGGTATAGTGACACAGTAACAGAGGGATTGACGGCCCTGCCCAGTGAGTTTACATGTTAGAGGGAGTGGGGTATAGTGACACAGTAACAGAGGGATTGAGGGCCCTGCTCAGTGAGTTTACATGTTAGAGGGAGTGGGGTGAAGTGACACAGTAACAGAGGAGTTGAGAGCCTGCTCAGTGAGTTTACATGTTGGGGGTGGGGTATAGTGACAGTGGCAGAGGGATTGAGGGAGCCTGCTCAGTGAGTTTACATGTTAGAGGGAGTGGGGTTATAGTGACACAGTAACAGAGGGATTGAGGGCCCTGCTCAGTGAGTTTACATGTTAGAGGGAGTGGGGTATAGTGACACAGTAACAGAGGGATTGAGGCCCTGCTCAGTGAGGTTACATGTTAGAGGGAGTGGGGTATAGTGACACAGTAACAGAGGGATTGAGGGTCCTGCTCAGTGAGTTTACATGTTAGAGGGAGTGGGGTATAGTGACACAGTAACAGAGGAGTTGAGGGCCTGCTCAGTGAGTTTACATGTTAGAGGGAGTGGGGTATAGTGACACAGTAACAGAGGGATTGAGGGCCTGCTCAGTGAGTTTACATGTTAGAAGGAGTGGGGTATAGTGACACAGTAACAGAGGGATTGAGGGCCCTGCTCAGTGAGTTTACATGCTAGAGGGAGCGGGGTATAGTGACACAGTAACAGAGGGATTGAGGGGCCTGCTCAGTGAGTTTACATGTTAGAGGGAGTGGGGTATAGTGACACAGTAACAGAGGGATTTAGGGCCTGCTCAGTGAGTTTACATGTTAGAGGGAGTGTGGTATAGTGACACAGTAACAGAGGGATTGAGGGCCTGCTCAGTGAGTTTACATGTTAGAGGGAGTGGGGGATAGTGACACAGTAACAGAGGGATTGAGGGCCTTCTCAGTGAGTTTACATGTTAGAGGGAGTGGGGTATAGTGACACAGTAACAGAGGGATTGAGGGCCTGCTCAGTGAGTTTACATGTTAGAGGGGGTGGGGTATAGTGACACAGTAACAGAGGGATTGAGGGCCCTGCTCAGTGAGTTTACATGTTAGAGGGAGTGGGGTATATTGACACAGTAACAGAGGGATTGAGGGCCCTGCTCAGTGAGGTTACATGCTAGAGAGAGTGGGGTATAGTGATACAGTAACAGAGGGATTGAGGGCTGTAGCGGAACGCCAATATTAAATCCACGAATTCCGCTGGTTCAGGAAGTAATCCACAGTCAAGCGCTGAAACAACAAGGCAATATCCCCAACCTCCCAGTAACCGGACGAAACACAGTTCTGAGAGTCAACTGAAGTCCTTTAATTCTGCTTCACAATTTATGCAAGGGGTTTCCTGAGTCCCCTCCCAGGGGCATTCCTAGAGGGGACTACATGGTGAACTTACAGTACAACACATTTCTCCCATCAGGCACTGCTGCACGAGAGGGATCCTCCTCCTAGAATATGCCATTAAGTGGATTATCCCCTCGTGCAGCAGAACCGACAATTTATACAAAAATCCATAACTTTGTGAATATACTGTTGATTTGCACGAATGGACGTTCGGTAGATAGCTGGGGTCTGAGCGCATCATTCGTGAGATTACCGCTCAGATCCCAGCTAAAATAACCAAACGCCGCACGAAAAACACATTTATTGAAAACCATATTGAAAATACTGATTGCCTTCCAGGGAATGAAATACCGAACGGCCTGGAACTCCCGAACGTCCTGGAGGCTCAGCGGTGTTCGTGCCGTCGAGTAGCCGTTTTTAGTACCATGCGCTCGACGACCTAGCACCGCTGAGGGAACAAAGGATCCAAGATGGCCGACCGCCGCATGGTCGGTAGTCGAACGACGGCCACCCAGGAGAGCCTCTAATTACCGATTGCAACATTGTTGCAATCGGTTAACTCGCGCCACACGCCTCTAAGTGTGTGGGCTATTAGGGGTAGTGTTTTCGGTTGACGAACGGCCCTCCAAAGTGCCGTTCGTGAAACGAAAGGAAAACCCCATACAAACAGCTATCTGCATTCGGCGGATAGCAAATACAGGCAATTCAATACATTACAGTCAGCATACAATATACGTAGTTAAACACATATCTCCCCAGACATACAGGCAACCCTTAAAGGTACAGTCTCTGGTTATAGTCCAAGTGGCTATGTTAGAGGGAGTGGGGTATAGTGACAGTAACAGAGTGATTGAGGGCCCTGCTCAGTGAGTTTACATGTTAGAGGGAGTGGGGTATAGTGACAGTAACAGAGGGATTGAGGGCCCTGCTCAGGGAGTTTATATGTTAGAGGGAGTGGGGTATAGTGACAGTAACAGAGGGATTGAGAGCCCTGCTCAGTGAGCTTACATGCTAGAGGTAGTGGGGTATAGTGAGACAGTAACAGAGGGATTGAGGGCACTGCTCAGTGAGTTTACATGTTAGAGGGAATGGGGTATAGTGACAGTAACAGAGGGATTGAGGGTCCTGCTCAGTGAGTTTACATGTTAGAGGGAGTGGGGTATAGTAACACAGTAACAGAGGTATTGAGGGCCCTGCTCAGTGAGTTTGCATGTTAGAGGGAGTGGGGTATAGTGATACAGTAACAGAGGGATTGAGGGCCCTGCTCAGTGAGGTTACATGCTAGAGAGAGTGGGGTAGAGTGATACAGTAACAGAGGGATTGAGGGCCCTGCTCAGGGAATTTACATGTTAGAGGGAGTGGGGTATAGTGACTGTAACGGATCGCCTGGCACCCCGACTGGGTACCTCCGTTGAAGGATGCTCCTAGCACTTCCTGAGGACTCCAAGCACTGCAGCAGACACCAAAACCACCGAACTGTAGGAGCATGTGAATACTCTCAAGCATATGAATGTTGTATACAGCCGAATAGGAAAAACCATGCGAATAGGTTTACTCTCCTAGCAGTCAAACTGGAACAGCATACAATAAATCCTTCCCCCAATAATGAGACGACACTTCACTTTGAGGGTTAAAACAGGAACTCCCTGTACTGTCACATACAGTCTCTTTTATTCCCAATCCACAAGCATAGTACAGCCCACAGGGCGTTACAAAACAACCAATCACATCACAGTTACATCCCACATATTCCCTCCCCTTATCCTGAGAGGAAACTCAATTATACATACAGTTAAAACATACTTTCTACCCAACTTTCCTAACTCCAAAACCATACATCACATTCACATAAAATTACATATTCACAATCAATCCATTCAGGGGAACAACATATTCAAAAATGGCACAAATCAGACAAGGGGTTCAAAAGTTAGTAAAAGTCCTTTGTGACTAAATGGCTTGTAGCTTTCTAGCCCAAACCAGTTTCAGAGTCTTCTATCCTGGGAGATAAGTAATTCAATTATCTCCCAGGATGGTACAAAACTCCATTAAGCACATGGTTGCAAAGACACAAAACAATTTAAAATACATAGAAGTCACATTTACACATAACACACGGAACATTTTCCACATATCCCCAGATAGCTGGGATCTGAGTGCACATTATTATTAGATGAATGGCACTCAGATCACACAAATAAACATTTCTGCGGGGAAATAAGCTGGTTTTAACCTGCAGGGGCCATAGTCAAAGGGGCAAGTGAGCAGCCAGGCTTCTCCAGTTCACAGTGGCGAGTTGGTTTCGCCACACTTCTCCCCTTTACCAACTAGACTAACAGGGTATCTGACCTCCTGCCGGTCAGTGCCCTGGTTAGTCCAACAACCCACCCACAAAACAGAAACAGCAGTACAGCCCACCCACAATAACTGGTTACTACACCTGGGTAGAGGAGAACTTTGTCCATGTCCAGGTGCCTCCCCACGACTGTGTGGGCAACTGTTAGGCTGCCTTGGTGGGTTGCTGAGTGGGCAGAGACCAGCGGTACTCTGCCCTGATGCCAGTGCTACCACGGAAGTAGCCTGGTGGGAGCCTGGTTGTGGGAGGGAGAGACCGACTGTCTCCCCTCTGGATACACCGCTCTGTGGCTGGGGAACAGGACCGACTGTCCCTATCCCTTGTGCTGCAAGTGCAGAGACTACAGTCCCATCTGCACTGTTGGGGGGTGTAACATCTCCCCTTGCTGGGTTAGGCTGCCGCTGGAGAGAGGGTGTAACAAGCTCCCTCTCTCTGAACTGTCAAGCTGCACTGGGGAGGAGAGCGGGTATCAGGCTCCCTCTCCCTGACACTCTCTGCTGGTGGAGAGGGGGCAGCTGTCTCCCCTTTCATTATTTTGTCCTGTGGTTGGGGTCTTGAGACTGGCGGTCTCTGCTTACCCGGGTTTCCCTCTGCGCTGGGGAGGAAGGGCCCGGCACCTTCAAACAAATTTTTGCACTGCCGCTGGGGAGGAAGGACGGCACCTTCAGCTCCCTAGGGCACACACTGCCGCTGGGGAGGAAGGACGACACCTTCAGCTCCATGGGACACACACTGCCGCTGGGGAGGAAGGACGACACCTTCAGCTCCCTGGGACACACACTGCCGCTGGGGAGGAAGGACGACACCTTCAGCTCCCTGGGACACACACTGCTGCTGGGGAGGAAGGATGGTACCTTCAGCTCCCTGGGAAACACACTGCAGCTGGGGAGGAAGGACGACACCTTCAGCTCCCTGGGGTACACACACTACCGCTAGGGGAGGAAGTACTAGCCCCTTCAGCTCCCTGGACTGCAGCTGGGAGGAAGGACTGCACCTTCAGCTCCCTGGGATACACACACTGCAGCTGGGAGGAAGGACTGCACCTTCGGCTCCCTGGGATACACACTGCAGCTGGGGAGGAAGGGACTGCACCTTCAGCTCCCTGGGACTACACACTGCAGCTGGGGGAGGAAGGACTGCACCTTCAGCTCCCTGGGATACACACTGCCGCTGGGGAGGAAGGACTGCACCTTCAGCTCCCTGGGACACACACTGCCGCTGGGGAGGAAGGACGACAACTTCAGCTCCCTGGGACTCCTTTTTGGCCAAATCTACTAGAGATTGCAGGTATTCTCCTACTAGTTTCCTGGCGAGCTGCACGGCTCTCTCTGGGGGTTGGGTCCAAAGGTAGACAGCACCTCATTAACCTCTCTGTCAAACTCCTCCTGAGTGTAGTCATACGCCATGCTTGCTCTGCTGAAGTTAGTTCTTTTGTAGATAGGGTCGCTGTACGGGTACTAGCGTTGCCCTCAATTTGTAAATCACGAACTGTGTCTCCGAGCTGCTTTACCTCGCACTAGGACGCCATCCCACCGCTGCCACCAATGTAACGGATCACCTGGCACCCCGACTGGGTACCTCCGTTGAAGGATGCTCCTAGCACTTCCTGAGGACTCAAAGCACTGCAGCAGACACCAAAACCACCGAACCGTAGGAGCATATGAATGCTCTCAAGCATATGAATGCTGTAGACAGTTGAATAGGAACCATACGAATAGGTTTACTCTAGCAGTCAAACTGGAACAGCATACAATAAATCCTTCCCCCAATAATGAGACGACACTTCACTTTGATGGTTAAAACAGGAACTCTCTGTACTGTCACATACAGTCTCTTTTATTCCCAATCCACAAACATGAGTACACAGCCCACCCATAAAACAACCAATCATATCACAGTTACATCCCACATATTCCCTCTCCTTATCCTGAGAGGAAACTCAATTATACAAACAGTTAAAACATACTTTCTACCCAACTTTCATAACTCCAAAACCATACATCACATTCACATAAAATTACATATTCACAATCAATCCATTCAGGGGAACAACATATTCAAAAAATGGCACAAATCAGACAAGGGGTTCAAAAGTTAGTAAAAAGTCCTTTGTGACTAAATGAAGCATGGCTTTCTGGCCCAAACCAGTTTTAGAGTCTTCTATCCTGGAGAGTAATTCAATTATCTCCCAGGATAGACACAAGACTCCATTAAGCACATGGTTGCAAAAAGACACAAAACACTTTAAAATACATAAAGTCACATTTACACATACCACACAGACATTTCACATATCCCCAGATAGCTGGGATCTGAGTGCACATTATTAGATGAATGGCACTCAGATCACACAAATAAGCCTTTCTGCAGGGGAAATAAACGGTTTAACCTGCAGGGCTATAGTCCAAAGGGAGCAGGCGAGCAACCAGGCTTCTCCAGTCTGCTGGTGGCGCAGGTTGGCTCGGCCACGGCCAGTGACAGTAATAGAGGGATTGAGAGCCCCTGCTCAGTGAGCTTACATGCTAGAGGGAGTGGGGTATAGTGACACAGTAACGGAGGGATTGAGGGCCCTGCTCAGTGAGTTTACATGTTAGAGGTAGTGGGGTATAGTGACACAGTAACAGAGGGATTGAGGGCCCTGCTCAGTGAGTTTTCATGTTAGAGGGAGTGGGGTATAGTGACACAGTAACAGAGGGATTGAGGGCACTGCTCAGTGATTTTACATGTTAGAGGGAGTGGGGTATAGTGACACAGTAACAGAGGGATTGAGGCACTGCTCAATGAGTTTACATGTTAGAGGGAGTGGGGTATAGTGACACAGTAACAGAGGGATTGAGGGCACTGCTCAGTGATTTTACATGTTAGAGGGAGTGGGGTATAGTGACACAGTAACAGAGGGATTGAGGCACTGCTCAATGAGTTTACATGTTAGAGGGAGTGGGGTATAGTAACACAGTAACAGAGGGATTGAGGGCCCTGCTCAGTGAGGTTACATGTTAGAGGGAGTGGGGTATAGTGATACAGTAACAGAGGGATTGAGGGCCCTGCTCAGTGAGGTTACATGCTAGAGAGAGTGGGGTAGAGTGATACAGTAACAGAGGGATTGAGGGCCCTGCTCAGGGAATTTACATGTTAGAGGGAGTGGGGTATAGTGACAGTAACAGAGGGATTGAGAGCCCTGCTCAGTGAGCTTACATGCTAGAGGGAGTGGGGTATAGTGACACAGTAACAGAAGGATTGAGAGCCTTGCTCAGTGAGTTTACATGTTAGAGGGAGTGGGGTATAGTGACACAGTAACAGAGAGATTGAGGGCCTGCTCAGTGAGTTTACATGTGAGAGGGAGTGGGGTATAGCGACAGTAACAGAGAGATTGAGAGCCCGGCTGAGTGAGTTTACATGTTAGAGGGAGTGGGGTATAGTGACACAGTAACAGAGGGATTGAGGGCCCTGCTCAGTGAGCTTACATGTTAGAGGGAGTGGGGTATAGTGACAGTAACAGAGGGATTGAGGACCCTGCTCAGTGAGCTTACATGCTAGAGGGAGTGGGGTATAGTGACACAGTAACAGAGGGATTGAGAGCCCTGCTCAGTGAGTTTACATGTTAGAGGGAGTGTGGTATAGTGACACAGTAACAGAGGGATTGAGGGTCCTTCTCAGTAAGCTTACATGTTAGAGGGAGTGGGGTATAGTGACACAGTAACAGAGGGATTGAGGGCCCTGCTCAGTGAGTTTACATGTTAGAGGGAGTGGGGTATAGTGACACAGTAACAGAGGGATTGAGGGCCCTGCTCAGTGAGTTTACATGTTAGAGGGAGTGGGGTATAGTGACACAGTAACAGAAGGATTGAGGGCCCTGCTCAGTGAGGTTACATGTTAGAGGGAGTGGGGTATAGTGACACAGTAACAGAGGGATTGAGGGCCTCCTCAGTGAGTTCACATGTTAGAGGGAGTTGGGTATTGTGATACAGTAACAGAGGGATTGAGGGCCCTGCTCAGTGAGCTTACATGTTAGAGGGAGTGGGGTATAGTGACACAGTAACAGAGGGATTGAGGGCCCTGCTCAGGGAGTTTACATGTTAGAGGGGGTGGGGTATAGTGACACAGTAACAGAGGGATTGAGGGCCTGCTCAGTGAGTTTACATGTTAGAGGGAGTGGGGTATAGTGACACAGTAACAGAGGGATTGAGGGCCTGCTCAGTGAGCTTACATGTTAGAGGGAGTGGGGTAAAGTGACACAGTAACAGAGGGATTGAGGGCCCTGCTCAGTGAGTTTACATGTTAGAGGGAGTGGGGTATAGACAGGCAACAGAGGGGACTGAGGGCCTGCTCAGTGAGTTTACATGTTAGAGGGAGTGGGGTATAGTGACACAGTAACAGAGGGATTGAGGGCCTGCTCAGTGAGTTTACATGTTAGAGGGAGTGGGGTATAGTGACACAGTAACAGAGGGATTGAGGGCCTGCTCAGTGAGTTTACATGTTAGAGGGAGTGGGGTATAGTGACACATTAACAGAGGGATTGAGGGCCTGCTCAGTGAGTTTACATGTTAGAGGGAATGGGGTATAGTGACACAGTAACAGAGGGATTGAGGGCCCTGCTCAGTGAGGTTACATGTTAGAGGGAGTGGGGTATAGTGACACAGTAACAGAGGGATTGAGGGCCTGCTCAGTGAGTTTACATGTTAGAGGGAGTGGGGTATAGTGACACAGTAACAGAAGGATTGAGGGCCCTGCTCAGTGAGGTTACATGTTAGAGGGAGTGGGGTATAGTGACACAGTAACAGAGGGACTGAGGGCCTGCTCAGTGAGTTTACATGTTAGAGGGAGTTGGGTATAGTGATACAGTTACAGAGGGATTGAGGGCCCTGCTCAGTGAGTGTACATGCAGAGGGAGTGGGGTAAAGTGACACAAAAGGTAAGGGTAGGGGTAGAAAAGTAGGTCGCTAGAAAAGTATTCACTGAGGGCTTAGTGGATTTGTTGTTGTTTTTTTTACAGCTGCAGGAGAGGAATCAGAGTGTGGGGAGGGAAAACTGTTAACAGTTTAATTGATATGCTTTCCTGAAGAAATTAGTTTTCAGTGATTTTTTGAAAGAATGGAGACTGGGTGAGAGTCTAATGGAGAAGGGAATGGAGCCCTAGAAATGTCTTGAAGGCGAGCATCAGAGGTGGGAGTACGGACAGAAGATAGACGTAATTCTTCGGCAGAGCGTAAGGACCTAGACGGGACATACTTGTGTATTAGGGAGGATAGATAGGTGGGAGCAGCATTATGTAGAGATTTGTAAGCTAGTATCAGGATCTTAAATTGAGTCCTTTATCTAACAAGAAGCCAATGTAGGGACGGATAGAGGGGTGAGGCATGGGAGGTGCGAGCGGACAGGAAGGTGAGCCTTGCCGCCGCATTCATTATGGACTGTAACGGGGCAAGTCGGGAGCACGTAAGACCACTGAGAAGGGGATTACAGTAGTCTAGGCATGAGAGGGCAGCAGCACGGACCAGAACCTTAGCCGCATTTGGTGTTAAATAGGGGCTGATGGGCGCTATGTTTTTCAGATGAAATCAGCAGGATTTGGCGATCGACTGGATATATGGAGTGAAAGAGATCGGAGTCAAAGAGAACACCTAGGCAGCGAGCCTGCGAGGTAGAGGTGATGGTAGTGCTGTTGACTTGGAGGGAGACATAAACAGAAGTCGCAACAGAAGTTCTGTTCTGGACAAGTTGAGCTTAAGGAAGTGAGCAGCCATCCAGTTGAAAATAGCAGAGAGGCAGTCAGCAACACGAGTCAGGAGGGACAGAGAGAGACCAGGAAAGCACAGATAGATTTGCGTGTCATCCAGATATAAATGATAATGAAAACCAAAGGAGATGATTTACCCGAAGGTGCTGGTTTACCAAGGGAGGCAGTATAGATAACTGTAGGGGACTAAGGAGGGACCTTTGGGGAACTGGTGTTGGTACATAGAGGGGTAGGGAAGAAGAGGCAGAGCCAGAGAAAGAAACACTGAAAGAGTGCTGGTAGAGGTAGGAGAGGCACCACGACAGAGCAGTATCATATAGACTGAAATAATGGAGGATACAAAATAGCTGTAGATGATCAACAGTGTTAAAGGCAGCAGAAAGGTCAAGGAGAATCAGGATAGAATAGTAACCATGAGATTTAGCAGCGATTAGATCATTGGGTACTTTGGTCTCAGCTGTTTTGACAGAGTGATGAGTGCGAAATCCAGACTTTAGTGGGTCAAGCACAGAGTTGGATTCAAGGAAGTCTGTCAATCTCGCATGCACAACTCTATCAAGGATCTTGGAGGCAAATTGCAATAGCGAGATAGGGGTATCAAGTTGGAGTCAAGGTTAGGCTTTTTCAGAATCAGGGTTGCATGTTTTAAGGGTGAAGAAAATGAGAGATTGAACCTTTTTAGTGAGTAGGAGAGCAAGGGAAGGAGACAGAGTGTGGATGAGATACGAGGAAATAGATTCGAAGAAACAGGTGGTGGGGTAAGAGGACTGGAGCAGAGCAGACTGTTTTCAATCAATAAACACATTTATATGAAAAGGTTTGTAAGCGGAAGGGGTTTAACAGTTACCCTAGAAAACCTATGTCAATGTGTTAATCTAGGCACAGTAACCAGTACAACTTAGTGTATGATTACAGTTTATTACATGACAACTTATTGTATTACAGCTTTGTTACGAAATTGTGTGAACTAAGCAGAAAGGACTGATAATCACCCTGGTATGGCTCTTCTCTTAGCAGATACTATCAGACCAAGTGCCCTAAAATAAGACTACCCAGTCACCTATCTGTGAAGGGTATATGCTCCAAGGAAGTCTGCCAACTCAGGCCAACTGAGTGGAACTATTCCTCGAGCTGGAACTCAGCCTTGGTCAAACCTTTAACTGGGAGGCAATTCTAGAACATGTGTGGTCTCAGGGCGCTACTTTACCAGTTAGGGCGCTCAGGGACAGGCGATCCAGGAATACCTTTATGTGGGGTTTACTGATGTCTAAAAGTGTATTTTGGGGGATTTTCTGTCAAGACGTCCTGATGTTTGGAGGTTGATTAGATTAGCTGTACTTGATCAAATTATTTCCCAGATCCAGAGGCGCCTGGATGGGATCTGCCAGGGGTCTGTATATAATTTCGACTGATGTTTGAGTGATGTGGTATAAATCACCTAGCACTCTGTGGGAAAAGGAGAGACGCTTTGGTGGAGATACTCTGGTTGAGTATTAGAGTTCGCTGTAAGCTTCTTGTATGATTAACATTTATTATATTACAGATTATTGTGTTATAGATTATCATATTACAGCTTACTGTATTATTACAGTTTATTGTATGATTACAGCTCATTGTATTACAGCTTACTGTATTATTACAGTTTAATGTATGATTACAGTTTACTGTATGATTGCAGCTTTTTTTTTCAATCCATTTTTTATTGAGGTTATGCAAGACACAATCAATAAAACACGAGAGCTGAGCATTGACATATCAGAACAACGGGAAATATGATAGAAATACCTTGTTTTGATTCTTTGTTGCATAAAAGATGAGTAAAACAATATTAATACAAAGACTGAGAGGCACTGGACCAGATTACACTGTGGTATAAAATAATAAAATACAAATTCAAAAGAAATGCAAAATAATCTGTGAGTTAAATTGCTAAGTGGCAGGTATAAAAAGACAAATGGATTAATTCAAGGTGATTAAACTATGCTGCCAGTTCCCAAATCCAGGCTTACCGAAACCCAGTGGGGGTAGAACACAGCCCTGTGGTACCATCTTCCAGAGAGACACAATCCAATTTTCTCCATGGTATGGACTGGTATTCTGTTTGATGCATGCTTGCAATGAGGACGGCTTCTTATAAACGGCCTGAGCGAGTAGGTCTCCAGTGTAAGATAGGGGCTCTGTATCAAGAGATGCAGTAGAAGACTCCAGCTGCGTTGGACAAGCAGATAAGATGGGGTTCTGTCGCTGGTGCATGGATTGCTCATGTTATTTTTGAGCAGGCCATGGTATTTAGGAGCAGGTCATGGTATTTAGGAGCAGGCTGCAGTATTTAGGAGCAAGCCATGGTATTTAGGAGCAGGTCATGGTATTTAGGAGCAGGTCATGGTATTTAGGAGCAAGCCATGGTATTTAGGAGCAGGTCATGGTATTTAGGAGCAAGCCATGGTATTTAGGAGCAAGCCATGGTATTTAGGAGCAAGCCATGGTATTTAGGAGCAGGCTGCGGTATTTAGGAGCAGGCCATGGTAGTTAGGAGCAGGTCATGGTATTTAGGAGCAGGCCAGCCCAGCTCCCCCCCTCCACCCCCATGTATGTGATCTTGCTGTTTGTCGTGACTTGCTAACCTTTGTAGCATATTATAAGGTCTGCCTGTATACTATACTTGAAAATGGTAGTTCCAGATCGAAACATTATCTATACGAATTAAGATTACACAGGGACCTACACATGGTGCCTGATTGGGGCCCCCTCATGGAGCCCTGAGCTCTGTTATGCACAGGTCCCCCAACAATCCTGATTTCAGCATGAGCTCTATGATTTTGGGGTCCTGTCCTGCAGAAATGTCCTGTCCTGAAGAAATCAGGGCTGTTGGGGGCCTGTGCATCTGAGAATAGCCACATTCAATTACTGCCTTATATTAGCCTGTCAAGTCGTTTCATTTACATTTTTATTTTCACGAATGAAACTATAGAATTAAAGGGAGGCCCAGGATTATGTAATATTAAACTAGAATTCTGCAGTATAAATTTCTTTCTGAGGTACAGACCTCTCCAGTCCTCATGAATTAGCACCACTAAACTAAGCACATGGACTTTTCAAGGAGGCAAGTGCCCATTATTACTCCCTTTCAGATACACAAATGAGCAAGACCCATTCCTCTCTGCAACTCGTCCTGCGTAAGGATACAGGTGTTTTGTATAGAATTTTATTGTCAGCAAAAATGTAAAGAAAAATATGTTTAAACCGTGAAAGATTAGTTATTTATTGTTGTATATATTGTTGTTGCCAGAAACACTAATAATGAAGCCGTGTTTTACGTATAACCCAATCTCTTCACAATTTTTTAATAATTGATTGACACTGCAGGGCTCAATTGGGTGTAAAATCAATACATGTAGTAATTATAAAATGTTTCGTTCAGCCTCACTGCATTAAAGTAAAACACAAAGTGCGACACGGTTTGATTTTCTAAATCTGTGTGCTGTGTTTTACAGGAATGAGTTTAAGCCGTGGACTGATGTGCGGCCTATGAGGTCTCTCAGGACCAGATCTTTGTACAAACCCCCAGAGGAGAAAGTTTCCCATGAAACCAGCTACAACACAACATTTAAAGGCGAATGCAACCAGCCCGCAACAGGAGATAACAAACTGGCAGAGCGCAGGAGGATACGCAGCCTCTACAGTGAACCGCATAAAGAATCCTCAAAGGTGGGGCGCACGTTACAGTATCTCCTACACATAACGGGGAGATGTATCAATGCAAAACAGCTGCCAGTCTGGGGGAAAGTGCTAAACAATGAGCTATCACCATGGAAACCAAGAGAATGTCTCTCAATGTTTAGCACGTTGCACCCACAATAAGCCCCTGTTGTGTCTTGATAAATTTACCCCATAATATATACAGGTTCGTGTCAATTTTAGGCAGCTTTTAAATGGAATGAATAATGCAATTTCTTTAATACGTTTAAGAGCAGGACAGTGTTAACTAAGATTTCAGCTGAATATTTGCTTTTTCTTCAAATTATCCAACAAACATCCATTGCTAAGAGAACCCTTTACATTACTGGGAGTCCATGGGATCAGTTTCACATGGTTATTCGCTAACGTGGGAATTGTCAGGTATTTAAAGTAAATGTAAAATGTAAAGGGAACCTGTTAATTTACCTGCCCCTCCAATCCAGCTGACGTTATGTCCTCACAGAGGTAGGTGTTTCACTTCTGTAATACTTACCTCTGATCTGCCTGAGCTCCACTTGGTCTCTTCCCCAAGCAGGGAAATCCTCTGCAATGCCAGCACACTGGCTACATTATCAGCATGCTGCATCTGAAAGTAGTGATGTCATTTTAAAGAGCATTAAAAAAGCAGATTTGCTGGAAAATCTATAGAAAGGAATAAAAAAAGACTTTGTAAAAATCGATTCTATGCTGAAGAATTCATTGGGAGAGCAGGGAAGTCCTCCCATAGGCGGTAATTATGGTCGTCACACATACTGTACTCTCTGTCGTACAGTATGTGCACAAGCAGTGTTGGTTAGAGAGTTACTATAGCAACCACAGCGCTATGTGTAAGAAACAAATACCAGTGGTATATCTAATAGTGACAATAAAGCTCTAAGACACCTGTGTGGTATCCCCTATACCAACATTAAAAATACATATGATAGAAACACAATAGGTGGAGCGAATAGTATACTTTCCTCTCTTTTAATGAATTCAGCAATGCCGTGGAGACAGAGAGGTATACAAATAGTGCAGATAACTCTAAATCATAAATGGAATCATTACATATGCAAAAATACACTCACAAGAGTAGAGCCAATATTGGACCTGACTCTGGTGTGTGACCTTAAGATCTGTTTAGGGTGATCCAAATCCCTCTGTGGATGGTCCTTCAATCCGGTCTGGATGCTTAATCTCAATACCTGTAGTATGGAAAGTTCCCTCCAGTGGTAAACAGCAGAGAATCCAGATAGATGAAAAATGAAAAATTTATTGAATACAGATAAAACTAAAAATTTAAACAAAATCTATTTAAATAAATAAAATACTGCCAAAACGCATTTCGCCTAAAGTGGCTTCCTCAGTTGGCTAGATTAATGTTTGTGAGTCCATACAGTTCTTTATATGCTGTGCATAATCAAAATTTGTGGTCTTTTTCAAGTGGAACGCAACTTGCGTTCCATTCCTCCGTCGGTGTTATACTTCCTGGTTCCGATCACATGGAACTTCAGCGTGGATGGAATGCATCGTGCGTTCCATTAGAGTGACGGCGCACATCTATTTCCATCATATGGGCACTGTGTATGTGTGGAACGCACTTTGCATTCCACCAAATGTAAAATTATTTGACATGAGAGTCTCTCAATTGGTGTAATAGAAAATGGTTTCTTGGAACACTATACTTCTGTATATGGTTTAGTCCATCAGGGTGATACATATTTTTAACAATTAGCTAGTATAGTTGGAGAGATAAATAAGTGCAAAATAGGTTGATTGCATACACAATACCATCATTTTACATATTAAGATAACAATACAGCCACATTATATTTAGTTCATTATGTATAGTTACAAAATTCTTTGTCTTTGAGTGCCCATCTTTAAAGTGACAGTGCAAGCTTAGTTTGAATTATACTAAGTTATGTGCAATATAGTGGTGAATACACATTTGATGACATGATTTTGTGTGGCCTCCTAATATTGTCCCACTTCACACAAAATCCTAAAAGGGAGGAACTTTCCATACTACAGGTATCCAGATCAAGCATCCAGACCAGATATCCAGACCATCCACAGAGGGATTTGGATCACCCTAAACAGATCTTCAGGTCACCTACACCAGAGTCAGGTCCAATATTGGCTCTACTCTTGTGAGTGTATTCTTGCATATGTAATTATTCCATTTATAATTTAGAGTTACCTGTGTGGTGTATTACCAAACTCTATAAATTATTATGTACGCATACACATATAAACTCTGGTCCGTCTACTTTAACAAATATTTATTCAGAGACAAAACACCAACAACATACATATAATGACACACAATCTAACTAACTATACCAACAACAACAGCAACAACAACCTAACTAACAATAACACCTACATCTTATAAAATCACCAGATCCCACTCACAGTTCACCATGATAGAAATTAGGCCATGTCTGTTTAAGGGTCTGCTCAGTAGCACAGCCAAGAAGGAACAGAGAGGTATGGAGATAGGGGGAAGTGGTTATCTCTTTCCTGACTTGTAGAGGTATTGAATTACCCAATTACCATATCAAAGGGTAAAGCTTATCCCACTGTAAGAAAGGCATATATGAGCTTGGTCACATGACCCCAGGTCACCATATTAGTTTGATGACAGAATGTCACCACAACCTGCACTATTTGTATACCTCTCTGTCTCCACAGCATTGCTGAATTCATTGAAAAGAGAGGAAACTATTCGCTCCACCTACAGCGCTATGTGTGACCACCATAATTACCACCTATCCTGCTCTCCCAATTAATTCTTTATCATAGAATCGATTTTTACATAGTTTTTTTTATTTATTCCTTTCTATACATTTTCTAGCAAATCTGCTTTTTAATGCTCTTTATAATGAACATCAGTTGTACGTAGCAAGTTAGCTACCCTTCGAGTCAAATTAGTTGAACTAATAACATAGCTGAATTAATTTAGCTATTATGGCAAAAAACAAGTGATAGTCACATTGGATTCCATTTTTGTACTTCAGTGAATATCCCTGTGAGTGTGAATCTGAGAATGATCTGATTGCCATTTGTGAGCTGAGCAGAAGCATTGCTTAGTTTATCTTGGGAGTGGAAAGTTAAAAAGACACTCCAGACTGAATCCATTGTCCACTTTTATATAAATTGTTGAGATTGTGCTTAAAAACAAAAAAAGAACAAAGAAAGAAATCAATAATTGTCCCCAGCAACCAAGGGGACAGCATATAATATTCTTCTGTCTTGAGAAGGGGGTAGCCGTTAACCATAAAATGTCTGAATTGTTTGTTCTGTTGGTCAGAGCTGGTCCTACAAGTGGATTTATTTAACTCAAAAGGTCTACTCTAAAATTGGCAACTAAAAAAGGCTTTGAGTTTCCATTGGTCAGATCACACTCTGCTTTGGATAACGGCCCCTGAAACTGGCTACTAACTAACACATATTCTAGAAATCTCTGGAGTAAAATACACATATACATTAAAACAGCAGGATAATACATATCCCTTTACCAGCATTAGAAGACGCGGGATCGCTGACCAGGTGGCAGGATCTAGCGGTGGTTGTGGAGGACAAACAAACAAGGTCTCTTCAGGCATCATGGTGCCTTTGCTAAATGAATCAAGGTCAGAGACAATATAGGGGAAAGAATGGAGAGAGGGGAAGAAACTGGGAGAGAAACAGAAAGAATTATGGGAAGGGAATTGGGAGAGAAAAAGAGAAGATACAGGGGAGTGAATAAGGAGAGACCAGAGAGAGCACAGATAGGGAATGGGGAGAGCTGAAAAGCTGGAGATTGGGACATGAAAAGACTGGAGGCATAGAGAGAGAACAAAATGATGTGGACATAAAGAGAGACATGGGGTAAGGGAGAAAGGACACAAAGAGATGTAAAGCAGTCAATGAGCAAGGAGAGAGAGACACAGGAGGTTGGAAGCATTGCAGGAGCATGACAGTTGAGTGATACAGGGAATAGTGTACATGGTATCTGAAACTTCATATCAGCAATGGAGCTTTGGATTTGTGATATTTGCTGTTGGAGGCTGCAGAGAAATCAAATATTAAAAATGGAAGGCAGAGGGAAGGTTCATTTTGTATTGCTGTAATGATTTTAGTGGTTGAGGAGGGACCACTAGTTGGTCTTTGGACTCAGTCATCACAATGTATTTTTGCTGAATAGATTATTTTCCTGCAGTGATATGGGATCTGGAAACCTTAGTCTCAGCCAATCCAAGGTTCTGAGAGCTGTAATGGTCCAATAAAACACGTCTACCGCCACATGTTCCCATAAACTTCCGCTGTGTCTCTCATTCATTTCAATGCTTCCTGCTAGATGTTTCATATCTTCCTATTGGGGCAGAGAGGCAGTGCAGTGGTGCTAATGCAAAAAATAATTGAATTTGCAAATTCTCAAAAAAAAAACAACAACCTATAAATTAAAATAACATGCGACTGACATCATGGTGCAAATTCAGGCCAATTCTCTACATGACGCTTTATGGAAATATTGTTGCTCGTTTTGTAAAAACCTCTTTTGCTTATATAAAGCTGCAAGGTTGAGTGTGGTTGGATCTTGACAGAAAGTTACAGTTATAAGTGAATAAGAATAGTAAATGCAGATTGTAATTCTACATGTTATATGGGCAGGAGGTGCATTTGCCAAGATGGATCTTGCAAGTTTTATTAAGTTTCTTTTTGGGTTCTTATCTGCTGATATATAGAATTTACCACTCTGCGTATAGACTCCTTAGATCATGGGCTTTTAACCTTGTTGTGTATTACTCAAGTTATGAATATGGTAGTAGCTTGTTGACCTAGTCTTCAAATAAAATATGTATGTTTTTTCCATTCTTTATTTTTTAAGTGCAGGGGTACACACAAATATTGGCACTTGACATTTGATTGAGAAACATAATAGGAAGAAACACATTTATAACAAGGGCAGTACATGTCATGAGAAGCTGCACATTTTTAACTTTAAAACAGGATATATAGTCAGGCATTATAGGTATAGCATTGCTACCTAAAGCTAGACGTTACAGAGTAGATTAAGAGAAAAGAGGTAGCAAGATAGGACATGCTCAGTAGGAAAAAAAATGGAACATGCTTAGCTAAGTCATCTAAGGAGTAGTTATGGCAGCAAGCTGGAGTCACAGAGAAGGTCATCCTATGCCTTTTAGGGGCATGTTGTGAACCTGGATCAGCACAATACTCAGCAAATGGAAGGCCCCAGGTATAGGTCTCATGAACCTCGAAGGGGTGTGCTGGAAGGAATTCAGCCCTGGCCTCAAGGTTCTCTCCTGTGAGGCAGCCACACGAGGCTTGGCAGCATAAGATCGCTGCTGTGGAGGTGATTAATGCACAGTCAGCTGGATGTTGCACTGGCTCCGGCATCTCCACCACATGTGAATGCATCTCGGCCTAGATGTGAGTGTCCTTCGGTGAGTGTACAGTGGGAAGTCCGGAGATGGTGTGGTCCCAGGCTCCTGAGGGTCACTGCTTAGCTGTGGTGCTCTGCTGCTGCGCTCCAGTCGTTTCCAGAATTTGGCAACGATTTTATTCAGCCGGGCTTCTACATCGAGTAGCGCACCATCGAGGTGAGGGAGACACGAGGCATCTGCCATGTTGATCCAGCCTGAACAGCTGCGTTCCTTTTCTCTGCCAGGTCTCGGGAGCCTCTCAAGTATGGACCGGGAACATCCCCACTGGTCCAAGTGGCGGGGTTATGGGGCTCATTCACAAGAGTATTAGCTTTTTGGCACCCCCAGGCCAGGAGATCGGCCGCCACTCCTGCCAGGTGCGCACTACGCCCCATCTGTCACGGCAAGATGGGCTCGCTCCCAACATATCGCCAGCCATTACTCGGTTTGTCTGGTCGGTCAGTGTGCTGGCACTTCATTCAGTCCAACTCAATTGGGTCATATTGTGGCCCAGATTTGTGCCATATTGTGGAGGAGCTCTCCTGAAATGCGGCCCTCCACCATGACAGTCAGCCCACTGCCCCCAAATATATTTTAATATTTATACTTGAGGAACGTCTAATTCTTCGTCATGTAGATTGGGCTAGTTTTGAAAATCCAATAATATTCTGCACTGCATCCTGCAATAGTCCTGTATTTTAGCATCTAAACTTATTTTGCAAAACACATTTAAATAGAAACTTCCACATATCATACAGGTTTCAACTGCTCTGGGGAATGCACTGTAATGTAAGCAATATATCGTGGACTGTTGCGTGGGGACTAATGCTTATGTGCCCCCTCCTATCACTCTCAGTAAATGAAGCATCTGGTCACATTTTGAGTTCGTCCCAACTACTGCCATAGACCGTAACAGACAGTGAGCAAACCAAGCTAATGCCATTTATCTCACATTGCCGTCTTTCGCAAAGTTCAATCCGGTTTCATTTTCAAAAGACGTGTGCATTCATTTTCAATTGACTCACAATTTGTCAGAAATTTAAATGTCATATGAATGAATCTTGAAAACAAACAATGAACAATCAGTTCTGTTTGTTTCGTGATTCAGACTTACGTCCATGGATAAATTGATGATTGATGGTTAGGGGTTAAACACTAATGTTGGACTAAGTACCTCCGTCAAACACTGTTTCCTAGTACCTGCGAGTACCATAAGCACTGTACTGGAACACCATGACCACTGTAAACACCACGAACCGCCGCAGCTTCGTTGGGGTTTTGCCGTACTCCACCCACCCTGGACACAAGACCAGGATCCAGCTTCCAGTAGGTAGACCTCTGCTAGTCCAGAGAGCGTAGCAGGAACAGCTCTTATAAGAGCTAGTGATTATACTCAGTGGAGTATTGTGATATAGCAATCACCCGAGTGAATGTAGTTCTCCAATCCCTCAAACATGAGCCAAGAGTTCATGAAGGGGTGTGGCGGAACCGGCCTCGCCACTGGACATTGGGGAAGACTGATTGCCAGCCTCATGCCATGTGACTATGGCCCGTGAGAAGTATTGCCCTTTAACAAACTGATTTGAGGCTTATGGACTTGTATTTGACTGTGTATGACCCTTTAAAAACTGTATTTGGGCATAATGGATTTTTATTGTGCTCTTTCTGGCCCTTTGGGTGCTTTGGGAAAGGACCTGCAGTTTTGGCATGGCACTTCGGATGCAGCCAAGGTGCCGAAGTGGTAGAAGTGGCCGCCATTAGAAAACCGAACATGTGGTGGCAGCGGCCATTTTGATTCATTCGAATGCAGTCAGCGGTGTGTGCCGTCAAACTCATGGAACTAAAATCGGCTAAATTCGACAGTTCATTCGATGGTTCATTCGACAATTCAACAATTCGAGTGGTTGTCGTTCGTCTATTTGAACTGACTTTGACATGGGAAATAGACCGGCCACACAGCCTGATTCTCTGGAACTGTTTTGGGCATGAAAATGTGCTCGCGGTCGGTCAAAGGTGACTTATATCTATCTCCCGAATGGATTAACGGATTTGAATGATTTTTGGGTATGTTTGTATTTGAAATATGCTGATTAAGAATATGTGACTTATTGATTTATTATTATTGGATGTATAGTTTTAGAATTATGAAAGTTGAGTAAAAAGTATGTTTTAAACTGTACGGCTAATTGTGTTACCTCTCAGGCTAAGGGGAGGAGATGTGTGGGATGTAACCAGTGTGTGACTGGGTAATTCATAATTGTCTGTGGGCGTCTCCCCTGCATGGGAGAATTGCATAAAAACAGAGTGTGTGTCATTAAAAACCTGAGTTCTACTTCACCCTCAATTTGGAGTGCCGTCTCTTATTGGGGGAATCTGCTACAAGGGATTGCTATGATAGTCATAATCTCTTGCTATAATCACTACTAAGGTCTTTTAAGAGCTTGTTCCTGTTTTGGTCGTTGAAGGAGTCTACAATGGTTATGGTGTCTGCTAGAGTGCTAGGAAGCGCTAGGAGCATCTTTTAACGGAGGTATCCAGTTGGGGTGCCAGGTGATCCGTTACAAGGGGTAAACGAATCTAATTTTAATGGGAGCCACACTTTGCCTTATATGACAATCCTCACGCAAGGGGTGCACCCACAGGGACCTGATTTGCAACTTCACAGACCAATATCAATAAGGTTACAAGGCACGACATTCCCCCAGACACAGCACACAATCCCTCCTTTCTGCCTGGGAGATAATTAGATCAGATACTGTATTAACCCAATTATCTCTAGGCAGAAAACACACACATTTCTATAAAGTCCCAAAAGTACCCCAAAACACATAATATCCCCACAAATGTTACATCTCCCGATAGCCCTGATCTAGATGACCAACATATCCAAAAATCACCCAGATAAGTTCAGGGGTTCAGGAATTTTATGGAAGTCACTTATTTTACCGTCCCATGCCCTAAACAGTTCCAGAGAATCAGGGCTTGGGGTCGATCTAGTTCGGTAGTTTGAAAACGAACAAACTACCGAACAGAGTCAATAGTCTTACCCTGGAGATTGTTCCCCTAATCCAGACAAATTATCTCACCGAACAGTGCCCTTCTAAGTTGAATAGAAACGAACGCACACGATGATTGTGGCCAGTCTAAGACACACCTCTGCAATTATCATGCTGTCTAACCAGCATCTTGATATGCCACACCTGTGAGGTGGATGGATTATCTCGGCAAAGGAGAAGTGCTCACTAACACAGATTTAGACAGATTTGTGAACAATATTTGAGAGAAATAGGCCTTTTGTGTACATAGAAAAAGTCTTAGATCTTTGAGTTCAGCTCATGAAAAATGGGGGCAAAAACAAAAGTGTTGCGTTTATAATTTTGTTCAGTGTATGTGCCATTTTTGTTTTTCTGAATCATTTTTCCCACATGGATGAAATTTACCCAAACCGAAACTCTCCATATACAGATCTACATTTCAATATGACATGTCGTGTTTTGTGAGTATTGCTTGTTAACAGCATTCTTTTTGTGGATTTTCCATTTATGTTAAAAATGAGAAGTCCATTCTGATTGTAGAACAGTCAAAAATAAATTTTATGTAAACAGATTCCAACATAAAAACAAAAGTACACTATGTATTCCCCTGCAGTGTAATGTACAGGTAAGTACAGAGTTAAAGAGCTTTCCGCAGATCTCCACCATTCACATGTTCAGACTTCGGAGATGTCCATTATGCAGAGCTACAGACTGAGGTGTCTCACGATCTTAAGCCAATCAGAGTGTTGTTGCGGGTTACCAAAGCAATGCTCTGACTGGGGATCGCAAGACTTACCAGGGAACCTGTAACGGACCGTTTTGCACACAAGGGGTAAAAACCGTTTAGGCGATCAGCCCCCTTTCCAGAGATACAGGCACAGCTACTGCAGAACACCAAACTCCCAAACTGGATACAAAATAGCACTCCAACTCCCGAACTGGAACCTCCCAAATAGCTGCTAGCAGGCGAACAGGAAAAGCAGACAATCAGCTTACACTCCTGGCAATCAGTCTCTAACAGCATACAGTGAATCCCCCCAAGAACGAGACAAGGCTCCGTGTTGAGGGTCAAGCAGTGGTCTGTTTAATGAGGGCTACCTGCCCAGCTTTTATGCAGGTCTCCCACCTGGTGGACACTCCCCTAGGGGACCAAATGGGAGACTGTGACAAGGGACAGACAAGTATACAAAAAGGACACACAGTCACAGTATATTCCCACAATGCATCCTGGCTTCCTCCCCTCTGCCCTGGGAGATAATTGGGAAGTAACTCAACTATCTCCCAAGACAAAGGCAAAACTCCATTACACACGTGGGAACACAAAACCAGCATAACACTTTAAAATGCACAAAGTAACATTTACTACATAAACCATAGACATGCAACATATCCCCAGATAGCTCAGGTCTGAGTGCACATCACTAGGTGAATGGCACTCAGACCACACGAATACAGCTCAATCGCCATGGAGCCAAAGTCTTCACAGTCAGTTTCATACGAATGGGCTCCATGGGATACCCATCTGGGGTATAGGACATTCACACAAAAATACCGAACACCGGGTCATTCGTGTGCTTTCACCGAACAAGAAGGGAGGTCGGCGGCTTCAGCGGTGTTCGCGCAAAACTGTGTCCGATTTTAGTTCCATAAAAATAGAGGCGAACACCGCTGTTCATTCGTATGGTTTAAAATGGCCGCGACCTCGTGTTCGGGATACGAACGGCGGCCATCCAGCGTTCATCAATTAAGCTGCGGTTAACCGCAGCTTCAGGGAGGTTAATTGCCGGCACACTCCAGCTCCCAGGTGGTCCAGTCATTCGTACGGTTGTTCGGTAGATTGAAATTACCGAACAACCGGCAGAAAAGCATGAATATGGCTTTTCTGCATGGAAAAATTCAGTCTTTTAAAAGGGGGCCATAGTCCAAAGGCAGCAGGCGAGCAACCAGGCTTCTCCAATGCAATGTGGCGAGATTGGTCTCGTCACAGAACCAAACCACTGGAAAGAGAGAGTGCCCACTGGACAACCAAGGGAATACATAGGATCACCAGGGATAGACGGAGACCATAAGACCACCAGGGAATAGTTTTAATTTAAAAAAAGATATTTATGAACCCATCTATCGCGTGTCACAGCCCCTCCATATACCCTGTCACTGTCACGCACACCCTATCATCCTCACGCACACACTGTCACCCTCACATGCACACACTTACACCACCACCCACACACATTGTCACCCCATACACATACATTATCACCATTCCCAAACACGTTCAGCCCCCACACACTGTCACCATCGTCTGTATAGGTAAATGGATTAATTTATTCTAGGAAAAAAATGGAAAGGTTATATGTTTGCGCACTTAAGGAGAACCAATCAAATTATGTAGCGTTCTTCCTATTCTTGCATCCAGAGATGTACAGAACAGTTGTATGCACAGCCCCCCAAATGCTTCCGGCAGTCCGTTCTTTGGAATGATAAGGCATATGGAATTCTCTTCTGTATCTTCGGGTGGGCAAGAAACCTTTGTTACTCGAGATGCAATGCCCCATAAGATGGGTTTAATGGACATTCGAGGACTCTGTGTTGGGCACTTGGACCTAATGCAGGAATATTGTCAAAGATCTTGTATATTGTATACGTTGTGTCCCCTTAGCCCTAGGAAATCTCATGCTTCTGGAGTCATGAATCTAGTGCTAGTTTTATAAAACGAGTCAGAGCGACTAGCACGTTATTAGACATCTGACCTGAGTTATAAAGACAGCGTTGACCAGCTGCTTGACAACCTGTTACCAAAACGTAATTAACACAAACTGCAGTTCAGAGTCAGACAATTAATTATCAGGGTCATTCTTGTCTGGACTTGATTTTTCCAGATTTTATTTTGTATGTCCATGCATTATGCAGATAATACATAAAAAAATATGCAAAAATAAATATATAAATAAGAAGGGGGTGTGTGATTCTTTTTTTCACAGCAATTTCTTATGAAGCGTCTCAGCTCTGCAGAAACCAGGGAGCAAATACAAATTTTCATCCAATCAGTGGTCTCCCGTACAAACCTATGTAGATAGTCCATTGTGTTCAGTATTCCTGTAACCTTCATCTATAAACTAGAAGGTCTAAAATATTGCTTATCATTATAGCGAATAAAAATCAATCACTATCTGAAGTGTTAAGGATTGGCTGAAGGAACTATAAAGTTAAAGGAAACAAATTCTCCACTTTGTGGCCACCAGTAGTCAAAACATGCATGAGCCCAGCTCTCTATACAATATGTACATTGGGTTTCAAACGCTGGGATACAGGGATAATCCTGATACACTTGGATACTGTGACCCTTGGACTATTTTAACATCGAGGACAGCATGATCATTCTATTTATATAACCAGACTGAGGTCGTTCTGTGACTTTGAAATTGAGCTATTATAGGAGAGACAATACCAATAACAGTATCTTGTACAGATTCACTGGTTTGATCAATGGCAGAAATATTGCCAGCCTTTAATTGGAAATCTCTTCTAAAATTAACATGATTTGAAATTTATGGCATCTGAATATTTATTTATCTAGGGTCGGTGATCTTTTTAGATCTTATGGGGGAATTGGAACAGTATCTGTTTTTACCTCATTTGGGAATATTACTTTTACAATCTGGTGTCATTTTCGGAAGCCACAATTCCAAATAAAATGCAAAAGGATCTTCGCAAATATCCATAAACAGAGAATGCGACCGATTTTATTCATCGATTTTTATCACAAATACTTTATTTCCGCTCCTTGGATAATATTTCATGTTGAATAGTATAATAATATATTGCAGGTTGTATATTTACGGCATGGTCCAATTGGCACAGTATGATTTCGCTAAGATTCCGAATCATAGATTTCCCATAGATGTCAATAGAGAGAGTCTTGCTATTACAATAAGTGTTGTGAAATCTTACTTTAAGACAGTGGTGCCCAAAAGGTAGATCCCTATATGTTGTAGAACTACAACTCCCATGATGCTTTGCATACATTTAGAATGACAAAGAATCATGGAAGCTGTAGTTTTAAAACATCTGGGGATTTACCTTTTGAGCGCCCTGCTCTAAGAGAATCCAAGCTATTGAGGTGGATTTACTAAACAGGGTCACTTTTTTTTCTCACAATGCTTAGTTATAGTGATAAAAATAAAATTTACTACTATTGTTGTATATTGAACAATGCTAGAAAAAAATAGCCCCCACAGTTAAACCGCTCCACATGAAGCACAGAAACGACAATGCCATTACCCATTTATTAGATCGTGTTGAGGTTTTCCAGGTAAAATAGCTAACTTTCTGGTGTTAGGCCAGAAAGTCAGATGATTGCCCAGCAATTGCCCAGCAAAGCCTGAGTTGGCATGCCCACCGCAATTAAAATATATCCATTTAATGCCCAACAGAGGAATACATAATTTACTTCTCTTGTTCATGGTGCTGATAAGGCAAAATTAGTTTCTTGTAATACCCTTTTTTATTGAACAGAATTTTAGAATGACAAGCTTTCAGGAGAATTTCATGAAAAAGGACAGTTCTCCTGAAAGTTTGTCATCTTGTCATTCACAAATTCTGTTAGTGCAATAAAAAAGGTATCTATTATTTTACATCTGCATCACTGGACCAATAAGGCTAAAATCTCTACTCTCTCTAAATAATGGCTTGTTAGGGGCCTCGGAATTGGGCCTTTATACCTTTTTCTAGGAGAATCATTAATAAGGATAAACAGGGCTATACAATGGACACGAGGTCACGCATTTACGCTGGAAGAAAGGAAATTTCATCTAAGGCAAAGAAAAGGTTTTTTTTACAGTAAGAGCAATAAGGATATGGAATTCTCTGCCTGAAGAAGTGGTTTTATCCGAGTCCATACAGATGTTTAAACTGCAATTGGATAAATACGTGCAAAAACATAACATACAGGGACATAGTTTCTAATTAGTGGGGAAATAGCTGCTTGATCCAAGGAGACATCTGACTGCTATTTTTTTTCTAGTTTGTTTCAAAATTGGAAGAGCTTCAGACAGTTTTTTTTTGCCTTCTTTTGGATCAACAGCAAAAACATATGTGAGGAAGGCTGAACTTGATGGACGCAAGTCTCTTTTCAGCTATGTAACTATGTAAGTAAGGATAAAAAAATGACCATGTACAAAAAATACTCTACAGGGAAAAAAATTGCCATGAAACTAATTTAGTTTCTCCAGCCAACAGATTCAACAATGAAAAAGCTCTTTAGTCAACAAAACTAATAATATATGTCCTCGTCATCAAGAGCTTTCACCACACTTTGATTAGTTGGTTTGTAAAGCCAGCACTTACACCAGATAAATAAAACATAATCTATAAGTGGTGAGTTAAGATATGTAAGGCAATCTTTGAGCTCTAATAGTAAATAGTAAAGTTCCGTAAAAATTTGTTATGGACAGCTTATCTGAATCAAATCCACAACTGAACAGAATAATCCATCCGGAATTTACCTGTGAAGTCTTATTCAATGAATACAACTCCCACAGTTACATCCCAGCTGCATTGATTTGTCCAGTCTAACAAATAGCCGGATAAAGTCTAGTTAATAGAACATACTTGAATTGTTTACTTCCTGACGTCAAGGACGTAATCAAACCACTTCTTGACATTCCTGCCAGGTCATCTGTGATGATGTTATTTTAGGAAAAGAAGCCCAGAAAAAAAGATTGGATCATCCCCTGGCAAAAAAAGAGTGTATGCTGTGTACGCATAATATAATTTCTCTCCATGTCCTCCATTTATGGAAAGAGAGCTCTGGGAATCACACTGACCAATTGATCAACCATGGCCCTTTTTCATGTACATGTATGATAGCTTTAAAGGACAGCCATTACTTGCATACTCCTCTCTGAAATGACAGATACACTGAGATTCATCAGATTCCCTAATCATCTTATCACCCCAACAACCTCTACGATAGATAATATAGTCATCGGCAGAGACCATGTATTTAAACCCTTAACACATATGGTAATTTAAACTAGTAAGCTTTGTAAATACAAATTTAAAGATTAGGATGTATAGTGTTGTCATTACCTAGCCATCTATAGCTAAATGAAAGCGGATTAGATTAACGATCTAGTAAACACAAGATGCGTTCGTTCTTGACTGAGTTAAGTTGAGCAATGGTTTTATTTGACAGTAATGTTTAGATTTCTTTTCTCAGATCAATTCTAAATGTATTATGTTTCCTTGGGAAAAATGTAAACGTATCAGTACAAGTAGTGTAATTCAATCTCGGCTAAAACCTCCATTAATGCAGCAACAGTCTCCTAAATGTTACAGTAAGTGTCTCTCGGGAAATCTAAAGGAGTCACATCCCTTTCATTAACCAGAGAGACAACTCAGAGGAGTCTCATGTCGAGCACTTTAACCAGAGCATCTAGTCTAATGTTGATGCTATAAATGAAGACGATATTGGACATTGCCTATAGCGCTGCTGGTCAACTGGATTCCACATACAATCTGGACTTTTTGTGTGATTCCATCCTGTTTGGAAAGCGTACAGTTATTCTACATTATATATATTATTACACAGGATACAACTGCTCCCCCATCTCCTTGTGTGGCTGATATTTACCAGTGAGCAGGTCCCGTTCGTATATCGGCTGTGGACACAATGAGCAGGTCCTGTTCGTATCTCGGCTGTGGACACAGAATGCTGTGCCATTTATACTGCCCACCCACCCACCCCAAAACATTGAGTTTTCTATTGCTTGCTCCATAATTTGGAAGATGTGTTAGAGAACTTGTAAGTACATTCTCCACCCTGCACAAATAAATAATTAAATAAAAATGAAGCAAAGCTAAACTCTTGATAAAATATCCTATTTGTAGTGAGGTAGGCTTCGCTAGTAGACAGGTGCCTGTAGGTGATACCCACTCTTCCTATGGGCAAACCAGGCCCTGGTAATGGGTATGCATGCGTTTGGTAGATTGTTTACCAGCACAGTGAGTTCCAATACTCCAATACAGTGATCTTTAATAAAATTATCTTTATCAAGCCTGATAAATCTAGACAACAATCTTAAACATTGTCCTCCTCTGGCGTTAAACAAATATAAATTTTACTTACTGTCTGGTTATTCACTAAAATGTGAATTTTTTTTTATTTCTTTTTTAAATCAAAGTGAATTCAAAGTAGAGTTCAAATTTTAGGAAAATATAGCTGACTTTTTCCAATTCTGCAACTGCAACCAGACAGACAACTTGGAGGGGCTCCATGCCAAGAATTGACACATTAGCCAGATAGTCTAGTTTCCTATTGACAAGGTAGAAGGGCTTTAGACATTGCCTGTAAGACACTTAGTCATCCGGGTCCCAGGTCCTATATGTCCTCTTTGTATGATCCTAATGTATCTAGGAAATTACAGGTTATTTTTTTATCACATCGATCATTTCACAGAATACAGCTATTCACGTTTCTAACATTTTGTGTGGTCGACACCGAGGCTGGTAAAGGGGAAGGGGGCATGTGGCTAGTTGCCCCCTGGTCCACTGCTATGGAGAAGATTATGGGCTTCTAACTCATAGCACAATATTAAACATCATTAAATATCATGTATCCATATTATTTTATTATTATTGTATAGTATAAAGCTTGTATTTTAAATGTATTAAAGGTAGTTGAATTTGCTGGTTTGGGCTCAATGGGGGCTATTCATTTGTAGTCACATTCCAGGTCAAATTTAGCCAGCCCTCCCTGATGGCAGATTAAAAAGCAGAAGAACAGCTGCCTATATGACATGCAGACATCTAAACCTTGATTAAAGACCCTTATTCTATGACAGAATCCATGATATCTAAGCTGTGTTAGTTGTTATCCATTGTAACATGATTGAGAATACCTAGACATCATGAATAGGACATCACTTACAGAAGGAGTTCTTAATTGGTCCTTTAAGTGGAATAGTTTGAACTATGTATTTTTTTTTTGTAAATATACAATAAAGTCATTTTTACATAGATAAATAAAATTGTATGTCACAGATCATCAAGATAACAAAGAGCTAAGTGCACCTAAATAGAAAATAGAAGATTTTTATAGCTAGCTCCTCTTAGCATAGGATTTTTTAAATGATCTAAAATGATGATAAAAAAAAGCTAACTGTAATATCCCCCACTTATGTAGTAAAGGGGACAGAGGTACATATGTCAGTAATGATAAATGCCAGTAATATTAATATATTTTTGGGTAGATGTTACTTAGACTCCATCATTCCTGTAAGGGTTTGATGTCCAAGAATTTACCATTTTTACATTTATTATGCAAAAGAGTGATTTGTTGATTTAGATAAAACTGAATTACTCCAGCATTTTCCCTGGTCATGTTATTCTAAACTATATTTTTCCTCCTCTTCGTATATGTTCTCTCTGTCTGTGGTTCGTACGTATATATGTACAGGTGGAGAAGCCAAGTGTTCAAACATCCAGACCAAAAAAGACGCCCACAAGCCATAAACCCGTGAAAAAGGCCAAAGAAAAGCAGATCGTATCTGGCCGGGCTTCCAAGAAGAAGACCTCTGAGACAACTCCAACCACAAAACCCGAGGACAAGGAGAAGAGTAAAGAGATAAACAATAAACTGGCCGAAGCTAAAGAGTAAATTTCACAGCACTTATTATTGTTATTTTTAACGAAGGCCACAAAATACATTAGAGACTTTTGAATCTGCTCATGCTTTGATTTTATTGTAGATTAATATTTATTTATCCCTTAAACTAGATACCATCACTTAGATATCTACACTATTGTTTTCAAACATAAAAAAACAGATGCAAACTATGGTCCAAGGCTCTTTATAAAATGTTTTTATTTGCTTCTGAAATAGGAAAGGAACCTGAGAAATTTGAAAGAACCAGATAAATGTTCTAGGTGCTACAAACCAGAATGTATCGCTCTATATGCCAAACTTGCCTCTTCTGATGTTTTTATCATTTCACGTGTGAAAGCCAGTTTGGTGTATAATGTCCTAAGAATCGATTCGCAGTGAGGCGTGTTGTCAGTCTAGGTATTGTGAGACTTGATTCGAGAGATTCTCCCCAGCATGTATCAGATAAACAATCCCCCATATTAACTTCTCAAAAAACCTCAGTAACCTTGGCACTGTACTGTGCTAAACTCTGACGAGGAGGTCTTTAGAATCAGACTAAGTGTTGAAAAAAGACAGAGAATAACAGTCAATGAAAAAGAAAATTTCCCCCAAAAAATTCTCCACTGTCCATGTCCAACGTATGGCTTAATATTACTCTCTTAATAAAAAGAAGACTCTCGACTGTTGGACCAGAAGGATTACATAAAATAAAAATGAAATTGTAGATTAGTATCATTCGATTTTACCTTAACTATATATTGATAGGAAGTCCAACCATTCCAATAAAGATCCAATAACATTCCAATAATTTTATACCTGCACTTCTTAGTCAACCGTCAAGCCTTCTATTACTCAACTGTACAAATACTTTGATCTTAGGTACGATACATTTTATTGCATAAAACAAAATAAACCAGTACTGGCCTTGCTCATTCTTTATGAGCTTATTTCTGACTTTAAGCAAGCTTTCTTCTAAAATAAATTAATATTCTTAGCTCATGGCAGCACATTGTGGAATTTCTCGTTCCAAAACATATGAGGATCCACAAGTTCTCCACGTAAAGCAGTCAGTAGAAACATTCCTCCAGTTTCCATGGTGATTGCTATACTTGTGCTATAAGTTTGCCCCGAAATTGTTCTCTATATGTAACATCTATAGTAATGGATAAAGGCATGATTTATAAGAGAGCCATCTTGACTTCACTCTTCTGTAGGTTTTAGGCATCTGTGTCCTCAATATTTGAATAAATGCAACACAGATTGTAAAGGGAAACTATATTTATGCATCTTATCTCCATTTTCTTGATAATTTGAAAAACTTTTCCTAAAGAACTGAATTGAGGTCAATATCAGCTGACAAATCGAATAACGAACCTAAAGAAATTAAGGAAAATATTTTTCATGAGCTCCGTAGCCACATGTGGGAAATGATCATGATTTCTGATGGAAATGTGTTATGTTAGGGGAAGTAGCCTTTGGATTTTCTCAGCTCAAAATACATTTGCACCCGATCTAGTCTATTAACAGAGAAATAGTGGCCAGTGTATTGAAAGACGACTTACCTTGCCTCGGTGTAAAGATCCAGAACCTGTTTAATCTCATAGACAGGTTCCATTTCCAGTAGGGTCAACTCAGCGGTTAATCCTTCTGAAGTTAATAAAATTAGTACATTTGCGTTTGGTAATAATATTTTTCCTGGGCATACGTTAAGCCAAGAGAAAAGCTAAATGTGCCCTTCTGTTTAAACACTTTAATTACAAATATTATAACCATGGGGGCTTTAGCTCAACAACAGCTGCTGCTTAGAGGAGTACAAACATGTATTCCTAACACTATAGTGTTTAACTATCTAGTTAGGTGACCGTCTCCCCTCCGATCGCATTCGAAAGGTGATTTTATTGCAGGGACAGGCTACAGACACCAGAACCACTGCATTATGCTGTAGTGGTTTTGGTGACGATGGTGTCCCTTTAAACGTTTGCTATTACATCTGTAGGTCATTTGACAGCACACACTGCCCTTAATACCCATGAGAAAAATGAGCAAAGACACAGTATCCCTTTGAAACTATCACTAAAACAAATCTTAGTCTCTGGCAAGTGATAAACAGATTTAATAATGATAAACGATCACCGATAAGATGTAGGCAGTAGTAGTACACAATTCAGAAAAGGTAAAAAAAATCCCAACATAGAAAAAAAAATATTTATAAGATAAAACACAGATATTAATAACTATGTTTGTATGTGTTGTGCAGCGGCGGCGTCATCATTTAACTCATTAACGCAGCAGGCAGTGTCACATGGAATTACTTACCTCCATGAAACACTAGGGTTATGTATAAAGAGCAATTTGGGAGCAAAGATCTAGAAGTGGAGCAGTCACCATGGAAACACCAACCGCATATTGCTCCATTTGTAGATGTCTTGGAGAGCTGCTCTTTACAATGACCCTCCTAGTACATAAACCAGAAAAATATTACTTTATTAAAAAAAGTTTTAGGTAGAAATATTTATTTATAAAATTAGTTAACAAATACATTAATTTAAGCCAGATTTAAAATATATATATATATTACAAAAATATGAACAAAAATACAAATGTGCGTCTTTATTCAGTAAACGGTAAATTTGGGGTGAATTGGCAGCTGAAGTTTCAAACATCAGCCTCGATTTCATAATTTTAGATACGTTGTTTAAATTATTTATCTACAAAAAGTCTCAGATTTTAATAACGAGTTCTGTTAAATAATTTGAAAAGTTTTATCTAAAAAAGATTAAATCATTTGTAAAGCTTATGCAAAAATATGAAATCGAGGCCATTTGCCTGAGGTCAACTGTTTTTCCAATCCAATTGCTTTACTGCTCAATAAAGTTGTAAACTGACCCAAATTCACTGTTTAGTGAATGAACTTCTGACAATAGAACAATGGGAGAATTCTAAGATTCCTGTCACCAAGGGACGTACTGTGAAAACGCCCCTCAGACTGTATGTGGTTGGCATAGCAACTATTGTACATGGGGAAAAGTAATCCGTAGGGAACACTCTCTATTGTGTGGCGTGTATTGTTCAACCCGGCAAAAGCAGATTTGCATTTAAGTCTTAAGCTGAGAATGTGGCAGTGTATTTCTAAGCTTAGTTGTATGAAAATGATGTGCGTTAGTACCTAGAAATACCTCTGTTGCTTGAATCTATTGGGACACCTTCGAGTATGTTAAAATGTGAAATATTGTAACGAGTATGCTTATGTGTTCTGTATTCTTTGTATCTAAAATGCATGTTACACATGGCAGACCTGTTCGACTCTTGACAATAAATATTGCTGTCTGGAGCACACATTTCTCTTAGAAATGATATTTTCATCCATTCCTCATCGATTCAGTGGGACATGTACTCTCTTAGCATTTCAGTGTTAACAAGCATGTTTAGCTGATATTCTTTTTGAAACGCGTTGTTAAACGTACACTACGTAATTCTATGTAGACTCTGAATTTCACCCACCCCCTTATGCCTGACAAACAGAGAGGCTCACTGCTCAAACCAGAGAAAGTGCTTTTGCGAATGAATACATGGAGTGAGATTTATATATTATATTAAAAAATAGAAGGTTAATTTACTAAATAGCATTTCTGTCAGACATCCCGAAAAAAAAAGACTGAAAAACTCCCCCCCAAAAATGGAAATGTCTGTCAATGTTCCCCTATACATACAGTAACAGTGATAGTGCTTATATTATATCAACCTATCGTTCCTGTAAGTTTTCTTGTAATTGTCCTATTTATAGTTAAATACCTCTCTCATAATATTCTAAAGCGCTACAGAATCTGTTGGCGCTATATAAATGGGGATAATAATATCACTATTTGTATTATTTGGCTTTTTTTTTTTTTCCAGTCAGCACTATTGTCAGACATTAATTCACTCAAAAAAATTTCAGTTTGTTTTTATTACAATATATATATATATATATATATATATATATACACACACACACACACACACCAATATAGTGAGATAATTAGTGAGAAGGAAACTGGAGCCTCAGTTATCCTTGCGCCACACAGGACTCATACAGTCTCTTACCCGTCTGTCTCTGATTGTCTTTGTTCTCTGTTACCTTTCATACGTTGCGTCTCTCTCTCTCCCTGCTTCCTTTCTCCACCTTCCTGCCCTCTACTTTTTTTTTCCCCATCATCTCCTCAAACTTTATGTCATATATTATCTGTTCTGTTTTGTTGTTCTCCTGCATTATTTGAAAATGCAATGTTTTCCTTTAAATTACCTTTTCCTTCAGTATCTTTTACAGTTATCTCTATGCCACCTGGCGTCGTGGCGCTGATCCTGAATCACTTGTTATTGATTTGCACCACCCTCCTCTGTCCGTCTGTATGTTGACAGAAAATGTACTACTTCTTAAATTTCCATTATTTCCTGTATTATAGGGGCACCATAACCTCTGCAGCTTAGCGCAGTTGTTATGCTGCAAAGATTCTTCAGGAACAATCTCTCCAGCTAGTGTCAAATGTTTTTGAGTAGTTTGACAAAAAGCAGCACTCTTCCCTGCTATTGTGTTTGCCGCCCATCTCTACCTATGATGGTAGTGAATTAGTTTACTAACATGATAAAGGGTGTTTCAGGTATTGGGAATGCCCCAGGCCCTTTGCACCATAACCACTACAATGAACCAAAATGATACTCAGAGTGGCCCTTAAGAACGTGAAACAAAGGGTAACTAAAAGAGTAACCTTTTTTCTATTTTACAAAATGATAATATTAGAATTAGGGAAATATTAAAACTAAATAAGAAATGTACCAGTTATGTGCATTATCAAATTCCAAACTGAATGTTATAATTCAATTATAACACTGTGACTGTGGAAATGTCAGAGGGATTGGGACCATGGTCCCATGCAGATTTGGTGAGGTCGATGACTTTACGGACCGAGACCTCGGTGTTCAACATCCATGTCTAAGACATTTGTCCAATTTGCATTGTCAGGTCACTCAAAGCAGATCAGAGCTTACCTGGAATATTCTCGTTTTATTGTAGAAAGGTTTGACTCCCACCAATAGCAGGTCAGGTAATAAGGCAGGACGTTTGGACCTAGAAGGTCAATGTTCAACTTGAGAAGAATGTTCTCCTTATCCAAGGCTAGGCTTGCACAGGACATTGCAGTTTTGAGTCGTTGATGTCTAACTTCAGTGTATTCCTTTCACGTTGTAAAGAAACACTCAGTTTAGGACAGGGGTAGGCAATGATCAGCACTCCAGATGTTGTGGACTACATCTCCCACAATGCACTTACAGGCATAATGCGGCAAAGCATTAGGGGAGATGTAGTTCACAACACCTGGAAGGTCATCTACACCCTGTTTAGAATATGAACTACATATTATACTATTTCACAAGAGTCAGTGATTCCAGGGTGACACTTCCTTACATAAACATTGGAGTCGCAGTTTCAAATAATCACAAATATATAAATAATGATAATTCCAGATATTTCATCTCTACTCGTAAATATATGGCGCTACATCAGCAAACGAAAATAGAAGGTTTTCCAATAGAGCACTAGTAGACTTACAGGTTACACGTCCATCGTGGAAAAACAACAACCTCCTTCAACCCAACAAAAGATTGGACTTTAGTTATTATTATTATGGTATTTATATAGCGCCATCAAATTCCGCAGCGCTTTACAATGGGTGGACGAACAGACATGTAGTTGTAAGCAGACAAGTTGGACACACAGGAACAGGGGGGTTGAGGGCCCTGCTCAAAGTTAGCAAAGGTCTTATGAATCCAGCTTGCACGCAGCCCTGTGCTATTGGCCGGCATAAAAAGAGAGCAGTCTATGCTGTGATTGTACATATTTTATTCTACAGGGACGCGGTTTGTATCTCGGCAGCTGGCAATGCGCTAGCTGTATATACCCAGGACATACTTGAAAACGAGAGAAATCTCAATGTATCCATCCTGGTAACATATTTTATTAATAAATAAATATTAGAACCAAGCTCTGCAATGCATTATGGGAAATGTAGACCAAAACAGCTGTGGAGGGGGTGCATCAGGATATTGTGATAATTGCAGTATCTTTGAGAGGTTTCATGTTAGGCATTTATTGGAGATGTTGACCAAACAGCATGGGGGGCACGGGGGGGAGGGGGTCCAGGTGTAACAGGATGTCATAGTAACTGCCGGACCACATTAGTGGAATGGTAACTTTTACTAGATCTCTACTCTAGCCGCTTAGTGGCCACAAGTTACCTAAGCCACACTAGCGGTAGAATAGTACTAATTAACTAGTAGCAAGTGGGCAATCTTTATGATAACAGCATAAATATTGCCCACTTGCTGTTATTTATAAAGCACCAACATATTCTGTAGCACAGTACAATAACAAACTTTCATTTTTCAAAGCTGCGAGATTTGCAGTTTGCAATCCCTATAACACAGCTCCCACTAGCCTGAGCCAGCTGTGAGGATGCCAATGGCGAGTCTCTGATCTATATTTGAATTGACTGATTTAACTGCAGATACAGAAGGCAGCTAATTCCTATTTTGTGGCCTCTACTTGTTTCGTATCACAGACTGTCTTGTAACGTGTTCCACAAACCAGTCTCGGTGCTATTCATTCTTGCTGTAGTATCAGAATGATTTAACTTTTATTGTATAACCAAAAGCTAGTGATGTGCTCGATATATTTGCTTGCTCAAAGTACAATGGATTATAATAAAGTTCAAGAGAACTGCATTCCGCTATGTTTATTCTCAGACATTAAAAAAAAGCATGTTAAAAATAAAACTACTACCACATACAAAAAGTAAACAGATATATTATTATATATCTTTTTATTTAATGATTTCATTATGTGAACAAGTTATATTTATCAAGTGTTGAAAACAAGTGTGCAGTAAAGTATGCATGGCTACATTTTAATAAGCACTTAAAGGAACACTGTATCGCTAGGGAGGAATACAAATCTATTCCTAACGCTATAGTGTCCCTCTCCCTAGAGCAGTGATGGTAAACCTTTTTGAACCCGAGTGCACAAACCGCAATACATGACAACTTTTTTACCTCAAAATGCCAACACGGCAATTAAACCTGAATACTGAGGTTTAAGTTTAGAAAAAACAACTCATACAGTTGTTCGAACTATTTCTGCTCTTCTCTCCCCCCAGCATCTTCCCTTCTCATCCCACAGCATATCCCCCTCTTCCTCTCCCCTTCTCCCCCAGCATTTCATTCTCATCTTCCTCTCCCCAGATTTTCCTCTTGCTTTCCCCTTCTCCCCCCAGCATCTCCCCCTCCTTCTCTCACATTCTCCCCCAGCATCTCCTCTTCCTCTCCCCCAGCATCTCCTCTTCCTCTCCCTTTCTCCCCCCAGCATCTCCTCCTCTCCCCCCAGCATCGTCTTCACCTCCTCTCCAACCAGATTCTCATCCTTTTCCTCGTCTCCCCAGATTCTCCTCCCAGCATCTCCTCCTCCTCTTTCCAGATTCTCATCTTCCCCAGCATCTCCTCCTCCTCTCCCCAGCATCTCCTCCACCTCCTCTCCCCAGATTCTCCCCAGCATCTCCTCTCCCTTACTCCCCCCAACATCTGCTCTTCCTCTCCCCCAACATCTGCTCTTCCTCTCCCTTTCTCCCCCCCAGCATCTCCTCCTCTCCAACCAGATTCTCCTCCTTTTCCTCGTCTCCCCAGATTCTCCTCCCAGCATCTCCTCCTCCTCTTTCCCAGATTTTCATCTTCCCCCCAGCATCTCCTCCTCCTCCTCCTCTCCCCCCAGCATCTTCTCCACCTCCTCTCCCCCAGATTCTCCTTGCCAATGAAAATATACCATATGAATAAGATATAATTTTACATTTAACAAAAACAGAGAATATGATAACTTAGAGAACGGGCAAAATCTCAGAAAAAACCTTAATAGTTTGCCTTTCAGTTAGTCCCCACTTGAGTCCCAAAATATTTTTTGCTCACTTGTGCCATTACAGAGTGAACATTTAAATCTTAAACTGATCTCACCCATAACGGCAGTCCAACACCGAAATGCTGGCACGTTCTCTCTGCATGAGAGATGCAGCAAACCCGGACCATCATTTCTGCCTCCTTTGTGCATCATTGGCTAGGTGTAGGTGATGCCCCTCTGGGCACATCAACATTTAACAAATGTTTTATCATTTTTTATAACCAGGTTAATAAAATAGTATTAAGATGTATCTTTGGCAAGATAGAATCCACAGATATGCGATTTCTTTGGTCAAGTCAAGCATTAATGTTTTATTATTAATTAATAATTATTTCAAGTGTGACCTAGTTTTAGTAGATAAAATAAAATAGGTCCAGGCACTCAGGATTGCTGCAGGAATGCAGGATTATTGAAACAAAAACAGCAATGTTTCAAACTACATAGAGGCGGGCCGAAACATTGCAGTTTTTGTTTCAATAATCCTGCCTTCCTGCAGCAATCCTGAGTGCCTGGACCTAATTTATTTTATCTACTAAAATGGGTTTTGCCAACCCCGGCCCTGATAAGCACCCGGATTCCTAAGTGTGAATTACTGGATAGTTTTAAGTCAACAAGATTATTATGGAAAATTGTTTCATACTTACCGTAATTATATTTTCCTGACCATTATTCATGGCAGCATTTACTCATGGGTTAGCTCCTCCTCTCACGGCAGAAAGGAGAGGAAATAGAACTCTGAAACTGGTATAAATAGATCCTCCCCCTTCCCATCAGGCAGTCTTTGTAACTAGTTTCATAACTCATAGTATATGGGTGGGAACGTAATGCTGCCATGAATAATTATCAGGACAAGAAAATTACAGGAAGTATGAAACAATTTTCCACTTTCCTGACCATTATTCATGGCAGCATTTACTCATGAAGAATACCCAAGCAATATATATAGAGGGAGGGACAGAGTTCAAAAACAGCTCAAAACAGCTAATAGCTAAAAAAAAAAAACATTATTGAGCTGTATAAACCTTAGAAGACTTTAAAAAAGCCAAACCAATAATCAATAGGATATTGTCATAAAATCTGCTCAGACAAGTTAATTTACCCTAGAGGCTGCAAGGTCAGCAACCTCCTGGCATTCAAATGTCTGAAATATCCTGAATAAATATAGAGCCAAATAGTCATTAAGGCCCTGATAGCCAAGTCTAGAGAAGGAACAAGGCTAGACAAACTCTCATAAGAAATAAGGAACCCATCTTGTGATGGATTAAAAAAAATTTAATAATAAATGTAGAGAACCTCCATGAAACCCAGACACGGTCTAGAAATTATAGATCTATTATGTCAACAAGAAAGGATAATGTCCTTCTCTGATATAAATTTAAAACCAAATGGATGGCGTCATCAGATCAGAACCTTGACAAAGGCTTAACTTCCAGAGATCATACTGGAACCAGCAGATACTGTTGGATGAGAAGGGACACACCATGCTATTAAACGCGGGAGAATTACACTGAGAATCCCACTACTTTCTGGATGGATTTATTAAAGATGATTCACATTGCTTCCTCTTGCCTTGTGAACTACTTACCTGTAGATACAGGAAACAAATCAATATCTGCCTGTCAGAAAGAGGCAGAGCCTAATAGAGTAATAAGAGGCGGTTATAAAAACACTGCAACAATAAATATATATTGCAAAATCAGACTCACAACAATACCTCACACCGTGGATGAATTGATACAGTAATGATCAGTTACAGGAGAGGAATAAACTAATCACATTACTAGGCAAAGGCAAGAAGACTCATATACAGATTAGATGAGTGGAAAAAAAATATATAATAATAATAATAATAATAATAAATATATATCGGTATGAACCGTAGAATATGTGGCAACTACTAAATTATAAGTAGGCAATGTAGGCCAACCAAGTCAGTACCTATATTCAAAGATAAACATATTGTAAATAGCACAGATTATGCCAAACAGTATAATCCAATTTATTAGAGACTGTTGTGCAACCTGAGTAGGAGATATGCAATAGGCACATGCTACATTGTGGCAATAGACATAATAAGCAGGATAGTAGAAGATATTCAGTTATCCTTATGAGAACAAACAACCACATACTTACTCTGACCTTATCTTCAGATAGTGAAGAAGTACTTATGGCAGAGTCTATGGTGATAATAAGCAGTTGGTTTTATCTGCAAGATATCAACACCAATCCAAACATAGAATCCACAAGTATTAAATCAATGCAATGTTAGGAGTGACCATAACTTATACCGATCTAGGTACAGAGACCCTGTAAAATATATCAGTCAAATGTTTGTCATCAACAAACTGCATTACCTTATATTATGCAGGATTAATCAACCACTTAAAGCCACACATTGATTGCAAATTCCAGATATGAGGACACCTAGAAGAATCCACATGAATATCAGAAGAGGTCCGTAATGGAACTACCTGTTTAGGGATTTCCTCTATTGTTCAGGCAGCAGGTGAATTTTACCTGAAATAGTAAACCTGGTAGAATGGTCTGGGGACTGGAAAGACCTTAACATACTTGCAATACACAGCATCAAAGTTACCTGGAGCATATGAGCCTAAAAGAATACCTTTATTGCAGAAATGAAATTATAACGTTCCCCTTCACAACAGGGGAATCTGTCAGAAGTTTCTGATCATTAACTCCTTAAGAACCAAAAGCAAGCATGCCACCCCTGACATATACTAAAGGGATTGCCAAACTTTCAGGTCCCCAAGGAATAAAAGAGAATACTGAATAAAAAGTATAAACCAGACCAGGAGTAGTGAATTTTTCAGAGCAGAAGCTTGCAGAAAAATAAAATGATAGTAAAGTTCGGACCAGGTGAAAGAAAAAGCCAATATTAACAGCTTCTAAATCAGGTAAATTAGATTTTAGAAAGAAAAGAAATATACCAGAGAAAAGTCAGGTAATTGTTTCAGCGTTACCCAATTTGTGCTCCTGTAACCAGCAAGATCTACTAAGCTGTGCATCAGTAATCGGCGTATATCTGAAGGTAAAACACTGCCACCAAACTTGGAAAAAACATTCCCTATCTTGATCAGAGAGGAGAGGATACCTGGCAATAGAAACACTTATGTAGAATGGTATCCTGTATGCATACATAGGTGTGCACACAAAAATAACATTAATTCTGTTAAACAGTACCATGCTCCATTTTGGAAATCAGGTCTTATTCTATCCTGGGAGAGGCACTCAGACAGGTTCAGTAACACCTGCAATCTATCTGTGTTGAATTGCTTATCCAACACCTGTGGGAGAAGGAACCTAATACAAAGCCAAAAGCAGTATGTTTCCTTATGTATTTCATTTAACCACTTAAGGACCGAGGACTGTTCAGGGGTCCTAATCCGCCATGGGGAGTCTGTCTGGGCCGCAGGCAGTCTCCCCACACCGGGAGCACCACCGATCGCTGCCGGGGGAACGACAGCGATCGGGTAAGTACATTGGACCGTTAGGACGATTCAGGACCGTCATCGGTCGACAATGTAAAAATGCCGCTGACGGTCCTGAACCGTTCTAACAGTCCAATGTACTTACCCGATCGCTGTTGTTCCCCCGGCGGCAATCGGCGGTGCTCCCGGTGTGGGGAGACTGCCTGCAGCCCAGACAGACTCCCCATGGCGGATTAGGACCCCTGTGGCCATGTGATCACTCAACAGAGCGATCACATGGTCACAATAGGTGTCAATGTGTCTGCCTGCAGGGGGACTGTCTGTGCTGACAGACAGTCTCCCTGCTAGTGTAAAATCAAATAAAGGTTAATATTAATAAATAAAAATATTATATATGTGTATATAAATATGATATATAGACATTTATGATATCTATATAATATATGTCTATAAATCATATATATAATGTCATAATAAGTGTATTTTTATATTAATTAAATTACACACGTATATATATAATATATATAATAACTATATATATTATATTATATATATTATTAAAAAATACAAATAATAAGTAGATTAAATTAAATAAAAAAAATTAAAAATAATTGTATATATATATATATATATCTATGTATAGATAAATAAATAAAAATAATACAAAATATACATATGTCCATATACATCACATAAATAATTATATAAATATACACGTAGACTTCAAATATATAAATATGCATATATATTTAAATTCTACATTCGTATTTACGTAATATTTTTACATAATTAAGTAATTTTATTAATTGCAATTTGAGGGACCTGCCTGCCTGCCAACGCAGGCCGAAAGTCCAGAGAATTTAATTTGCTAGCACTGTATTTTACTCTGTAACTTTCCATGACACCCTAAAACCTGTACATGGGGGGTACCGTTTTACTTGGGAGACTTCGCTGAACACAAATGTTTGTGATTCAAAACAGTAAAACATATCACAGCAATGATATTGTCAGTGAAAGTGACTTTTTTCGCATTTTTCACACACAAACAGCACTTTCACTGATGATATAATAGTTGTAATACATTTTCCTGTTTTGAAACACTAATATTTGTGTTCAGAAAAGTCTCACGAGTATAACAGTACCCCCCATCAGCCCCCACCATCACCCCAACCCCCTCCCTCACCGTCAGCCCCCACCATCACCCCAACTTCCCTCCCTCTGCATCAGCCCCCACCATCACCCCAACCTCCCTCCCTCCTTCAGCATCACCCCCCTTCCTCACCATCAGCCCCACCATCACCCCAACCTCCTCCCTCTCTCCCCAACCTCCCTCCCACTGCATCAGCCCCCACCATCAGCCCCGGCCTCCTCCTCCCTCCTTCAGCATCACCCCCTTCCACCATCACCCCAACCTCCCTCCCTCAAAAATCACCCCCATCCACCCCAACCCCCACCTCCCTCATCCCCCCTTCCCTCACCATCAGCCCCACTGCATCCGCTCCTCCCTCCCTCCATCATCCCTCACCATCAGCCCCATCATCACCCTCCCTCACTTCACACTCACCATCAGCCCCCACCATCCTCCAACCTCCCTCCCTCCTTCAGCATCACCCCCTTCCTCACCTTCAGCCCCCACCCACCCTCCATGCCCCCTCCGCCTTCACCCCTCCATGGCATCATCCCTCCCTCCAGCTCTCTCACCCTTCATCCCATCGCCCCTTCACCTCAGCATCACCTCCCATCCACTGCGCCACCTCCCTCACCCATCCCTCACCATCACCCCCTATCACCCTCACACCCTCTCACCATCTCCCTCTCATCACCCCCCTGCTCACAGAGACCTACATTCACACACTCTGTCAGACACACTCTCAGGCACATACACAGGTAAACTGTGCATCAATGTGTATATGTGACGGTGTGCATGTATTGCAATTCTATTTTTTTCACTTTTTTGTTAGTCGGGCCTCATGTTTGAGTTTCGCCTAAGGCCTCATAAAGTCTAGAGCCGCCTCTGGGTTTAACCAAACCCCAGACAAGGTGGAATACATAGAATAAGTATACCCATGTAGTCAGGGCCGGACTGGGAAAAAAATTAGGCCCGGGCATTTTTCAATTAGAGCGGCCCCCCAAGAAGGGGGCGGGGCCAGAGAGGGTGTGTTTTGTCATCACTAATGACAAGCACGCCCCCTCTCAATGTGAGCATGTTGGTTCAATGTGCAGAGCCCCGCTGAAGAGCTCTGGCTTTAGAAAAAGGCCCTGTATTTGTTCTGCGCAGCGCAAGCAAATGTAATAACATGCTTGCACTGTGTTTGCTTTTAAGTTGTCTCTGGTGTCTCCACAAATGGGATACCAGAGGACAAAAGGGCCAGGAAAGTGTATGGTGCATGTGTTTGGCGCCTGCTTGTGGGATTGCCTGTGTGTAGAGTGTGGTGTGGTATTGTGTAAATAGATGTAATATGTGTGGTGTAATATGTGTGGCTATGGGCTGTAGAGAATGCGTGTATAGGGGCATAGTGTTATAGGGGATGTAGCGAGTGTGTGCATACGGGCAGTAGTGTGTGTGTATAGGTGATGTAGTGTGTGTAGGGGTTGTAGAGAGGGTGTGTTTAGAGAATGTTGTATGTGTTTCCTTACAAGGAATGTAGTGTGTGTGTAGGTGGTGCACTGTGTGTGGTGTGTAAGAGATCTAGTGTGTAAAGGACCCAGAGTGTGTATAGAAGATTGTGTGTGCAGAGGATTAAGAGTGCATATAGGGTAAGGGATCTAGCGTGTATCTGGAGCTATGTGTGTCTCTCGGTGTGCTGAGTGTGTCTCTGGGGTGCTGTGTGTGTATCTGGGGTGCTGTGTGTGTCTGGGGGTGCTGTGTGTGTATCTGGGGTGCTGTGTGTGTGTCTGGGGGTGCTGTGTGTGTGTCTGGGGGTGCTGTGTGTGTATCTGGAGGTGCTGTGTGTATCTGGAGGTGCTGTGTGTATCTAAAGTGCTGTGTGTGTCTGGGGGTGCTGTGTGTGTCTGGGGTGCTGTGTGTGTATCCAAGGTACTATGTGTATGTCTGGTACTGTGTGTCTGGGGAGTGCTATGTGTGTGTGTCTAGGGGGTACTTTCATGTGTGTGTCTCTGGGGTGCTATGTGTGTGTCTGGGGGTGCTGTGTGTGTATCTGGAGGTGCTGTGTGTATCTAAAGTGCTGTGTGTGTATCTAGGGTGCTGTGTGTGTGTGTGTGTCTGGGGGTGCTGTGTGTGAGTGTGTCTGGGGGTGCTGTGTGTGAGTGTGTCTGGGGGTGCTGTATGTGTCTGGGGGTGCTGTATGTGTCTGGGGGTGCTGTGTGTGTTTGGGTGCGCTGTGTGTGTTTGGGTGCGCTGTGTGTGTTTGGGTGCGCTGTGTGTGTCTGGGGTGCTGTGTGTGTGTCTGGGGGTGCTGTGTGTGAGTTGGCTGTGTGTGTCTGGGGGTGCAGTGTGTGTGTCTGGGGTGCTGTGTGTTTCTGGAGGTGCAGTGTGTGTCTGGGGTGCTGTGTGTGAGTTGGCTGTGTGTGTCTGGGGTATGTGTGTGTGTCTGGGGGTGCTGTGTGTGTGTGTCTGGGGGTGCAGTGTGTGTCTGGGGTGCTGTGTGTGTTTCTGGGGGTGCTGTGTGTGAGTTGGCTGTGTGTGTCTGGGGGTGCTGTGTGTGTCTGGGGTGCTGTGTGTTTCTGGGGGTGCAGTGTGTGTCTGGGGTGCTGTGTGTGTGTGTGTGGGGGTGCTGTGTGTGAGTTGGCTGTGTGTGTCTGGGGTATGTGTGTGTGTCTGGGGGTGCTGTGTGTGAGTGTGTCTGGGGGTGCTGTGTGTGTTTCTGGGGTGCTGTGTGTGTTTCTGGGGGTGCTGTGTGTGAGTTGGCTGTGTGTGTCTGGGGGTGCTGTGTGTTTCTGGGGGTGCAGTGTGTGTCTGGGGTGCTGTGTGTGTGTGTGTGTGTGTGGGGGGGTGCTGTGTGTGAGTTGGCTGTGTGTGTCTGGGGTATGTGTGTGTGTCTGGGGGTGCTGTGTGTGTGTGTCTGGGGGTGCTGTTTGGGAATTAATTTTAAGTATATATTTTTTTTTATTAATAATTTTTTTTAAAGTTATGTCCCCCCCCCTCCCTTCTTACCTTTAGCCTGGGAGGGGGAGGGAGCCGTTCTGCCTGGGAGGGGGAGGGAGCCGTTCTGCCTGGGAGGGGGAGCCTTGAGGGGACCATGCTGCCTTCCCTGGTGGTCCAGTGGTGAGAGTGAACTCTAACCTGCAGGTTAGAGTTCACTCTCGCGAGATCTGAGCGTTGCCGCGGCAACGCTCAGAATCTCGCGAGAGGACCCGGCGGAGCTGCTGGTTAGAGCTCCGCCGGGTCCTCCCTCCCTCACCCAGCCGGCGGCCGCATCTCCCTGTCTGTGGGCCGGTGAGGGAGATCTTTGATCTCCCCACCGGCCCATGGAGGCACACAGCGGGGCCGGTGCTCGGATAGCGCTGGCCCTGCAGGGGCCGGCCGGGGAGATCCTGTGATCTCCCTGCCGGCCTCGGCCCCACGGCCATCGCGGCCCACCGGGCATTTGCCCGGTATGCCCGATGGCCAGTCCGGGCCTGCATGTAGTCACCTTATTACACTTACATAATTACACTTGAAGTGCTGTATACTGGGTCTTCAGGGATAAAGGCTTAGACTAGGCTGGGCCTCATGTATGCAGTGGACCGCTGTCATCCCCTCAGGGAGAGAGATAGGTCAGACTCCTGATTGCTGAAGGAGGTACCCAGGCTGGCAACTCTTATAGATGTGCTGTTTGCTGGGTCTTCAGGGATAAGAGGCTGAACCCTGGCATGCAGTGGACCATTTTCATCCCTTTCAGGGAGAGGTTGGGTCCGACCTCCGGTCACTAAAGGGGGTACCCAGGCTAGCCACTTTTACAATAGTGCGTTGCTGGGTCTTCAGGGCTTAGAGGCTGAACCCCGGCAGGGCTACAAAAATATTGCCTGGTGAGCATAAAAGAAAAAAATCTAGGCCTGCTTAAGCAGACTCCTTCCAAACTTCTGTGAATTACAGGAAAAAAAGACTGCCTGATGGGAAGGTGGAGGATCTATTTATACCAGTTTCAGAGTTCTATTTCCTGTCCTTTCTGCCGTGAGGGGAGGAGCTAACCCATGTGTTAATGCTGCCATGATTGATCAGGAAAAAGAAATGAATTATTCCTAAATGAAATGATCTCTGCATTGCTATCAGCTGCTGGACTGGTTTTTATTTGGCTGTGTTATATTTAAAAGTTAGTGGCTAATAGATGGCGCTTATTTTTCTAATATTGCTGAATATTTCGTTTTAAGCAGCTGTAGCACTGGTATAGATATGGAAGGGATACCTCAATGTCTAGGTGATATGCCAACACCCAACAAACATTAAAGTGAAAGTGCAGCACTAATAGTAAGAACTCTGTTAATAGTTACACAATTTTAGTCCACCGGCCTGTTTCTTATATCCTTGGGTCTGAGGAAAAGGGGGAGCTGTGCCTGTAAACTTGGGGCAAGTATTCAATGGGCTCCCAAAAAAGGTGAGCAATACTAAACACACTGAGTGTACCATACCAGCACTTCTCAAGAGGTACTTTCACCATTGCTCCCGTTATGTTTTCTACGTGCCATATTGGAGAATTTAAACTTCAAGAAGAGGTTTAGATGCCACCAGAAGGGCACGGCTATGTGTACGTTCAGAGCGTTCAAACAGCTCCACACATTGTGAGCATAAATCTCCCCAATTTCTATATATCACCTATTTATGTTTACAGTGTTGCACTATTGGATTTTCTTCCTTTTTTGTATTACAGGTGCCAATGAACTAATATAACCCTAAGTTTGTATGCAGGGTGAGTTCTTACTATTTGCGCTGCACTTTCACTTTAATGTTTGTTGGTTGGTGGTGTATCACCTAAATATTGAGGTATCCCTTCCATAATCACATGTCATAGCAAAATAAATATTTGACACCTTCACTACCAAGCTCGAAGCTTGAAAATAATAATTAAATAAAATCAGCATAGCATTTATTTTAAAAGGGTAGGATACATAGCCACACTTCCCAAATACCCCTTATTTAGGAGGGACGGTTCCTTTTTTGCAAAATTGTATTAATCTGCCCCAAATTGCCCTTTCTCTCTTTTCTCTCCTAATGTCCCTCTTTTCTATGAGCTCCATATTGTTATGAGTGTATAACAGAGCTCCACAGTAATAATACTCCCAGTAATGTGTCTGAGTGTATAACAGAGCTCCACAGCAATAATACTCCCAGTAATGTGTCTGAGTGTATAACAGAGCTACACAGCAATAATACTCCCAGTAATGTGTCTGAGTGCATAACAGAGCTCCACAGCAATAATACTCCCAGTAATGTGTTTGAGTGTATCACAGAGCTCCACAGCAATAATACTCCCAGTAATGTGTCTGAGTGTATAACAGAACTCCACTGCAATAATACTCCCAGTAATGTGTCTGAGTGTATAACAGAGCTCCACAGCAATAATACTCCCAGTAATGTGTCTGAGTGTATAACACAGCTCCACAGCAATAATACTCCCAATAATGTGTCTGAGTGTATAACAGAGCTCCACAGCAAGCATACTCCCAGTAATGTGTCTGAGTGTATAACAGAGCTCCACAGCAATAATACTCCCAGTAATGTGTCTGAGTGTATAACAGAGCTACACAGCAATAATAGTCCCAGGAATGTGTCTGAGTGTATAACAGAGCTACACAGCAATAATACTCTCAGTAATGGGTCTGAGTGTATAACAGAGCTCCACAGCAATTATACTCCCAGTAATCTGCCTGAGTGTATAACAGAGCTCCACAGCAATAATACTCCCAGTAATGTGTCTGAGTGTATAACAGAGCTCCGCAGCAATAATACTCCCAGTAATGTGTCTGAGTGTATAACACAGCTCCACAGCAATAATACTCCCATCAATGTGTCTGAGTGTATAACAGAGCTCCACAGTAATAATACTCCCAGTAATGTGTCTGAGTGTATAACAGAGCTCCACAGCAATAATACTCCCAGTAATGTGTCTGAGTGTATAACAGAGCCCCACAGCAATAATACTCCCAGTAATGTGTCTGAATGTATAACTGAGCCCCACATTAATAATACTCCCAATAATATGTCTGAGTGTATAACAGAGACCCACAGCAATAATACTCCCAGTTATGTGTCTGAATATATACCAGAGCTTCACAGCAATAATACTCCCAGTAATGTGTCTGAGTGTATAACAGAGCCCCACAGCAAAAATACTCCCAGTAATGTGTCTGAGTGTATAACAGAGCTCCACAGCAATTATACTCCCAGTAATGTGTCTGAGTGTATAACAGAGCTCCACAGTAATAATACTCCCAGTAATGTGTCTGAGTGTGTAACAAAGCTCCACAGCAATAATACTCCCAGTAATGTGTCTGAGGGTATAACAGAGCTCCACAGCAATAATACTTCCAGTAATGTGTCTGAGTGTATAACAGCGCTCCACAGCAATAATACTCCCAGTAATATGTCTGATTGTATAACAGAGCTCCACAGCAATAATACTCCCAGTAATGTATCTGAGTGTATAACAGAGCTCCACAGCAATAATACTCCCAGTAATGTGTCTGAGTGTATAACAGAGCTCCCCAGCAATAATACTCCCAGTAATGCGGCTGAGTGTATAACAGAGCTCGCCAGCAATAATACTCCCAGTAATGTGTCGGAGTGTATAATAGAGCTCCACAGCAATAATACTCCCAGTAATGTGTCTGAGTGTATAACACAGCTTCACCGCAATAATACTCCCAGTAATGTGACTGACTGTATAACAGAGCTCCCAGCAATAATACTCCCAGTAATGTGTCTGCGTGTATAACAGAGCTCCACAGCAATAATACTCCCAGTAATGTGTCTGAGTGTATAACAGAGCTCCACAACAATAATACTCCCAGTAATGTGACTGAGTGTATAACAGAGCTCCACAGCAATAATACTCCCAGTAATGTGTCTGAGTGTATAACAGAGCTCCACAGCAATATAACTCCAAGTAATGTGTCTGAGTGTATAACAGAGCTCCACAGCAATAATACTCCCAGTAATGTGTCTGAGTGTATAACAGAGCTCCACAGCAATATAACTCCAAGTAATGTGTCTGAGTGTATAACAGAGCTCCACAGCAATAATACTCCCAGTAATGTGTCTGAGTGTATAACAGAGCTCCACAGCAATAATACTCCCAGTAATGTGTCTGAATGTATACCAGAGCTCCACAGCAATAATACTCCCAGTAATGTGTGTGAGTGTATAACAGAGCTCCACAGCAATAATACTCCCAGTAATGTGTGTGAGTGTATAACAGAGCTGCACAGCAATAATACTCCCAGTAATGTGTCTGAGTGTATAACAGAGCTCCACAGCAATAATACCTCCAGTAATGTGTCTGAGTGTATAACAGAGCTCCACAGCAATAATACTCCCAGTAATGCGTCTGAGTGTATAACAGAGCTCCACAGCAATAATACTCCCAGTAATGTGTCTGAGTGTATAACAGAGCTCCACAGCAATAATACTCCCAGTAATGTGTCTGAGTGTATAGCAGAGCTCCACAGCAATAATACTCCCAGTAATGTGTCTGAGTGTATAACAGAGCTCCACAGCAACAATACTCCCAGTAATGTGTCTGAGTGTATAACAGAGCCCCACAGCAATAATACTCCCAGTAATGTGTCTGAGTGTATAACAGAGCTCCACAGCAATAATACTCCCAGTAATGTCTCTGAGTGTATAACAGAGCTCCACAGCAATAATACTCCCAGTAATGTGTCTGAGTGTATAACAGAGCTCCCCAGCAATAATACTCCCAGTAATGTGTCTGAGTGTATAACAGAGCTCCCCAGCAATAATACTCACAGTAATGTGTCTGAGTGTTTAACAGAGCTCCCCAGCAATAATACTCACAGTACAGTATCTTTAAACTACAATAAATGTGTTTAGAATCAGTCTGTGTAAATAAGATAAGGCAAAAAAGAAAGAATGAGAACTCTGAGAATGGACAAAAGCTTAGAGTAAACTGAATAGCTTGCCCTTCGGTACATCCCCGCTATGGTCTTAAAATAGTTTTTGCTCACTTGTGCCATTACAGAGAGAAAATATCTGAAGCATATCAGACTGGTCCCACCTGTACGGACAGTCCAGATCCGAAATGCCAGTAAGTTCCCTTTGCACAAGGGATACAGCAACCCCACACGATCGTTTCAGCCTCGTCAGTGAGGTGTAGCTGATAACCCTCTAGGCACAGTGAGCACGTGGTCCACGTCTGGATTACCTGTTGAAACACGTCAATGCATTAAAGCAACAAAAGAAATACTGAGAACTCTAAGAACGGACAAAAGGTTAGAGTAAACTCAATAGCTTGCCCTTCGGTACATCCCCGCTATGGTCTCAAAATACTTTTTACTCACTTGTGCTATTGCACCAAACACAGGTACAGACATCAATTCTACAATCACTGCACCAAACACAGGTACAGACACTGACTCCATAATCACTGCATCAAACACAGGTACAGACACTGACTCTACAATCACTGCATCAAACACAGGTACAGACACTGACTCTACAATCACTGCATCAAACACAGGTACAGACACTGACTCTACAATCACTGCATCAAACACAGGTACAGACACTGACTCTACAATCACTGCATCAAACACAGGTACAGGCACTGACTCTACAATCACTGCATCAAACACAGGTACAGACATTGACTCTACAATCACTGCACCAAACACAGGTACAGGCACTGACTCTACAATCACTGCATCAAACACAGGTACAGACACTGACTCCATAATCACTGCATCAAACACAGGTACAGACACTGACTCTACAATCACTGCATCAAACACAGGTACAGACATTGACTCTACAATCACTGCACCAAACACAGGTACAGACATTGACTCTACAATCACTGCATCAAACACAGGTACTGACACTGACTCTACAATCACTGCATCAAACACAGGTACAGACATTGACTCTACAATCACTGCATCAAACACAGGTACAGACACTGACTCTACAATCACTGCATCAAACACAGGTACAGACACTGACTCTACAATCACTGCATCAAACACAGGTACAGACACTGACTCTACAATCACTGCATCAAACACAGGTACAGACACTGACTCTACAATCACTCACTACAGCATCAAACACAGGTACAGACACTGACTCTACAATCACTGCATCAAACACAGGTACAGACACTGACTCTACAATCACTGCATCAAACACAGGTACAGACACTGACTCTACAATCACTGCATCAAACACAGGTACAGACACTGACTCTACAATCACTGCATCAAACACAGGTACAGACATCAACTCTACAATCACTGCATCAAACACAGGTACAGACACTGACTCTACAATCACTGCATCAAACACAGGTACAGACACTGACTCCACAATCACTGCATCAAACACAGGTACAGACACTGACTCTACAATCACTGCATCAAACACAGGTACAGACATTGACTCTACAATCACTGCACCAAACACAGGTACAGGCACTGACTCTACAATCACTGCACCAAACACGGGTACAGACACTGACTCTACAATCACTGCATCAAACACAGGTACAGACACTGACTCTACAATCACTGCATCAAACACAGGTACAGACACTGACTCTACAATCACTGCATCAAACACAGGTACAGACACTGACTCTACAATCACTGCATCAAACACAGGTACAGGCACTGACTCTACAATCACTGCATCAAACACAGGTACAGACACTGACTCTACAATCACTGCATCAAACACAGGTACAGGCACTGACTCTACAATCACTGCACCAAACACGGGTACAGACACTGACTCTACAATCACTGCATCAAACACGGGTACAGGCACTGACTCTACAACCACTGCATCAAACACAGGTACAGACACTGACTCTACAATCACTGCATCAAACACGGGTACAGGCACTGACTCTACAATCACTGCATCAAACACAGGTACAGACACTGACTCTACAATCACTGCACCAAACACAGGTACAGACATTGACTCTACAATCACTGCATCAAACACAGGTACAGACACTGACTCTACAATCACTGCACCAAACACAGGTACAGACATTGACTCTACAATCACTGCACCAAACACAGGTACAAACACTGACTCTACAATCACTGCACCAAACACAGGTACAGACATTGACTCTACAATCACTGCACCAAACACAGGTACAGGCACTGACTCTACAATCACTGCATCAAACACAGGTACAGACACTGACTCTACAATCACTGCATCAAACACAGGTACAGACATCAATTCTACAATCACTGCACCAAACACAGGTACAGACACTGACTCCATAATCACTGCATCAAACACAGGTACAGACATTGACTCTACAATCACTGCATCAAACACAGGTACAGGCACTGACTCTACAATCACTGCATCAAACACAGGTACAGACACTGACTCTACAATCACTGCATCAAACACAGGTACAGACACTGACTCTACAATCACTGCATCAAACACAGGTACAGACACTGACTCTACAATCACTGCACCAAACACAGGTACAGACATTGACTCTACAATCACTGCATCAAACACAGGCACAGACATTGACTCTACAACCACTGCATCAAACACAGGTACAGACACTGACTCTACAATCACTGCACCAAACACGGGTACAGGCACTCACTCTACAATCACTGCATCAAACACAGGCACAGACATTGACTCTACAACCACTGCATCAAACACAGGTACAGACACTGACTCTACAATCACTGCATCAAACACAGGTACAGACACTGACTCTACAATCACTGCATCAAACACAGGTACAGACACTGACTCTACAATCACTGCATCAAACACAGGTACAGACACTGACTCTACAATCACTGCATCAAACACAGGTACAGACACTGACTCTACAATGACTGCATCAAACACAGGTACAGACACTGACTCTACAATCACTGCACCAAACACAGGTACAGGCACTGACTCTACAATCACTGCACCAAACACGGGTACAGACACTGACTCCATAATCACTGCATCAAACACAGGTACAGACATTGACTCTACAATCACTGCATCAAACACAGGTACAGGCACTGACTCTACAATCACTGCATCAAACACAGGTACCGACACTGACTCTACAATCACTGCATCAAACACAGGTACAGACACTGACTCTACAATCACTGCATCAAACACAGGTACAGACATTGACTCTACAATCACTGCACCAAACACAGGTACAGACACTGACTCTACAATCACTGCATCAAACACAGGTACAGACACTGATTCTACAATCACTGCATCAAACACAGGTACAGGCACTGACTCTACAATCACTGCACCAAACACGGGTACAGACATCAACTCTACAATCACTGCATCAAACACAGGTACAGACACTGACTCTACAATCACTGCATCAAACACAGGTACAGACACTGACTCTACAATCACTGCATCAAACACAGGTACAGACACTGACTCTACAATCACTGCATCAAACACAGGTACAGACACTGACTCTACAATCACTGCATCAAACACAGGTACAGACACTGACTCTACAATCACTGCATCAAACACAGGTACAGACACTGACTCTACAATCACTGCATCAAACACAGGTACAGACACTGACTCTACAATCACTGCATCAAACACAGGTACAGACACTGACTCTACAATCACTGCATCAAACACAGGTACAGACACTGACTCTACAATCACTGCATCAAACACAGGTACAGACACTGACTCTACAATCACTGCATCAAACACAGGTACAGACACTGACTCTACAATCACTGCATCAAACACAGGTACAGACACTGACTCTACAATCACTGCATCAAACACAGGTACAGACACTGACTCTACAATCACTGCATCAAACACAGGTACAGACACTGACTCTACAATCACTGCACCAAACACAGGTACAGACACTGACTCTACAATCACTGCATCAAACACAGGTACAGACACTGACTCTACAACCACTGCATCAAACACAGGTACAGACACTGACTCTACAATCACTGCATCAAACACAGGTACAGACACTGACTCTACAATCACTGCATCAAACACAGGTACAGACACTGACTCTACAATCACTGCATCAAACACAGGTACAGACACTGATTCTACAATCACTGCATCAAACACAGGTACAGGCACTGACTCTACAATCACTGCACCAAACACGGGTACAGACATCAACTCTACAATCACTGCATCAAACACAGGTACAGACACTGACTCTACAATCACTGCATCAAACACAGGTACAGACACTGACTCTACAATCACTGCATCAAACAAAGGTACAGACACTGACTCTACAATCACTGCACCAAACACAGGTACAGACACTGACTCTACAATCACTGCACCAAACACGGGTACAGACATATACTCTACAATCACTGCATCAAACACAGGTACAGACACTGACTCTACAATCACTGCATCAAACACAGGTACAGGCACTGACTCTACAATCACTGCACCAAACACGGGTACAGACATCAACTCTACAATCACTGCATCAAACACAGGTACAGGCACTGACTCTACAATCACTGCACCAAACACAGGTACAGACAATGACTCTACAATCACTGCACCAAACACAGGTACAGACAATGACTCTACAACCACTGCATCAAGCACACTAGTTGCACTGCATGCATGCATGCCCATACACACACTAGTTACACTACATCCATGTCCCTATGTTCACACTGCTTACACTGCATCCATGTCCCCATACACATGCTGGTTTCACTGCATCCATATCACCATATACACACTGCTTACTATACATCTCTGTCCTCATACACAAATTGGTTACACTGCATCCATGTCCATACACACACTTCTTACACTGCATCAATATCCCCATACACACATTGTGTCGCCGTGGGAACCTCAACGACAATAGGTGCAATGATACCTGGCACCGCAGAAGGAACACTAGTAGTGAGACTAAGCACGAGCGAGGGGGACCTCATGCCTCTTTGTACAGCCCTTGCGGCTGTTGAGCGGTCGACCAAACCGACGAAAGCTAACTATCTAAGGGGGAATCCCTGCTCGCTTGTGTCCCTGCTCCCACTGATCCAAAAAAAACCTAAGACCCGTCAGGTACCCCCCTAGCAAAGGACCGAATGAAGGCACTGCAATGAAGAAACAGTGCTGTACTCACCAGCCGATGCCCGATGGCCCACCCGCGGCAAAGGAATTGATGGAAGATCCAGGCAGGATTGAGGTAAATCCACTTTCACTAGTATTCAGCCTTCCAGGAGTTCCAGACACCATCTGCTGGGCAGTCCCAGGAACAGCAGCCAGATTCTGTGAGAAGAGCAGTGGAGAGGAGATTAAGCTCACACCCCGCAGAGGAGGGCACCCAAGGTAAGTAACCAGGGGAGAAAGAGGGACCAGCAGACGACACAGAGGGAACAGGAAGAAAGGGGGCAGAAGGGAGGAGAGAGAGAGAGGGCTAGAAAGTTGGACAGAGGCAAGGAGGGGAACCAGAACTAGGGGAGAAGGAACCAAATAGGCAGGGGGGCGGGGCACAGAGTAAGAGGGCCCAACAAGAGAGGACAGGGAGGACACCAAAGGAGGGGATGAGAGAACGGGGAACGATGGACAGAAGCAGGGGAGGAGAGGGAGACACCCCAAGCTGACCCTGGTCTCCAGAGGACATACCAGAACCCGCGTGTCGCGTGTCGGATGGGGTAGACAAGCGGGCCTGGCGGCGCCTCAGGCCTGGGCTCCGGCTCAAGCGAGCAGGATGACGGGAGCGTCGGCCCGTGCTCGTGCAGCCTACAGAGGTTGTGGCTGCATGGGAGGCCCCAGCAGAGGCTTGGTCACGAGGATGGGGGGGAACCAAGACCGGTAGCCAAACCAGGCTGGAGGTGAGCAAATTTCTCACGGAGGCACCTGACACCATCCAAGGCAGCTGAAGCTCTGAGGGCAGACAGGATACCTTCCACATCCATCCTCAAGCAGAAAGTTTCCTAGGCCCAGGGCAAACAGGAGCAACAGAGTAAGGGTTCATTGTTTGCTGGCCCGTCTCCCAAGAGGCACTGAGGTAAGATGATCCATACACCACTCCCATATACACATACAGCCAATCACAAGCATCCATCCCCACCCTCATACATGTTCCCTTGTCCGCTTAGCTGTGCTATCTCCCCGGGGCCTGGTTTCTCTATCAGTGTGCTCATACATAAATGCAGGAGCTCAGTTATCTTGTTTTCTTGTAAAATATTTCAAATAGCAAATCGGTTAACATTATAATTTAGGCATCGCATTCTCAGGAACGTAAAGGGTTTAATCATTCCTCACCCTTTTCTTCTTGTCATAAAATTACCTTCTTAAAATCAGCACATAGGAACGGAAATCACATAATTGGCTGAGATGCCTTTCTGTATAAAACCTCTTCCATAAACTGGCTGTGGAGTAAAAATAATTCCTTGCTCTGTATGAAAGTTTAATAGAATAGCTCTGTGAGTAGAATGATTTATTTAACACGCACTGAATGGGACTTGGCTTGTGATTTATTGCATTCTGATTCAACTGACTCCAGGTTATCCCAGGCGAGGGATTTGGCAGCGAGGTAGCTGTGTAAAGTAGGTCGCGCAGCCTTTTCTCCCAGTCCTGCCCGCGCATGTTAAGTAGAAATGAAGACAAACTTCGTAGCCGATCATTGATAGCAGTGATGGGGAACATTCAGCCCTCCAGATGTTCTGCACTACATTTCCCATAATGCTGTTATAGCTATAATGCTGGCAAAGCATCAAGGGAGATGTAGTACAAAACATCTAGAGGGCTGTAGGTCCTCCCTCCCTCCGATTTACGGAGACACAGAAACTGAGCACGTTAGTTACAAACAACCCTGATTATTCTAGGATAGCCTTGGTACATATCAAGAGAAATTCTATGCTTGACTTGTGATCCTTCAATGATTCATTGGGCACCTATACCCACCATGTTTTCCTACAGACATTTCACGTCTACGTGTGGATTCAGTACATCCAGTGCCGGCCGTTCTATGCAGCATTTATTGGCTGTAGGTGGGGAGCCGGTTAATTCATTAACCCTCTTATGGCAGATGCTAAACACAGATAAGGGCAGCACGTGTCTAAGAGGTTTTCATTTGTGGTCATTTTTTGGGGGGTGGGGGGGGTCAGTGGAGAGTCCCTTTAACATTGACTTGAATGTATCTCCTGAACCCACTGAAGAAGTGGTTTTAGTGTGTAGATGTTGCTTTTAAAGATCTCATTCACAATGAGAAAACTCTCCTGGATTAAAAATATGTGTTTAGTTGCCACCTTGTTTTCATTTTACAAAAAGTGCAAATTTCAATAAAAATTGGCACTTTTATTAATGAACCTTGTTACACCTTGCTGGCTGTCAGACTAGTCCTGTTACTTCCTGGTTTAGCTCAGTGAAGCTAAACTCAAAAGGCGTCTCCTTGAGCTGCATTGGGAAATCTGTGATTGGACAGCCACAGAAAGTCTGGACAGGGTTAGAAGGGGAGGGCTTGCAAAGGCTGCAAACAAGAGTTTTGCAGGTACATAATTAAGTGCATGTTTTCACGGGAGGTAAATCAGGTAAACAAAATTTTTATTGTATCCGAGAGGGGGGTGAAGTGTCTCGTTAATGACAGCCAAAATTATTTACTTGCATTAACTGCTTTATTAAGAGGTTATTAAGGGCATTTCTTTGGGATCCTTCATTAAATACTTTTTTTCCCTCCATAACATTTACTCCTGGATAATGACGATTACTATGTGTCCAATTAAATATGGGTGATCTGACAACCATAAAGACCTTGAGTTACGAAGATCCTCTTTCCATTGGTGGAAGATTGGAAAACAAATTTTCTGCTATGACATAAATTTAGAGCAAACATGAATGGCGTGAATCAATGGGTCTGTAATTAATATCATAGATTGGTTGTAATGGTGTACTAATGGCAAGCTTCGGACATCTTAAAACCCGTGTAGTGAATCTTACCATAAGCATCACTTTAAATCACAGTCTACCAGGGCCGGTGCAATGATTTTTGGCTACACAGACGAAGACGCATTTTGACACCCTCCTTAAAAAAATGTGTCTTCACCTGTGTGTCTTGTAACTCCCCTTTTGAATTTCTTACCCTCGTTAGTGTATTTTATCCCCCATTACTATGTCTTACAACCCCACTTGTGTATCTGTTACTTTCCCCAGCCTGTTTGTGTTTCTCTTTCTTACCCTCGGGGGCTGAGAGGGGTGGACAAGGGCACATGGGCTGCAGAGGGGGGACAGGAGCAGGAGAGGGGGTGGACATGAGCAGGAGAAGGGGGTGGGCAGGATCAGACGAGGGGGTGGACAGAAGCTGGAGAGAGGATGGACAGGAGCAGGAGAGGGGGGTGGGCAGGAACTGGAGAGGGGGGTGGGCTGGAGCTCGAAAGTGGTGGACAGGAGCAGGAGAGTGGGTGGACAGGAGCAGGAGAGTGGGTGGACAGGAGCAGGAGAGGAGGTGGGCAGAAACTGGAGAGCAGGAGCTGGAGAGGGGGTGGACAGGAGCAGGAGAGGGGGGTGGACAGGAGCAGGAGAGGGGACTTGAAAAAAAATCACCAGACGAAATGCGTCGAGCAGTTTCTGAGAAACCCCGAGGACTGGAACCGTAAGCTGCTACCTAGAACTTCCACAGGACATCACCAAGCTCCCCTTATTTCTACCTGAGGACTGGTGACTGAAAATTGGACTGACATCCTGAGATACCATCGGCTGATTTCAACCAGACGGGGACTAAGCCCTTTTAGTGGCTAAAAAGCTATTTTGCAAAACAGATATATTTCTCTTTGTGCCATTTTATTTGTGAGTTTTTCTCTATTGTTTTTACATTAATTTTTTTGTCTATCTTTAAATACTTCACTATGTATTATCTTCTTTTATGTTTCTATTACATGCTTTATACTGCCGTCTGAGTGGTAAATATATTCACACAAACTATACTACTTCTGTTTTTTTTTTCATTTGTGGGATTTGGGAGTGATCCCTTATTGAGTGACCAGCCTGCACTTTCCATTTGCACTTTTCCCCACTCACCGATTCCTTTTCTTAGTCAGCTATGCCCTCAGTCTGGTTACACTGGCCTTAAAGGGACACTCCAGGCACCCAGACCACGTCTGCCCATTGGAGTGGTCTGGGTGCCAACTCCCATCACCCTTAACCCTGCAAGTGTAATTATTGCAGTTTTTATTAACTGCAATAATTACCTCGCAGGGTTAAGTCCTCCTCTAGTGGCTGTCTATCAGGCTTCCAGCTTTATGTTTCAAATTACACTGGACGTCCTCAAGCGATGCATGAGGACCTCCAGCGTCGCCAGAATCCCCATAGGAAAGCATTAAATAATGGGGGGGTCTAATGCACGCGAGCTGCCTGGATTCAGGTAAGTCACTGAAGGGGTTTTAACCCCTTCAGCAACATGGGATGGGATGTGGGAGGGAGAGGGGGGCACTGGAGGATCCTGCAGTGCCAGGAAAATGCTTTTGTTTTCCTGGCACTGGAGAGTCCCTTTAAATTTGAAATTCACTATTGAAATTCTCATTTTACTAAATTACATTGTATATTCATAGTAGAAGGTTGGGCTCTCCAGGGATTGGAGAGGTAGGGACACAATGATCTCAATGTAGTTATTTTGGATAAGCTTCAAATGATCACAATCAGTTCGAAAAAACTCTTCAAATGATTTTTCTACAGGGTGCCAATAAAGTCTGTGGGAAGTTTTGTATCAAAGTAATTCTAACAAACTATGATCATTAATCAAGGACAATGTGCATTATACAAAGGACATGTAAAATCAATGGGATGAGAGAAGGCTACACCTGGCAGAGAAAGCAGTGTGAGATTTATTAGTATTTATATAGAGTCAACATATTCTACAGTGCATAACAATTGTAGAAAGCGGGTATTTAGAGGTGATGAAACCCTTGCTCAAGTGAGCTTACAATCTGAGAGTATTTGTGGTAGGCAAATGTATATCATTAGGTGTCTTCCCATGGACGCTTAGTGATATTACCACTGTGCTAAACAGCCAATATGTGTTAGGGTAACATTGTACTATAATTGAAGCGTTTAATAAACTTGGTAACAGTTGTCAAGGATCAGGCCCATTACGTTCATTTCAGAGTTCTATCACAGCCTGATAGAACTCTTTGGCCAATAAAACCCAGACACAGCAGCTTCGATATGAAACTCCCCTTGTATAGTATATAGAATGACAGGACACAGGAGAAAGGAAAAACTGCAAGCAGCTGTGAGTTTGGATTAGTCCATGGATTGTCCCTCTGCTGATGCATTGTTATTTGGTGCACACAGACTAGGAGATCAGTAAAGAGCTGCGGTTAGAGCTGGTAGGGTGTGAAGCTTGCCAGGAAGGAAGTTCAAAGCATCTGGTGGTAGGAAGTGGTTCTACCTCGCACAGAACAGGCAACAAAAGCAAGACACGGATAGAATAATATATTATATTACTGGTCAATGGTATGGCCAGCCTCAACCCAAGCTTGGTCAAACCAACACTGATAACAGGACGGATCCTAAGGTCACTGATGCCTGGGTGCAAGAAAATTTTTGGCATGCCAGGTGTGTGGCTGTATTACTAACACCTCCCCTTCATAAACATAACATTTCTAACCACACCCATTTTATATGCAAGCCACTCCACCTCTTTGAGCCCCACAACTTCAACAGTCACCCACTTCCTACAGTGCCAGCTTTGCTTCAAAAAAGATTATCAGTGCCATCTTTGTGCCCAGCTACCCAGTGCCATCTCTGAACCAATACATTTTCCCAGTGCCATCTTTGTGTCCAGCTACCCAGTGCCATCTCTGTACCAATACAGCTTCCCAGTGCCATCTTTGTGTCCAGCTACCCAGTGCCATCTCTGTACCCATCCAGCTTCCCAGTGCCATCTTTGTCCCAAAATAACTCATCAGTGTCATCTTTGTGTCCAAATTGCTTACCAGTGCCAAGGGCGGATCCTGAACCTATCTCAGTAGGAGCATTGGTACTGGGTTGTAATGAGGTGGTAGGGGATGTAATTGAGGTGTTGGGGGCTGTAGTGGGGAGCTATGGCTGTTGGGGTGGGAGAGAGACTGTAGTAGGATGGTTAGGAGCTGTAGCAGAGGGTATAGGTTGTAATTGTGGCTCTAGAGCATAAGGGCTAAATAAATACTAGTTTATTCTCCCCTTCCTGAAACATACCTTGCACCAAGGAGGGGGTAATCCTGATTCCCAGTGGTCCCAGGCACTGACTGTGATAAGCAGACCAGGGTATAATTAAACAGAAGGGCAACATCTGCCTTTATAGCCAAATAATATTTTAACAATGTGCTGTCAGTTTGGGAATTCACATTCCCAATAAAGTAAATCCAGATTCTGTATACATACCATTACAGCTGTGTGATGCTGATGGCAGGTTCAGTTTAAAGTTATTATACTGGATGTAGAAAAAACAGCTCCTGACTATATAAGCAAATGTTGTAAATTATTAGGAGTGAATCCGGTTAATAGTGAAATTTTAACCCCTCAAAAAAAAAGGTACCTGCGGACTATCCCAAATCCTGATGCACATTTAAATAACTAGAAGTAATAATGAAAAGAATGTTTTGTAAATACAGTATAAATAAGCACACACAAAACAAAAGCATGATTCCTACACTAACAATGAGACAGGAAGGGGTATTTTTCTAAAACCCTTAAAGAGATCCTAACAGTGCCAGGAAAACAAACCCCGTTTTCCTGGCACTATAGACTCCTGGAGTGCCCCCCTCTCTCGGGGCTGAATGGGTTAAATTCCATTCAGCCACTTACCTGGGTCATGCTCCCCCCACGCTCCTACGCTGACATCAGCTGGCGGGTGAGACCTAATGCGCATGCGCAGCAATGGCTATGCACGCATTAGACCTCACCACAGGAAATCATTATTCAATGCTTTCCTATGGGACAAATCTGATGCTGGAGGTCTGTGAGGCTGTCCAGCGTCAGATAACGGACCAAAAGTCAGTTAGAATTTCGGAAGCCCTGTAGTGGCTGTCTGTTAGACACAGATGGCAGACTTAGTTCTCTGGAACTGCAACTTTTTACATTGCAACACTATGTGCAAAAGAGACACAGCACCCAGACCACTTCAATGAGTCTGGGTGGATACAGTGTCCCTTTAATAGGGAACACATGGGGTGGGCGGCAGCACTGTAACATGGCTGTGTAATACAAAAGTAAATACAAACAAAAGAGTCCTGCACTTAAACTCCCACTACCTGTGGGCGGCAGCAATGGCAATAGCACAGCCCCAATACAGACAATAAAAACCACAAAAGATAAAAGAGCTGTAATTCTGCCTAAATACATTTGCAAACTTGTACAAATTGAGATGCATCCCCCAAAAATGCTCAAATCAAGTGCTGATACCTGCTTAGAAAAGTATGGAAACCGTGCCGCAGTTCCAGTTTACGAGACAGAGTAAGCAGTTGTGTGAGTAATATGGGCAAGATAAACGCAAGCAGTGATACGTTCTAAAGGTGTTTCAGTAGTAAGAAGCCAAATCTGACGTTATAGAATTAAGAAGGGTTGGGCACTCAGACGCTGAGTACAGGAGCTGGATGTAATGAATTATTGTATGGGAATTATGTCCTGTATTATAACTATGAAGGTCTTCACTGACACTTGAACCACAGTATGCTAAAACCAACAGCAATTAACAAACAGGGCTATTCACTAACGTGAGAATTGTCAAGAATTTCTAATTTAAGGTCAAAAAAGCCATACTGGAGTCAGCTACGCTTCCAGATCCACTGTTTTGGCCTTAAAGGAATATTAGGAATACAAATCAAATCTAGTGTCCCTGTCCCTATCTGCAGAAGACCTTACACCCCCTCCTCATTTCTGATGGAGGAATACAGAATGTGGAGATTCAGTGAGATGAGGACAGTGTACATCTGGGAAAGGTTGTGATGGGTGGAGGGATGGTTTTGGTTAGTTCCTAAAGAGCATGAGGGAGGGGGGCTGTTTCTGTGGTATTGATGGGGACTGTCATTATGGCCACATCGTTTTTTTTTTTATTACAATATTTTTAGGTATCTGTATTCCTAGAAATGCTATCATGTTCCTTATGAAGATCCATTAGTATACTGACTATTTCTATCACTCCTTTATGGTGAATATTATTTATGTCTAAAACCTTTTAACACCTTACAACATTTCTGAAAAGATTAAATATTAAAGGAACACAATAGGGTCAGGAACACAAACATGCAAACATGTTTTCCTGACCCTATAGTGTAAAAATCACAATCTACACCCTCACCCCCACTTCCCCCTAGCCTCCCTAAATATAGTAAAATCTTACTTGTATGCAAGTGTAAAGCTGCTGCCTCTGCCCCTGATCTTCTTGCTTCAGAAGTGGTGGTCTGAGCCAATCACAGTGCTTCCCCGTAGGATTGGCTGAGACTGTCAAAGAGGCAGATCAGGGGCAGAGCCAGCACAAGTCAAACACAGCCCTGGCCAATCAGCATCTCCTCATAGAGATACATTGAATGAACGCATCTCTATGAGAAAAGTTTCTCCATGCAGAGGGTGAAGACTCTGAATGTCAGTACTGCTCACTGTGCTGCACTGCCCCAGGAAGCACCTCTAGTCGCCATCTGAGGAGTGGCCAGTGGAGGTATCACTAGACTGTAATGTAAACACTGCATTTTGTCTCAATACATAGTGTTTACTGCAAAAAGCCTGAAGGGAATGATTCTACTCACCAGGACAAACACAATAGTAGTTGTAGTTGTTTTGGTGACTATAGTGTCCCTTTAAGCTAACGTTGTCACTATAGTGTTTCTTTAAATGAAAAACACTATATATTGTGTCCTGCTTTGCAGCCGGGGGTCAGTTTAATGTTTATTACACAAACCTGACCACGTGAGGTAGAATAGTAAATCACAATCCGTTTTACACAATTTCAGCACAATTCACTAAACTACAAACTGTGGAAGAATGATATAAATTGCAGTTTTAAGGCCAAAATATGTATCATTAAATTAGCAAAACCCACAATTTCAATTAAGGGATCAAGCCTTTTTGCACAATTTTTGTTTTCAATTATTTCCATGTGTTAATAAAATTTTCAATTATTTGAAAAACGTCCGACCTGAGACGTTTTAGAAAATGAATTAGAACGCACACAGTGTCTATACATCCAAAGAGGTTTTTTTTAAATGCTCCAATCATGAATGAATACCATGGTATAATAAAGTCTAATCGCTGCAGATAACCATTTGTTTTGTGCTTTTAGGACTCTGAGGAAGTCGAAAGTTAACCAAGAAGAGGAGAAAGTGGACTCTGTGGAATGATTTAGTGTGCGTTTCCTGGATACCGTGTACTATGCATGCAACATTAAACCTTCATCCAGCTGACAATAAATAAAGTGCCCTTGCTACAATTTTCGATACAAATGGTTCTTTGGCATTAACTGTAAATAACACTCATTACACAAAATAAATTTTAAAAAAGGTACGATCATCTACAGCTTCTGCAGGTTGGCAGCACAACATGCATGGTGTAAGGTTTTTTTGTTTTTTTTATTTAAACAAGGGATCTGACGACTTCCAGCTAAACTGTGGAATACCACTCTCACCATTCTCAGACAACCTTTTAGAGTCTGATTATCCTCTTGAGAAGTGATTTCAAACCTTGGCACGTCAAGAAATATATGTCATATAAAGCGTGATAATGTGTAGATCACAAGCAATTCCAATGCACGGCTAGGCATCACCACACGAGCATACCTGCCAAGTGTCCTTATTTAGGACTGGTAGTCCTGTTTAAGACCCTAATCCCCATGCCCTGTTTTCTTCTCCTAATATTCCTTTTCTAGGAGCTCCATATTGTTGGTGTATCTGAGTGTATCACAGCACTAAACAGCGATGAAACTGTCCATAGTGTGCCCGTTCCCATTACATACCTTCCAATGTTGGGAGGAATGCTATAATGTCAGAACCCAAATCTACTGCAGTACAAATACAAGAGAGGTTATACACATCTGAGATCAATTTCTTCATTTTACCAGTTTGAACATCCCTGTTAAGAACCTCAGTGGTTATGGTACTGAGTTCTTCTATTCCTTTCCCAAGAGCTGCGTATAAGTGATTATAGTTGCAGTTAGAGTGTAGAGGAATACTGTAGACGAATGCAGCTTCCAAGACAAATCTTCCCAGCAAATAAAAGGTTACCCAAGCATGAGCCTAGACTTCATGAAGGGTACAACAGGAATAATGTTTTATTGATGTCACACGGGCTTTTATGGAAATCCTCCTGCAAGAGGACCTCCCACAGTAAACAAAATCAATAACCAATCATAACACAGAATTACAGTAAAACCTTCCCTCTCTCTTCCTGGGAGATAATGAGATAAGTTAAGGAATAACCCAAGTATCTCCAGGCAGAGGGCACACAATTTCCCCAAAACTTGGAACACCCCTTTATACACAAGGTATCCCCACAAATACATGTCCCCTGATAGCCCCGATCTGGGAGGCCAACATATTCAAATTTCACCCAGATTGGTTCAGGGGTTCTCAAAAAGTTTGGAAGTCTTAGTTCACCGATTCAGAAAACAGCATACAAACGAATAAAAGCACAAATTAAGCCTCCTGGCTCGTAGGAGCGACTGTTCCTCGTTTTCGTAGGAATCAAACTACCGAATGGCGCTCTCCTAGCTCCCTTTTTTAAAAATTCGATTCATATATTTGATGATAAATGAAAGCCCTGTTTCTCCTGAATAAAATGATATATAATAAGTGTGGGTGCACATAATATGAAAGAGGTGAATTATGCCTGAACAGACATATAGCGCAAATTCCAGGTTTTGTTTTGTTTTGATCATAATGTGTACATTTGGCTCAGTCCTTAAGGGGTTAATTTACAATATATTCTTATAGTTTGTTTGCAATTTTAACTTTAGCCTTGTTATTCTGATATTATAATATTATGAGGCAGTGTACTCAAATGTTGTGGCAGATGGTTACAGATGGTTTATCTGAGGTTATATGAGGGCATGTTCTTCGGCTAGATGTGACTAAACATATTTCATATTTGAACTTGAATACATGTCATGTTTGTTTATTTGCTTGAAGAGTCTAATTTTAAATATGGCTTCTTAACGTGCAAATTGGCTGTATCAGGTGTACAATGTCTAATAATTTCACCCATTTATTCTGTAAAAATAACAAAATCACACAAATCAAAGGATTAAAGGACCACTATAGTGCCAGGAAAACATACTCGTTTTCCTGGCACTATAGTGCCCTGAGGGTGCCCCCACCCTCAGGGACCCAGTCCTGCCATGCTCTGGGGTGAGGAAGGGGTTAAACGTACCTCTTTCTCCAGCGCCGGGCGGGGAGCTCTCCTCCTCCTCTCCGCCTCTTCGGCTGAATGCGCATGCGCGGCAGGAGCTGCGTGCGCATTCAGCCAATCCATAGGAAAGCATTCACAATGCTTTCCTATGGACACTGGCGTCTTCTCACTGTGAAAATCACAGTGAGAAGCACGCAAGCGCCTCTAGCGGCTGTCAATAGACAGCCACTAGAGGCTGGATTAACCCATTTATAAACATAGCAGTTTCTCTGAAACTGCTATGTTTATAAAACAAAGGTTTAACCCTAGAAGGACCTGGCTGAATTAAGCTGAAGTGGTCTGGGTGCCTATAGTGGTCCTTTAATAACATCCTATTCTTGGTGAATGCCTGTAAGTTAAAAATTTTTTTTTAGAAAGTTCAAAGACAATCATTTCCCTGTTCTAATACACATTTCTATACTGCGTAATCCTAGTGTATAAATCAGATATCCAAGCACAATGAAAAAAAAAATCATCCATCCCAAAGATCACAGATCCCAGTCCAAAAGTCCAATCAAGGTGACTAGGAGTATTTGTCAGCCATTCGATAAGTAAATCTTCATGTATCTATCTCATTCTATTCTGCACTTCTTCTAGTGCAATTCATGTTTTATTATACCTGAATTATCCTTAGGACTATAGTGTGAATATTGTGCACGTATCCTGCATCACGTTTGACTCCAAAATTAAAACGATGTAAGAGAATGTCAGAAAAATGTACACCAATTTTTTTTTAAAGAATAACTTGGCGGTGAAAGGGTTAAAGGAAAGGTGACGTATTAAAGGAAAGGTTAAACCAGAGCATGATAATAGAAAAACATGTTTCAGACTTTTAAGATGACTTTTAGAACCAGACATTGATTCCACTAATATCTCTAATATTATTTGGTTTATCCAAACCTTTCTGATTAACTTCCACCTCTCTGATTTCTCCACTGATTGCAACATGTCACAGTGATTTAATATATACAAGTCAGCAATCTGAATTTCAGGAACAACTGTTAAACAGAAGTTTATGTTGCAGTCCAGCAATGTTTTTTATATTAAAAAGCCATCATTAGTGCCTTCGTTTTCACCACTGTTGCAAGCAGTTTCCGTTTCACCCTTTGAGTCTCAGGGGAGTGAGCAATGTAAACAGGAAACGACCTATTAGACATTACATGGGTTTCTATAGAAGCACACCCTGAATTTGTTAAAAAAAAACAAAAACAAAAAAAAACATAGAAATGAGTGGCCAACACACGAGTGGCGAAATCACTGAAACTCACCTATGACTTGTACTAACCTTTTTTCACATGCTGCTTACATTTATTTTGCAAATGTCGTCACAATCCCAGGTACAGCCACATCTGCGAAGATTTACCAAGATGTTCCGAGAAGTGTCTATGGAATACAATTTTGCTTTGAAAAGTAGTTTCCTTTCTATATTCTAAATATTCTTTGTGCCTCTGTGATTATGCCCCATTACCTAAGAATATGGTGTGAATATTGTGCACGTTTCCTGCTTCACTTTTGACCCCAAAATAAAAGTGATGTACGAGAATGCCAGAGAGATCTTACTATTTTTGTTGCAAGAAGATTCATTAAGATTTATAAATGGAATGCAGGACACAACAACTAAACAAAAACAAAGAAAAAAAACAAACGGAAAATACATGCCGGGAAAAATATACATACAAAGAAAAACAAATGTGTTAGACTGTACTTTGGTAAATCCTGTCATTAATTCAGTTCTTCCTTCCTCATTGTATCATTGTCTGCTTTCGATGTAACAAAGCGTCTAACAGTGATTGACAGGGAGCATAAAGAAGAATTTTAAAAGCCATCAGCCCCAGATATTATTTTGTCCAGACTTTTCTGTGCAAAAATACTGTAGGAGTTTGTAAAAAAAAAAAAAAGCTAAACGTAATTTTTTTAAAGGGCCGGATTAACATCGGGGCTGAGCGAGATACAGCTCCAGGTCCATAGAATAAGGCTCATTCGCCACCCTGTCAGTTCCTGAATTGGCTTCCAGTTAGATATAGGGCTTAATTTAAAATTCTGGTGGAATTCTGGTTGGAGTCCCTTCATAATGCTGCTCCGACCTACTTATCCTCCCTAATACACAAGTATGTCCCGTCAAGGCCCCTACGCTCTGCCAAAGACCTACGTATATCCTCTGTCCGTACTCCCATCTCTAACGCTCGCCTCCAAGATTTCTCCAGGGCTGCACCTCTTCTGTGGAATTCCCTTCCCTTCTCCCAGTCTTTCACCCAGTCTCCACTCATTCAAAAAATCATTGAAAACTCACTTCTTCAAGAAAGCATATCAACTAAACTGTTAGCGGGTTTTTACCCCCATCCCCTATGACTCCTCTCCTGCAACTGTCAAAAATTACCTACTAAACCCACAATGAATACTTTTCTAACAACCTACTTTGTACCCCTACTTTTTCCCCTTTGTGTCACTATACCCCACTCCCTCTAGAATGTAAGCTCATTGTTCTTGTACGTCCAGTTGTCTGGTTACAATTACATGTCTGTTAGTCCACCCATTGTACAGCTCTACGGAATCTGATGGCGCTATATAATAATAAAATAATATTATACAGTACATATATTTTTAGTTACAGACCTGCCATATTTGAGCTTCATGCATATTATACCTATCTTCACCTACCTACATCCTCCTCTCAGATTTGGCTCTTCAGTGATTTGTCCTGCTTGGGCAAACCTCCTCAAGGACGTCAACACACTAACTTCATTGCTGGGAGTAAAAAAAAATATTCTCATAATCTACACATTTGCTAGCAATACTGCACAATGTATAAACAGAACTTTATGCTCAATTTAATGAGCATAAGTTGTTTGGGACATGATGGATTCACTTTAAGGACAGAGGCAATTGGCCAAGATTTGAACAAAAACAAAAAAACTAGAATTTACACTTTTTTTCTCAACGTAATATATAACCATAATATAAGGGTTTCTCTTTAAGTGCCCCTGTACATAGGTACGCAGTTACATGAAAATAGACATGTGTCCATAAAGTTTAGCCTTTCCCTGTTTT